AGACTCAAATCCATCTCGGAAATGAGAGAGCTTTGCTCGCAGCCGCGAAAGTAAATACGAAGTTTGTTTTTCAATGGACACGTGTATCGGATACGCGTGTCCTTTTGAAATTAAATAGTATTTTAATTGGATACGGCTTTGGCGTATCCGACACGTATCGGTGGAGTATCGGAGGTGTATCCGTGTATCGGTGTATCGGATACAGCACGCCTTCATAAATAGGTGTATCGGTGCAACATAGGTAGGTGGAGATCGGGTTGTGGGAAGTTAAGGTCGGTGCAGGATTCGATCAGAGCGGGAGTTCTACGGCTTGATTGGGACTCGTTGCAGTAGAGAGGAGGTCATAAGGTTGAGGGAAGAGCTGCAAGATTTCTATATGCGGAAGGAGAGAAAGGAAGAGCCTTCGTTTGCATTTTAACAGTAAGGGTGGTGAGCTTTCTTTGATGCGAAAACTCGCCTAGTTTTCCTTTCAGCAAGAGGCGCCTCATCAAAGTCTATGGAAGAAGCCGCCTTCGCCCAGCTCGATCCTACTACCACAATCTTCCTTTCCTCGATAAGCTGACTGGACTTTTGTCCCTCTACCTCTGCTCTTACAAAGGAGGTCCTTATGGATTTTGCGACCAAAAACATTGGCATACTGCATAGGACTCAACATAGACATTTCTAGTGAAAGCTAAAGGAACTAGGCTTAAGCAAAGGAAATGAGGAAATATGGCCTCATCAATGCCTCTCGCCTCTATTTATAGTCAAAAGCATTGTTTAAAATTACACAATATGAGGCCCGCCTCAGTTCAATTCTAGTAAAAAACGCTTCGAGGCTTACACCTCTAGCTTTTTTATAAGGCTTGCGGCTCAACTTGGCTGAGGCATGCCTCGCCTCGCTAGCGTGAGGCTTACACCTCATCTAATTTGTATTTTTTTTTGTTAAAACTAACATAAATCACGCCTTCATGCACATTAAAACACAATAACTTTCTCTCAATTGCCTCTACCTCTAGCCCGTGTCCTTCGTCGCAGTCAACATCGTCATAGTCATCACCGACAATCACTTGAAAGTTGCACACCACCACCCTAAAAATTTTGGAGCATTAATCTCATATTTATGTTGATGAAAATATTTCTAAAAGATGAACATGATTAAAATTAATTAAAACTATATATATTTGAGGCATTCAACTCTATTGGATGAGGCAGGGGATAGATCAATTTGTTATGGAGCCAATTCAGATAAAGACCACCTTAGTGATGATGATGCAGATGATTCCTACGTTGTTATCAACTATTTCAACTTTCATTAAGAATTAAATGTAAATGAGTATAGAATTGAGAAGGAAGAAATTTGGAGTTAAACGTCATGTTATATGATACTTTTATGCAATTTCTATATTTAATATTATTTTGCCCTTATAATATTTAGATTTTTATTCTATTTCACATAATTTATCACTTTTCACTTTAGATCTTGTGCAATTTTTTGTTTTATATGTATGACAATTTGTTAATTTATAATTCAATAAGAAGTTAATATGTCATCATATAACATATTATATAGATATTATATAAAAAAATCACTTTTGATATTTATTATCACTTTATACAATTTTTTTATTTTGACGCTTACGCCTCAAAATGCCTTGAGGCTTACGCCTCGCCTCATGAACAAAAAACGTATCAATATCCAATTGTGCAATTTTAAACATTGGTCAAAAGCAATATAAAGGTCAAATCAACATCATTATGAGAATCTTTGACAAATGCGCTCTTCTTGAGACAATAATAAAAATAGGGCAGTATATTGTATTTACTTTCACTTTGCCATTTAGTTGAAATATAAAGCGCTTTTCTTTTTAATTCGTTTATCTTTTTTACAATTCACTCTTCAAAGGAACAAGTGAATCGAAGATCTAAAGGTATGTCCATACATGTCAATACAGTTAACCTGCAGGCACAAAGCAAGTTCAAACTTGAAGAACTTGGTCAAGAGGTGCGCTCATCTAAAATAAGTTTCACCTTAAAGAACACTCATCGAAACAAGATAAAAAATGACCCAAATGAAGCTCGCATTATAGGAGCTCACCCCCAAGGAGAGAAATAAATGAGTATATAATAAGTGAGTTCAATCAAATAACTTATCCCATCAAGTCTTGTGAGGACTCAACTCTTTTAGCAGTTCTTTTAAGTCAAGGTCATCCGCCTTCGATAAATATCCTCGTCTATGTTATAGGAAGCACACACCCACAAAGCCCACAGTAATGGCTCCATCGACCATGTTCATAGCAACTCACACGGAGCACTCGCCTCCAAGGACTCATCGCATGCACAAAATACTCGCCAGAGATATCCCGACCAATATCAAAGATAGATGGTCACGTGTGTACATATCGGCCTAGTCCACGTGTCTTTGCTAGTTTGTACTTATCATGTATTATTTCTCTTTTTTTTTTCTAAGTGCAGACATTCTTGTAACTCTTTTAACCCTATAAATAAAGGTTTAAGATGTATTTTAATCTTCATGTTACTTTTACTATTCAATATATTATCTGACTTCTTATTCAGTCTTCATAATCACTTACTTTCCCTCATGTTCCCTGCTATGTCTAGCGAGATTTGTTAGTAGGGTTAGGTAACACCCACGGACAAATTTGATTCCAACAAATAAGCTTATCTAAACACGAAAATTTTAATTATGAATGCACTGCAGGTGTAAAGCATTTATCAGGATAACACAGCAACTAAAAAATAAATTTTTACAGGTGGAAACCAATAAGACTAACCAACACCAATTAACAAGGCGATTAGCCATTTCAGCATTGCATAGTACCAATTGAACAGCTTGCTCCTCTTTGCCTACGACATCCCAGAAACCAAACATCAAATAGAGAGAGATCAATAAATTAGAAACATAAAAACAAAGCGGAAACCCTCATTGTCCGACCTGCGCCTCCCTATAGGCGTAATTCTCGATGACTTCATAATCCAGGCTCTCCGCACCGCCGCCGCCATTCACTCTCCTTTCGAGCTCCTCCTCCGTCTCCACGTCATCGGAGCTCGGCAGACGCGACCATACAAGCTTCGCCGTCTCAATCCCGTTCTGGAAATGGTTCGACAGCATGATTCCAGTCATATAGAACGCGCACTGCAAGTGGATCAGATCTTTCGAACTCAATCGGAGATCAAAAGGATCTCCGGCATATACGGAAGATAGAAGTGGGGTGATCGGAAACTTCGGCGGGGACGAACGGGAGGAAGATAGTAGGGAAGAGTGGTCGGTGATAATGGGCTGTCGCGTAGAAAGGCGTCTACGTCTCCGCTTCACTGCGGGTCGGGTTCAGCCTCGACCAGGAGCGAATGTTATGAGCAGAGCCTCAAAGAAGCTATTTACATAATTATATAGTTTAAGCGGCTCTTCTTGACTAAGAGGAGTCTTATATATAATTGACCTAAATATTCAAAAAATAATAATTATATACTTTAAATTGGAAGAGCCTCATTTGTAACGACTACAAATACTAGTGGATTCATTCAAATTGGGCCAGGCCCCGTGGTTTTTCCCCCTTTTCAGGGGTTTTCCACGTAAAAATTCTGGTGTCTCTTATGAATGCTACTCCCTCTCACTTATCTGATTGTGTGCTGGATCTTCGTACAATGCTAAGACATTAAATTATATATTTCTCTACCGTCGCGAATATTCTAGGACGCAACAATAACAAATATGCATAAAAAGTCAAAAGAAGAGTTAGGAAGTAGGTTTTTAGTACTGCTTGATAAAGTCATAAAAAGAAATTTTTTAAATTTAGAATAAAAATAAATAAATTTAGTTTTAAAAAATTATGAGCAAAAAGAGTTGGGTTGATTCAAAAGAATGAAAAGGGGCAAGAAAGTTTTAATTTGTTCTCAATTGGGAGAATGAGTATCATATATCGATGGATTTAGCACGAAACTCATCATCATTCCTTGTCAAAAACCCAAAACTTCAAATCAAAAAGAAACCAAAATTGAAATAAATGAGAGACCCAAAAGCCTCATGACATAATAGCCAAAATTTAAACAAAAACTATCAAATCATCCCAAATGAAATCCAAAGAAACAAATCTGGAGCGGAGAATAATCTTAACATAGATTGAGGAGCGGAAAATAATTTGAACATATTGACAATCAAAGGCTTTTTGAGATCAACATTGGCGTAAAAGATTTTCTTAAAAAGAAAATATTTTGCGCCAATGTTGATCTCAAAAGATTTTCTTGAAATTTGAGAGTTAAATTTATTTGGCAATTTTATTAGCCAAAAACAACTATGTCCCAATTTTAGATGAAAATGGAATGAGCTTGATGAATAATATTAAGAAGGATTTGCTTAAGCATTTTTGCTAGAAGTATAGTAATGATCTTGTGGAAAGTTTTATAATAAGAAATGTCTACAATTATTTAGGATATTTCATATAAGTGCTTCGAGGTAAGGGTAAATATATTGGTCTTAATAATAAGGAGCTTACTAGTATTAAAAAGTGATGAATTGTAACAATAATTTGTTTTCCCCACTATATCTTAAGCATTTGTAAAGAATTTAAATCTAAGCCATCAAAGCATTTCATCTTATCAAAATTGATATTAAAAAGGGCCTCTTTAATTTAAAAAATAGATACTGTTATACTAGAGAAATCCTTAGCTATGGAAAGAGTTTTATCATTAGAAGGAAAGAGCTAAATTCTACAACTAAGCTCAATGCACAACAAAGAAGTAATATGCATGTCAGCAATTAAATCACAGTAGTAGTAATCACATGACCATGAATTAGTGCATAAATGATAAAGTTCACATGCAGTAGCAGTAGAACAAGTAAATAGTAAAATAGTACATTATGGAAGTCATTAAATAATACACTGGTGAAATCAATAAACTAATATGGTTGTTTAATCAATAAAGCAGTCATTTATCAGTACTATTTATCAGTAAATCAATCATATAAAGCGGTAAAATCAAAGTATCAATAAAGAACTATCGAACTATCAATGTAATAAAATTCTATAATTGTGTAAACATGCTATCTATTTATTTTATATCAGTATTATATTGATATCTTAATCACATGCTCAATATATCATATGCTCAGTATGTTATATGTTTAGTATAAGTGCAGTGAATCAATAACAATATCAAATAGCATTAATGTTCATGTCGATAATAATAAAATTTGTGGTAGGAGAGGTAATAAATTTTGTAACAGTAAATCCATGTAGTAACAATAAATTCATTCATTAATAAGAATAATGTCTCAATAACATAATTTAATAGTTACACTAAACATTTTAGTGATGTACTATAGTATATATATTTTTTTGATAAAATGAAAGAAATCATGTTGATGAGTTTATTTACAGTACTTTGAATAATTTTAGTAGCTTTGTAATTTATAGTTTATTTAAAATAAATATTGAAAGAGAATATGAACATTCTAAAACTAGATCTTAGAATTTATCTGTCACAACTCAACATGATAGGACATGTCCTGATCATGTTGGATTATGATAAAAAATGAGGAGAAGAATAGTAATTATTATAAAGCAGAGAGAATAATGTTATGAATTCTCTTGTAATCTCAATGGGCTTAGAAATACTAGAATCAAAAAATGAGAAGAAGAATAGTGCTTATTATTATTAAGTACATATAAAAATGTTGTGAATTCTCTTGTAATCACAGCGGGCTTAGAAATACTAGAATTATTAGAGTGGATCTCTTTAATAAAATTTCTCCTTTTTTTTGCTAATAAAATTACTCGAAAATCTTAGATTATCATTTGCATTTGTCACCCAAGCTACTTTTTCTATCATTGAATTTATTTGCTCTAACAAGTTATACCTAAAATTTAATCAACTTATTATTCGAGACATTTTCCAACAAATAAATTTTCAATGAAATTTTCTCCAAGATTATGGAGATGTTATATGGAGAAACTCTCAACTTATAGGTATTATGATGTATAGGATTAGAGTTATTACAAGAAGCAAAATTTAAATCCTCTTTGACCCACTTGAACTTGTTATATAACACAAAAATGATCCACATAAACATAACTAACCCAAGTAGAGGTAATAGCATCCTCTTCATTGGGACAATTGGTACATAAGCCCTCAAGCATAACATTTTGTATGGCAATACTAAAATGACCAAATTTAATAAGGATATTGGAGTGACCAGAAGAGTGCATGAGAGCCTCATAAAAGAAGATGGAATAAGATTCAACCATATACTATTATATAAGGCTTTATTAAATCAAAATTTGACCATGGTAGACAATTAATTGTCAAACAAAGTAAAAGAGAGATCTACGTACACTAGACAAATATAAGAGACCAATATAAAAATATAGCCATTGAAGTCTTCAAGCTCACTGGGAGAGTTACCTTTGCCCCAACATTATCAAAATAAGAACAAATATAATAAAAAAATCCCACTAACATCCATACAGTAATCACAAAACTAGAGATGTCAATGAGTGAGTTTCAAAGAGATTTCATCGTCTACAATAAAATTAATAATGACCATAATCTTCATGGAACCCAAAAATATGACATTACAATGAATCTATAAGTGGAGGATATGACAAAAGGTAATTGTGGAGAAATTTCATTTTAACCCAAATCCCTCCTCCCCTTCTAAAGAGTAGATGAAGTCCTGGTAATATTCATAATATGGAACAAACACACCCTTCTTTTGAGGATGGGATTAGAGAATAATTCAACACTTAATTCAATCTCAAGAAGTCACTATAAGTCAGTTTAACAAGCTTATATCATATTCCAACTACTCAAAACACATTGTTTGTCTTTTGGCCCCTCATGTTATGATGTGCAATGGTAAGGAAGGACATAGCGGTGATAATAATTAGTTTTTATAAGGTCTAACTTGCTCCCCTTGGAGCTAGATTAACTTGGAGGTTTTATTACTTTTCTCCTAAAATTGTTTGAGTGGTTAGAAGAGAATTAATCATTAAATATGAATTGGATGATATAAGATTATCATATTTATTAAGAAAACTCAATAATTTTTAACCGAGAATGGAAGGAATGAATATACACAAGCAATCTAAATAGTTGTATGAGGCACATGTGAAGAAAAAAATGATGGAATATGGGGAAGAGTGGTTTTGGTATTGAGTAGCTAGAGTTGTATAAGTTTGCTCAGCTATAAAGACTAAAGTGATGACAATATTAAGAAATTTTCATGGAGTACAAAAGTAGATAATGTATTAGAGACATTTTGTTTATAATGTTGGGGACCCTTACTATTTATCCTTTTTCTAGGAACTATCATTTGGGTTCAAACGATCAAAAGTAACATATTTCTTACAAGCATTATGCTTCCAAACATATTGGACTTCTTATATGATTTTATTTTCATCAAGATTAATACAAATATAATCTGAAAAAGGGATTATGGTGAGATTTACTTATAAATACTTATTAAATTAATTTAAAATTTGGAAATAATGATATTATTTGTAATCAAGTCGATACCAACCAACATTGATAATCTCTCTCAGTCCAAAAAAGTTGGAGAATTTATTCCAAATAAGAATATCCATAAAACTCCCTTTGGCAAGTTCAAAACAAGTAAACTATTTCTAAAAAAAAAGGGTTTCACATTCAAGAAGAGTCACTTTTCCAAATTTGTTCATAATCCCCAACAAGTGAACATTTGAAAAGGAAGTAATCACTAATAAGAGTTAGGAGGTTAAGATTTCCTCTTCTATTCCATTCCTCATAACATCAATAATAAAAGAACTATTATAAAAATAGTTTCTCTAGTACATGTCACATAAACTCCAATTCTCAATCTTTTCCACAAGCAATGAGATCATCTATTATAAAGAAAATATTGTCCTCCTCACTAATAATATTTGAATATATATATATATATACAAATTTAAATCCAATATAATTTAGCTATCTGAGTTTGTCATAATTTACCAAAATATAAATTCAATATGATTTAACACATTTGGATGGGTTTGAATTATCAAACATCAAATATAATTTAAAATTCAATTTAGATCTTTGAGTTGTTCATAACACCACAACTTAAATCAAATTACAAATTCGTGTATGCTTAGCTAAATCTTTGTTAGTTTTAGACTAATTACAAACTAGGATTATAATCTCTAATGAATGTTTTAGGATTAAAGCCATATGAAACAATTATAATGTATTGTCTAGCTATATGTTCATAATAACACCTATTTTTGCATGTTGTATGTATTCATCATCATACATATCTACATGTTGTATGTCTAGTCCACCAGTGGTAGGTGGTGGGCTGATTGATCTTATAACATTAACATTTACAAAAAAAAATAAATTATAGTTTTAATTTTTTTGAGAGTAATATGTACATATATGAGAATGATTTTGAATGGATAAGAATATATCATTTAAGGAAAGAAAAATCATAGCACATTTAAGAAGTTAATAGTTAAAATTATCCCTTATTTCACACTGATGTGGCACATCAACTCTAGTTTTAAATTAAATTGATTCTTTTTAACCTCTATCACTTTTTATATAATATCCTTGAGATCTTTAAGAGAGAGACTCCGCACCAGCAATCCTGGACTTCTTTTAACAAACTTATCTGCCTTCTTTCAATTCTACATAATAATACCAATATACATTGATATCACCAACGAACGAAAAAAATATTCAACTCCAACAGCATGATCTCTTCCCAGCAGAAAAATCTAGAGCAAATATACGACGATGATAACAACAGAGAAATTCAAAGTGACAATAGCTTAATGTTGTTATGGATATACAATGAGATATTAGTATAGTGAGATTATTATGATTTAAAATAAATATCTTCAATAAAATAAATAATAATCATATTTTTTTTCAATTTATACTACTATAAGGCATATAAAATCATATTCCCAATTTAAATAGCTTGGATAAAGTTAATGCGTGATTTTTTTTTGTAAATGTTAATGTTATAAGATCAATTGGCCCACTTTCCCTCTCTTTTTTATGCTCTTCCTCCTTACTCATAGATTGCAAAGCATTTCCCAAAAAAATAAAGGCTGAAGAAATAGTCAGCCAAAATACTTTCTTGTACGGCAGCAAAAAACTCCTAACTCCACAGATCTCTCATCCATGGAGAAGCCGGATCAAGAAGAAACCGATCATCTCATTCCCCCTCCTCCGCGGCCTCTGCCATGCGTTGCTTTCTTCGCTGACAGCAGTCTCCAACCCTCCACCTGTCGCTGCAGCTGCCTCTCATTGCTTTCGCCCTCCTCCCTTCTCTTCGCCGCTGCCGCTTTATCCGTCCTCGGCTCCGCCATTTTCCTCCTCTGGCCATCCGATCCCCATCTCCACGTCGCTCGCATCAGCATCGACCGCGTCCGTGTCTCTTTCCACCCTTCCGTCTCTGTTTCCGTTGACCTCCACCTCCGGATCAGCATTCACAATCCGGATTTCTTCTCCCTCGACTACGATGCCCTAGACGTTGCTATTGGCTACCGCGAACAGCACCTTGGGTCGGCTCTATCGGCCGGCGGGCACGTGAGGGCTCGCGGGGTGTCTTATGTGGATGCAGAGCTCCACCTCGATGGGATCGAGGTGTTGCATGATATCTTCTACTTGATTGAAGATCTTGCCAGGCAATCGATCCCTTTTGATACTGTTACAGAGATCAGGGGGCTTCTGCACTTTCTCTTCTTTGACGTCCCCATTAAGGCAAGTTGCTTACCTCCCCTACCCACTAATTTTTTATTGTTTCTAGTGGTTATAGGAAACTAGATTGCATGGATTCTAAACTTGGTAATACCATCACGATTATGGAAGAAGGCAATGTGCATCAATTCCCTTAGATGCTGCAACTGCACAGTGTAGTGTAGTGCACTGGATACACTATTTGTTATTTACTGGTACTTTCTTCTTAGTTTGGAAATTCAACAATGTGTAGGATCAACCATAATGTATCCAGTATTAGTTATGGCCACAAAATATTATAAGAATGCAATTCTAATAATCCTATTTTCTTCAAAATGAAGGATTGATTACAGGACATCTCAAGAAAGAGGAAGTGCTTGTACTTATCTTCTTTTGCTTTAAGATCAATGATTGCTAAAGCTTCCTATTAATATAACTATTACAAGTAAAAACTAGTCAATATCCTTCTTTAATGTATCTAACAAAGCATGATCATGGTTTTTTTTTTTTTTTTTTTTTTTTTTATGGTATTCAATCTACCAAAAAAGTATGGTATTCAATCTACCAAATACTTTCAAAGAGAGATCATTTTGGGGCTGTTTGGTAGCACCTAGGATTTAATTTAAGTAGGATTTCATAGATTCTCTAAATCCAGATTTCGGAAATCCTAAGGGGCCTAAAACCTAAAAATTATTTGTTAACATTCATCATAAATCCTATGTGATTATTTGGCTATTGAGCGGATTTATTGAGTGGACTCTTCTAGCTAATGGATTTCATAAATCCAGCAAAATAATAAGATTTCAGAAATCCAACATTTTGCACAAAAAGACAGAATTTTCCATCTACCACGACTTGCATTTGCCCTGACATTTGGTTTTGAATTTTAGGCATTTGGCTGGATTTCACTCAGATCAGGCCTAAATCCTGCTACCAAACAGCCCCTTTAAGTGTAGCTTTAGCAAGATTGTTTGCTCGCTAAGAAAGCTTTTGCTTGTGTTTGGAGTTTGTTTACTGGACCTTCAAAATTTTGGCTCGATTCAACAGCAATAATTGGACAATTGCTACAAGGAGCAACGTTTCCATACAGTTTTCAACTGTTCATGTGATGTCATAAACTTGAGTATATTGCTGTTAAATTTAAAGCTCATTTCAAATTAAAAAAAAAAAACTCGATTTTCCTCTGCATATTCTCCAGTTATTTTTAATCGTTTCCGTGTTCCCCGTTGTATCTTATATTAAATCAAATCCCTTTATTCTCTTTTGCAGGGGAGAATATCTTGTTTAGTAAATGTAAACCCAACAAACCATACCGTCATTAGACATGATTGCCACATTCAGGTTAGCAATAATTTCTCACTCCAAACAATGAAAATCATTTCTTCCACCTGCTAACAATTTTATCTTCTTCAGTGACAAATTTTAAAAGACAACGGAATAGTCTTTATGGAGTTATCAGCCACTCGGATGTAAGTGCAACAGTTCGAGCATAACTGATTAGCTTGTCAGATCAACACAATATCTATGCAGCATTATTAAGCTCATCCAAACCTTTGCAGCAATACCAAGTTTATGAGATTAGTCAAAGAGGTGTAGGTGATTAATGTAATGCATACTAACCACTGATTCTGTAATGGCGCAATAGTCAGTCTTAGCCTGACGGACCAGTAGATTTGAATTTGGAAATCTTTCAACTGGGCTTGAAGAACGGTTGTCCAAAATTTAATCTCTCACGGTAGGCGTTTTGATGAATAAGTTTGTTAATTTTTTTTTCTTTCAGTCATTCGGAAATATGATATCAGTCTCCATTGGAATTAGTTATGTAAAAGCTTTCAACTTATGATGTTGCCATTATACGTTAGGACATTCTGCCTTAAAACCGATATCACCAAATATAAATGATAAAGAGACAAATACAAACAAAAACAATTGCAAGAATTCTGATCAGAAATAAGAAAATAACATACATTCCCTTCTACATCAAGAACTTACAGTAGCCCATTAACAAGTTTTAACTTTCAAGCACAAATAAAAACAAAGAAACAAGCTTTCATTTTCCTTACAACAAGCTGAAAAGCCTAATCTAAGAATTCTTAATCCTTGGAAGCCTAAACTCCCAAAAGAACAAGGTTGAGATTCTACCATAGTTAAGTTTAAGATAACTTAGGCCCTCTCGCCACGGATCCGGCGAGCGAGCTGAATGTCCTTTGGCATAATAGTAACCCTCTTAGCATGAATAGCGCAGAGATTAGTATCCTCAAAAAGCCCAACCAAGTACGCTTCGGATGCCTCCTGGAGAGCAGCAACGGCAGAGCTTTGGAAGCGCAGATCAGTCTTAAAGTCCTGCGCAATCTCGCGGACCAACCTCTGGAACGGAAGCTTGCGGATGAGAAGCTCCGTGCTCTTCTGATACTTCCTGATCTCCCTAAGTGCTACGGTACCAGGACGGAAGCGGTGGGGTTTCTTGACTCCGCCGGTCGCCGGAGCAGATTTCCTTGCGGCCTTGGTCGCCAGTTGCTTACGCGGAGCTTTGCCGCCGGTGGACTTTCGAGCAGTTTGCTTAGTCCTCGCCATGAAGAATTCCGAAGAAAATAGGAGAGTTGGTGAATGGGAATTTGGGTTAGGGTTTTGTTGTTGGAGAGATCGGTGGTGGATGAGAGAACGGAAAAGGGCGAGCAGGGTATTTGTAGTGTGGTGGGGAAAAAGGCGGGTGAGCGAAGGGTAAAATTCGTAAATTTTGAGATTCCACGGACGGGAATGTGGAGCGTTCGATTTGGAGCTAATGAATGGAGAGGATCTTGTGGTGGTGGTGCACGAGGATTGCCAGCGTGGCAATCCTGAGGGTCTCATGCGGTCCTTGTGGTCGAGGGATTGACGGATTGTGGAATGAAGTGGAGCCGCTCTAGTGCTCAGCACATCAAAGTCCATCTATATTTACAAGCAAAAAATATGTTTTTTTAAATTTATAAGTTCTTCCATTTTTAAATTATATTTATTTTCAAAATATTAATTTTTTCATTATTTTGATAAATTCGAAATGATATTATGTTTTCTCATTATTTGATCAATTCTGATATTAACATACCATTTTAACAATAAAAAATAATTATTAAATAGTAATATCACCTATCAACATACTTAAAAAAAAAAATGTTCTAGTATTAATTGTGGCACCATCAAAATAATAATTTTGATAAATTGATAATATTATTTCTTTGTTAAGGCAGAAAATTTAACTCGAATTATTGTTGAATTCTATAATTATACTTAAATAATTCTATTGTAAAATTTCCTCCTATTTATTAAATGATATAATAAAAAAAGAATTCATAAAAATAAGCATGTTTATAATTAATTTATCCGAAAAAGCAGATTTTTGAGATAATATAGAAAGGAGAAAATACGTGAAATGAATTTTCGCTTTATATGTAATACGTAAAATTAGGGCTGTCAAAATCGGGTCACGGGTTGGGTTTGAGTTTAGACAATAATGTTTATAATTTTTTTAAATATCATTTACTTATTTCATAAAAATCCATTAAAATCCTCCTAAATTAATTAAAAACGGGTCAAATTGGGTTGATTTCGAGTTTTCGGGTCAACCCGAACTCGACCCGGTTTTACAAACAGGTCAAAATCCCTAACCTGAACCCGAAATTTTCGGGTCCGTTTCGGGTCAGGCCAAATATTGACACCCCTACAGTAAAATAATTTTTCAGATACATAGAATGCGGAAAATTATTTTTCACATTCAATGGAATGCAGAAAATCATTTTGCAATTTTTTTTAAAGAAATATCTGCCCGCTGCCACTCCAAAAGAAGCACTTTATGGTATAACTAATCCCTCAACATAAAGATCACCCAAAAGTATCGGGCCCACTTGCTTTCCTGGCCCTCTCGTTTCACATTCAACTCGACAAAAAGCTGGCCCGATCGTCTAATCTCCCACTAACAATCAATTACACAAAGGACAAAATAATAGTGGAATTATAAGCCTTAACAGTAAATCCTTAAATCCTGAGCCAAGAGAAAGAGAATACAGCTATCGTGAAGATCACAATCAGAGAGAAGAAAGAGCAGAGTAAACCGGGAGTTGCTCATTTTAAGAATCCACTTACTTTCCATTTATCCATAAAGCACTTTCCTGTACAGAATCTAGTTAGCTTAATAAAATACGAAGCATTAAAATCTACTTAACTAACCTACAACATACAGCAAAATGAAGAACAATAATTAAAAGAAAAAAAAAAACTGAGATTTGCTCATTACAATCTAGAGAAGAAATTCATCTGAGAGTAACCTATCTAAAGCAATTTAACTTATCTGCTCCTGCTGAAGGTAAAATCCTTGTTCAGGCATTGAAATTCCGCCTAGTATCTTCCATTTTCAGAAGCAGATCTTTAATCTCGGCTTCCATCCTTGCTTTCAAATTTATGAAATCCTGATGAGCCCTTTCCATTGCTTGTAGTTCTTGGAGCTTCTGCCGACGTTTTTCCTCGGCCTCTTGCAGCTGTAATCTCGCCATTTTAGTGCTGTATTCATCATCAATCTTTCCAGTTTTAGCTGCTGCAATTCGTTTCAGGCCATCTGCTTCTCTTCTTGCATTGTCAGCACGTTCCTGGTATAAATTGGCCTCAGCCTGTTTGTACTCAACAACACTCTCCAGTTCATCAACTACCGGTTTCTTTTCAAAACTCATTTGTAATAGAGAAGAATCCTTCCTTTGCCTGCACATCTGATCATCATCGACGGTGGGAGAAGCACTTTTGTGTAGTATGCGAGATACTTGGCTTGAAGGAACAGGAGTCAACCATGCAGTTTCTTCAATTGGGAAAGCTACCGCATTGCCTCTTTGATCGTTATTTCCGGATGGTTCTGTAGGGGAATATAGAGCAGAATTGCTGATTGTCGATTCACTTTCTGAAAGTGCAATGACAAAAAGAACAGTTATATATAATATGATGAAAGTCTTCAGTAGGATAATAAAGGGTGTCAATGATGAAAGTTTACATTACTAAATAAATATATTCTAAAATAAGCTTGACATATTATTGCCAAAATTGATATGTACAGAGACTTTGATAAATATATCCACAATGTGATCCTATGAAGCTTAGAGAGAGTCAGACTTGGGTTATTTGGTCACATAAAATGTCGGCCTTTGATGACCTTGTTAGGAGAGTAAATGTATTTGATTTAACTTGTGTTAAAAAAAGGTAGAGATAGACCTAAAAGACTTGGTTAGAAAAAAAATTATAAATAGCATTTTTAATTAGATTTAAATAAGGATTTGACTCTAAGCAACACACAATGAAGAAAAAAATTCATATATAGCCAAACCCACATATAGTAGGATAAAATATTGTTATTGTTATTGTTGTTGCAGTGAGTACGAGAGAATGAAAGGGAAGGAGCACATATAAAGGAGTAGCGTTTGGCGAAAGCAAGTAACGTGGACTTGGCAAGATTACCAAGCCGTTGACGTTAGATTGTCAAGAAATCGAATATGGAGGTTAGAGCCACTTGAGAAGTTGGTGATCGATGCATTTGAATGGGACGGGCTGAATACAGACCATAGTGAGATGAGCCCAGAGAACTGATTTGATTGGTCCAAAGATCCTTTATTTGATAATCAAAAGCTGAAATGAAATGAACAAAGAATTGTAGGCAGCCAAGCAATTTATGTATAGTAGATTGTAGGAAAGTTGTGAGGCATGGAAGATATGGGGTAGAAGAAGCTTACGATACTAAGTGGGTAAAATACTGATATCGATAATGGAAATTGGTATAATTTAACCATAGTTAAGGGAAATCTGTCATTCTCCTTAATAAGGCAAAGAATTGAAGAATTGAGAGGAATTAAAGTGAGATGAGTATTAGCACTCGAGTCAAGATACCACTCGACATTTGAACCAAACATAACATGAAGTGAAGAAGTGGGACTGTAGTTAAGATGGATGAGATGTTAGCATTTCAATGCGTAATTCCTAAGTTAGCCATAAATTTGACCTTGCATAGATTGAGATATAAATTAGGAATCATTTACAGTGGAGGAAAATTTTCATCCTGGTTTGTGGAAACTCAAGGATGCTATGCCTTCGTGAAAACCGACCACACCCACAACCACAACCACGAGTGATAGAAAGAGTTACAGATATGTCCCAATTTGTGTATGTGAGATGAATATTCAGAAGTCCTTCGATAGCCTGGCGGCGATATTTTTCTCTTTACTACATCACAGGAAGTAAAGGTCATAAAGGCTAAAAGGATAAAGCTGAATTCTGATTGTAGTTTTGAAGGCAATGTGAGTAAAAGGGAACCCATTAAGGGTATAGAGAATGATGACCTCAAGATTAAGACAGCACCTGTAGGAGTGAGAGAATCCACTTAGGCCTTCATAAGAGAAAAAATACTCGATCATTATGTTATCCTTCATAAAAATGTTATGAAATTCATTCTTCAGTTAAAGAGGCAAGAAAGATTTGAGGGCTGCATCAAATTTTTAACGGTACACCAGATTTGTGTGTAGGTGCTAAGATTAAGAACATATAGTAAAAGACTACTAAATACAGTGGAAAATATAATTGCTGCAAGATTTTGATCTAACAACATAAAGCTGGGTATTACGGATTTGGAAGAAGAAGACCATCTTCAACCAGAATACAGTCTGTAGAAATGAGAACAATAGATCCATCTCGATGACCTTCGAAAAAATTTAAGCGAAAAACTTTTAACTTGTGACCTCCATATCGGATGATTATCATATGTGAGTATATTTGTTATAAGTTTTTGACGTTAAATATCAAAATACTAAAAGATTGAGGTAAATCAATACCATTGTGAAATGAAGAGGAGCTATTGTTACCGACAAAAGAAGAAATTAAATTGGACATGCGGAGCTCCGCAAACAAATAAACTCTGATTATCAAGAGAATAATAGCAGTGTCATTGGGCAAGAAAGCTCGGATGACAATGATAATATACATAATACAGAGAAGAAGAAGATAGTGAAGAAGAGAATTATATACACCTGGCACTCATACCTAGAAAACACAGATGAACTATTTGTGTTTTCCAACTGGGACCATACTGAAAAGTTAAATGAAAGGTCCTCACTGCTACTCAAGTGGTATTGATGGGGACATCAGAGCATGAATCGGATATCAGAGGCGTGGCCAACGATCTATGACCACGATCGCATACGGCCACGATCGCATCGATGTATTTTGAGTTATTTTATGTATTTGTTTTATTATGTTATTTGTCTTTTATTATTAGTTATGTTGTAATTGTTTTTTCTGTTTTTACCTCTTACTTAAAAGGATGTCGTATGTAAACCCTAAGGGCATTGTCGTCTTTCTTATTTTGTGTCCTTTTTGTACGAGGCTATTTATAACCCTCATGTTGCTCTTCAAAAGGGAATGACTGAATATTATGAAAACTTCTTGCACTTGTGTGTTTTGAGAGCGATTGTGAGTTCTTGGAGAGAGGCAGAGAGCTTTGGAGGAATCCCTAGGAGAGGGAAAATCGGATCACCCACCAACCTTGGAGACGGCCGGGTTCGTGGTTCTACATTCTCTATATTCTTCTGCCCTCTTTCCTCCCTCAACTAGCCGCCGGCCTAGAGCTCTTCCCCATTGGCTGAAGTCGCCGGCCACCATACAACTTCCCCCTCTCCATTGGTTGAACTTAATTCCCCTTACACCTTCACCCGACGGCTAGATCCGGCCACCCCACCCCACGGCCCCTCCACCTTGCCGCCGGCCTTCTTTGGCCCCTCCCTACTTCCCCACTTGCTATCAATTCTTTCCTAAATTAGATTTCATAAATTTGGTAACTATTATTTGAAGAAATTCAAATCAATTTGAATTTCAAATAGTTACTTAAATTATAAATCTTATTTTAGGAAACCTATTAAATCAATTCTTATTTAAATTTTACATTAAGAGATGATGAAATATTTCTTTTCAATCTTGATTTATTAATTAAGTAAGAATTAATTATCTCATTAAATTCCTTCCTTCCTCTATAAGCCGCCGGCCTTCTTTGGCCCCTCCCTACTTACCCACTTGCTATCAATTCTTTCCTAAATTAGATTTCATCTCTCCTTTTGGAATTATTATCAAACTTTCAAAGTCTTCATTGGCCGAATTTTCCAAAGCTCTCACACCTCCTTATTTCTTTCCAAAATCTTTTATTGAGTTTTGGAAACAAATCCCTAGACCCCTCCTCTTGCCGCCACCCATAGCCACCTCCTCACTCCCATTAATTCCAATCCTAGAGATTAATTAGGGAAGTGATTGGAAGCCTTTTGACACCACTTTAATTCCCAAAATCTGAACCTAATTTCCCCAAACCTCTTCCCTCTTGGCCGACCACCTTTTATTGCCTTCTCCTAATTGAATTGTTGAAGGAAGCCCCTCTCTCTTGAAGGGTTCTTCAATGCGAGCAAAGGATCAATACACTCAACACTTCGACGCTTGGAAGAGATCTCTTCTCTTCCAATTGAACCTTCACGGGAAACTACGTTATTGACTTCGTCAACACATCGCCTAATCGTCTTCGGATTTTGATAAGGATGAACTTCTTCCCCTTTTTATTTACTTCTCTAATCCCTGTAATCTTATAGGTGATGGAGATTCACAAGGAGCCGAGCTTCACCTTTGCCTAAGCTTAGTAAACGTAGGATTTTGTTTCGTCATTGCCAAAAGCTTAGTAAACGTAGGGTTGAGTGAACTTTATTTGCTTCTAATCTTATTGTTAGGTTAGGGATTTCTGTTGAAGGCTATTCTATTTGCATGACTTGAGTTTCTATGTTGTTTTGATAATCCAAGTGCTTAGTGTGCAACTTAGCCTAAACGGAAGTGGCCGCTCTTATGTTTTATTTGATCGTTTAATTTGCTAATAGCTCTAATCCTAATTGCCCTTACCAAGAAATCGTGCAAATTCTTTTACATTCATTTTAAACATTTAGTCCTACATCAGGTATACTGCATTCCAATTTATGTATCATTAATTCAGGGGATAGTGCATTCAATGCTATGAGACAATTGTTTGATTGGACATAAAAATAATCATAGACAATGATAATAAATATAAAAGTAGAAGTAAAGTTGTTGCACACAAAAAGAATGTTGGGAATACTAGAGCTACATTGCACCTTGTATTCTATAGGAGAGTGAATGATGAGGACAATTTCGACATGTGTACCATCGATGGAATCGTAGATCGACGGCTACATTTCAGAGTCTTTACTTTTGATGTATTTCATGTTTTATTTATTTTGCATTTCAGTTTTCCTAGTTTACCCCTATGGGTAATGAGTTCTTATTGTAGCCCTGAGGGCATTTGAGTCTTTTTCTTTTCTTTATTATCGAGACCTATATATAGAGATCTTGTGTTTTGTAATACTAATGTTTCTCAAAATTGATTTGGATTCATGTCGGGTAGATCTCCTGTAGAAGCTATACATTTATTGAGAGGTTTGATGGAGAAGTCTAGAAAGAATAAGGAGGATCTTCATATGATACTTATTGATTTAGAGAAGTGCTCTAGAGTGTTTTAAAAAAAGCATTTGAAAGAGGATATACCTTAATGTATGCTTTTTGTTGATGATATTTTTCTTGTTGATAAGACTAGAGAGGAAGCTGAAGGTAAACTTAAATTATAGAGGTCAACCTTAGAGTCCACAAATTTTCATTTGAGTAGATCTAAAGCCTAAAATTTGAGTATAATTTTAATAGTAATAGATCTAGTGGGAGATTGATATTTTAAGGAATTAAGTCATTAATAAAAGTATACGCTTTAGATATCTCAAGTCTATTGTTCAAAATGATGGTGATATTATTAATAAAATTCAAGTTGGATGGTTGAAGTGGAGAAATGCATCTGTCCTGTTGTGTGATAGGAAAGTACCCTTCAAACCTATGTAGCACGGATACCCCTATTTACAAGGCATGATGTATCAGACATGTGTAGAATACGGAAACGCCTCTGATACGACACGGGTACGTGTCGGATATGGCTTTGTCGTGTCCAATTAAAATATTATTTAAATTTGACCGAACACGCAAATCAAATACGCGTGTCCTATTAAAAAAAAGAAAACAAATGGTACTGGAATTCAGTACCGCTCGGTACCGCTTGGCACTGCTTGGTACCGAAACTCGGTACCGTTCAAAATCTCTCTGCAACGCTCGGTACCATGCTCAGTATCAATGCTAGGTACTGCTTGATGTCGAGGGGAACAGAATAGAACCAAGGGCAGCGAGAAGCTAGAGAAAGCTTTAAAACAACTCTTATAATAAAAAATTGTTCCGGGGGCGCTGCCACCAGAAACCCCCGCAGGGGCGCTGCCCCTTGACCTCGCGACCTGACCCCCAACATATCTGCGACATATCTACACTTTTACTTAAAAAATTTTATGTTTCAAATTCATGTGGTTTTATTAGTGTCGATCTTCGTAGGATAATAAGCTATAGTGGTTGTAAGAATTGGGCCTGATGATGGTCTATCAGAGACCAATTCTTTTTCTTTTTCTTTTTTGTCATTTCAAATATTACGCTTTGATTACTTTCTTAATTTTTATGCATGATTTATATATTATAATGTCGTATATGCATCCTGTAATTTTAAGAATTGATGTGTCCCGTATCCGTATCATGTCGTATCCGTGTCGCCATATCTGTATCGGTGCAACATAGCTTCAAACATAAGGGAAAATTCTAGGTGGTGAGACCTACAATTCTTTATGAAGTAGAATATTGGCCATTAAAAGAGAAGCGAGTATGCATAGATGAGTATGCTTAGGTGGATGAGTGACTTCACTCTTATAGATAGAATGTGAAACGAGTATATACGTGAAAATGTTGAAGAAGCTCCATGGGCATATAAGAATAGAAAGAATCGTCTTAGATGGTTTGATCACATAAAATGTCAGTTTTTTATGACCTGATTAGGAGAGTAGATGTATTAGATTGACCTATATAAAGAAAGGCTAAGGTTACCTAAAAAGATTGTTAGAAAATATTAGAAATAACATTTTTATTATATTTAAATGAGAATTTGACTCTTAACATGACACAATTGAGAAAAATGATTCTTGTAGTCGACCCCACGTAGTGGTATAAAGACTTAAAATTGTTGTTGTTGCGTTGGTTATTGTTATGTTTGTTTTATTTTTGTTGGGAGGCGTCAAGGTTTGTAAGAGAGAAAGGAATGTCAGTCCATAATTATTTCTTTCATCAGTGTCGTTTATTGATTTGTAAGAAGCCTTGATGAAGGAAATGCACTGTTTAAGAAATATCAATGTAAGTGACAACCGAGACATCACATTTCTCCTCTAGTTGATATTATTGCAAACACAAACATGAAACCTACGGTTGACTACTACCAATGTCAACAAGGAGCACCACAAAATGCTCAAATAAAAGTCGTCTCAATTATTAACAATGTTGTAATACCAAATAAAATGATTTTCCCTCATGTGTTTGCTCTGTTTAGTAATTGGAATTTAAACTGAAAATTTTATGTGAGCAAGTAACGTTGTCTATTGGTTTATGTTTATGTTTATGTTGAGTTACTTTCATGAAATATCTATTATGATATTTTGTGAGCAACAATATTTTGACACTTAATTATATTTTTTTAATTTTCTTTGATCAATAAGAATTTTCTCTTATTATAAGCTCTGCCATGAATAGAGGCTCCTAGTTAATCTAAACTAAAGACTTTTAGTTGCACATCAACAAAACAAAACAAAATAATAAACTATAATTTATGAACAGCTAGATCACACAAATAATTTCAATTGCTTCAACCATATAGCTTTCGGCAACATCTTTTTCTATAGTAGAATCACAATTAACTCAAAACAGACAATTGCAGCTGTCCCAACTGGGCCATTGATCATCACAGACAAAGATGATAAACTTGGGGCCCACAGACAAAATATGATGGACATGATGTTCATCTGGTGCCACCAAAAATATTATCTAATAAAGATAGAAGTGACAAATAGAGAAATCCATGAGAGATGGCCACTATGAGACAGCAAAAAAACAAGGGGAAAATTTTTAAGTTTGTCATTCTTAATCCACTAAAGTTGACAAATGAAGAGCATGAAAGCAAAAGTGAATTTCAACTCCCTTTGCTTAGATCATCACAATAAATTGAAGTGTTAAAAATCAGCATTCATCAAAGCAATGCAAATGCTCTTTCTGAGTTCATATCAGGACAGTCAAAAATGTGTCCACAAATAAACTATAAATGGAAAAGAGAAAGATAGTTACTTTTCAAGTGACACAAGAAAATAACAATACAGGCCTTCTTGTTGAGAATAACATGCTTATATTCAAAACAAACAAATACTAAGACGAGCAAAAAGAGTAACTCACCTGAAAGAAATGACATGATATTTTTTATTACTTCAGAATGCTTCTTCTTATCTTCCAGTTTCACCAGCATCTGACCAGCAACTTGGTACAAACTTTTACCCCTCATATCATTACTAGCACAGAATATTCTCCTCACATATTGAAGTTCCTTAGCAAGATTTTCAACTTTCCAGTCCTTGGAACACATCTTGAAAACTTCCTTCACAAAGCCAAACATCTCTGAAGGATGACCGCATGCAACACAATGAAACTGCATTTCAGTGGCTCCAAGTGCAACTGAAGAACTTCGACCATTTCTAATGTGAGAACCTCGTAATCCACAATCTGTATGGCACCAATGTAGACACACATCGCAGCCAACCCAGCTGCAAGTATTAGATGCCATGTCAAACTTGGAACAAACGAGACACATGCAGGCACTACAGAAACCATTCTTTTGAGAGCAAATTTTGCAATCACAATCATCAACAGGCAACATGTTCCTACATGCAATATTGCGACACCTCAATTTGTGATATATCTCAACTAGATCAGATGATGAAACATTATTGGGTCTCTGAATGAAATCTGGAAGACCCGTCTTCAAAGCCACCAATATCTCCAACAGAGTCTGGGGGCACCTCGTCATAGTTTCTGAAGTCAAGTCAGATCTTCCTTGGAGTGTACCCTGTAATGCATGTATTTGCCCACGTTTATCTGTATTAGCAAGCATCTTGCAAATAGAATCCTTCAGATAATCCATAGAATGCTCAGACATATCTTGAAGCATCCTCTCCATTACTTGCAAGGGTTCTGAGACTATCCTGGTGATGATCCTCTCAACAAAACTCGGCGCATTAACAACGATCTGTTCGCTTTCCCGATGCTCGGTCCGAGATAGACTGTTAAAGCTTCTCTCTCTTGTCAACATCCTCTTATCCTTGCTGTGTTCAGACAGCGTGTCATGGGATCCGACACTCTGAGGAGGGGAAGGGTGTCTCGGGAAACTTTGTTGCCGCAATAATGCATTTGAGTTCAAATTATGGAGCCCATTCATACCTGGAATCGAGTTCTGGGAATGATTACCATTCAGAAGTACTCTATGGAAGAGTGCCCCAGCTCCTCCCTTTCGTCTGGGCTCAATTGATGTGTGAGATTGCCTTATGGTGCCACTGGAAACCTGATCTACCCCCTGAAATACAGGACGGCTACCAACTGACTGCTCAAAGTTGTCCATCGAGTTCTGTGTGAGAGAACAGCTAGGATTGTGTACAAATGGTTGAGAGCTTGATAACGACATTGAGTTTGTGAATCCATCAGAGATTGTCCGGAATGAAGATGGAAACGACTGAACGCTCCTAGTACCACCAGGGGAGTTTGGGTTTGAGTTAGGAGGCTTAGAACTCTGGTCTGTTAGAACACCAGGTAATCCAAGAGAGAGGTCCAGTGGTTCCAATTTAAGTTTTTCTTTCTTGATCCTTCCACCAAAAAGCCCACAACTGTTAGCCTTATCTGGTTGAATTATATGATCTTGAAATACAAGCTCAAAGCCCCTGCGACTGGGACCTTCCACAGCATCCTCATCCTCTGCTGAATCTGTCATGTTAGAAAAAGGACGTGCAATGCGTTTGCCCTTGTCTCTTGGATTCTCTGCCATAGGCTTCAATGTCAGGTTGTTCTCACATTTAATTTCCTTAACTGAATTGCAATAGCCAGCTTCACCGACAGTTGCAACTTGAAGATCAATACCTTTTCCTTTCCTCTGCTCTGCTTCAAAATCAACTTGATCAATACCTTTGTCTTTCCTCTGCACAACTCCAAGGTTAATACATGTCTCATCTTTCTTTTCAATATCCATCTCAACCTCACTAAAATGCCCTTCTCTTACAATCTCTTCTAAGTTTCCTTGTCGCGAAGCAGTATAAACATTGCGCAGCTCATCATCCTTGACCACAGGCTCTTCAAGCCTATTATTAATTTCAAGATTAGGAAATTGGGAAGGTAAATAAGAGCTTTTGTCACTAATTCTTTCTTTCTTCTCACTGCAAGAAGTCTCTTCAAGCTTTTCCTCTTCACAAGCTTCAGCCAAGTCTTTCTTCTCTCCACTAGAAGTATCTTCAAGCTTTCCCTCTTCGCAAGTATCTTCAGCCAAATCCTTTGCTTCCCCTTGACTTTCACTCAAACTTTCTCTTTGCCCTCTCAATTCAACAAAACCCTCCCCTTCCACTATGATTTCCTCATTCAGTTTCTTAGCAATTCGGATTTGTTCTTCCTGCAATGAGATATTTCTTGTTATCTGATCCACTTCTATCTCCATTGATCTCTCCCCATCAGAAGTACCATCAACATTATCCGACCTCTTCATACTCAATTGCACGCCTTTGTTCTCTGAACTGGTTTCGGAAACAGTCTTAATCACACCCTCTTTATCTTTAATGTTTTGAGAGTCCCGCTCAGCCTGCCCTCTACTATGTATGGAAGGCTCAGGTAATGGATCAGGTTCAAGCTCCCCTTCTTCCATCTCACTACTGCTGCAGCTCTCCCTCCGAACCTTATCCATGTCTGCTTTGACAGCCTCAACGTCTTTAGCCTGCTCCCCACTGGATGAATCCATCGACCGAGTCTTGCCCCTATCTTCCGAATCCCTAGCCGGGGATCTCTTCTCCTCATCAGCAGCCTCCTTCCCACAGTTCAATCTCCTCCACGACAAACCCCCACAGACTTCCCGCCGGGAACGATCCCTCTCCGATCTAAAACCCTTCGGAAAATCCCTCCTTATAGCCGAAAAGCTCTCCGACCGGTGCAACCGCTCGCTCCCATACGAACCTCGAGGCGACGAAACATGCGGAGTCCGATCTACCCCTCCGCCGCCGCCTCCATCTCGATAGCGATCGAAGATCTTCCTCCTATCAAACCCGTCCAACTCGTGCTCGAATCGCTTCCGTGGAGGCCGCATGGCCTCCCGCTCGTCATCGATCGATCTATCGTACAGCGAAGAAGAGGATCTTCGGAGGCCCTCAGACTTCATATAGAACCTGCGGCGCGACGACGACCTATCGGGCTCGATCTCCCGCCTCTCCCATTCCTTTCCGGCGACATCGTCCAGATCCTCGCCGTAGGATCTCAGCCTCTTCATCGAGAGAAATGAAAATCTACTTCGACTGCACGAAACAAGTTTTACCGAAACTACCTCACTGCAACCCTAGTTTTCGTCGCGGAACGGCGGCAGGAAGGGGCGAGCCGGAAACCCTGTAAGACAGTTTGATCGGATGAAGAGTATCGAAGGAGACGACTGATGGGGGCTGATTTCCGGCAATAAAAGCGGCCGAGCCACCGGAAAATCGCATCGGAGGAGGAGAGCGGGCAAGCGGACAAAGCTAGTGGAGAAAAGGGCTTTGCTCACCTCCGCTTTCTTTACTTCCTTCCAGTCAACGCAACTTGTCGCTAAGCCGGACTCCAGAGTGAAAGCGCCAGCTCTCATAATTACGGTTCATTAAGGCGAGGCACGGCAGGACCCACTCGAACTTGTCTTGTTCAACTGCCATGCTGGCAGTCAATATTCCATTTTTCTGATAATTTTATTGATTTTAGGATTCCATTTTGAATTTCAATTTTTTATTTCTAATTATTAAATATTTATAAAAGCTAAAAATAAAGCTTATTATCTAATTAAGACTTTGATCAAGTGATGAAAATCAGATCGGATAACAAATTGGAAGAATGAAAGATTCAAAATTCGATGTTTTGATCGGGGACCAATCAAGATTGAATTGAATAACGTAATAAATATTAATTTTATTTAAAAAAATCTAAAAAATAAGGTTTCTTAATATTTTTGCAAAAAATCTATCCAAAATCTAATTTGGAAGAATTATTTTTTTATCTATTAATATATGAAAATTAGAGCAATCTAATATCATATACTAGTATAAAGAATGAAAATAATTTCTATAATTTAAAACATCAATATACATCTATAATCATTTCTCAAAAAATTATGTACATTACTCATGATCCATATAATCATATTACAAATACTCTATAATGAGTAAAAAAGAACAGTTAAAATAAAAATAACCTAAACATAAAAGAATCTTAATAAATATCACATTTGTACTTTATTATCATAACCTAAAATCATTTAATCACATATAATGAGCTCAACAAGTAATAAAATCAAATAATTGATCTCAAAGCACGACAAAATAGCAATATGCATGTCAACAGTCAAATCATAATAGTAGCACACATATATGATCATAGGACAATACAATAAAGAAATCAGTAAACTAATATATGTGTCAAATAACTAAATAAATCATCATATCAATGCTATAATTAGCAAAGAAATCATATAAACATCAAATAAAAATATATATAAATATTGTCGATATAATGTCAATGCAATAAATTCATATAAAAATAATTGTATATGTATATCACATGCTCATAAATATCATATCATTGTCAACTCAGTGTTAGTGTCTAGGGTACTTGCTCTATACATATCACATGATCAGTATATCAATCAATGGCGAAGCAAGAAATTTTATTTAGGGGGGGGGGGGGGGGGGGAGTGGGGGGGGGGGGGGGGGGGGGGGGGGGGGGCCTAAATTAAAAATAGTTATGTTTGTCGTCTTATTACTAGAGTCATATGAGATGTAAAATCAAAAATAAAAATGCAAATAACATGACTTTTAGAGCTTAGAAGACATAAATATCTGTCACGGGCGGTCTCCGTTTGGGAGTGAGAGAGGAGCGAAAGGGAAAATGAAAGTCGTACTCGAAGTCGTGAGAGATGAGCAAAAGGGAAAATGAAACAGGCCGTTTGGGTCGAGGGCTAAAATTTACTCGATATTCTTTTAAATATTTTCATTTCAACTAATTTAAGTGAGTTTTAAATTCAATCACTAATAATTGACACGGTAAACAGAGTCATCACTCTTTGCTCGTCGGTATATCTTTTTATAACTCCTAATCAATATATCACATGAATCAATCGAGTATAATATCAAATCACTTATTTAAAGGAAAGTTCGTTGATGAATATCCAATGTTAGTGAATATATAGTCTTTATTTTTCTTTTAATATACAGTCTTTACTTATTTTTCTTCACACACTTTATTATTACAATATTATAATAGTAATAATGACCAATAAATCATATACACATATTCTCAATGTATTGCAGTAAATAAAATATAATTGGGTTTAATATATCAATAGATTTTTTTCTCTCTCTCTCCTCATATTTCTCTCTAAATTTCTCAAATTAATTACTCTCTATTAGCCGATTTGAAGAAAGGCAAATGGAATTTAATGTTTTAAGTAAATGGAATTAGATATTTAATAATAAAATAAATATAAAGTATTTCATTATATATTTAAATTCAGTTTTATTATAAATTTCATATAAATCCTTTTGGGACTTAAAAAAAAAATCTATAGAATAGTTCATTTTATTTAAATATTTTTGTTGAAATCAGTTTGCAAAACGGACACATGACTTTCTAAAATCCTCACTTGTATAGACAATTGTCAATTTCTTAAGGGTTTGCGACAATGAAAAAATATATAAAAAATAATAATGTAATTAAAATACTATAATATATATGCTATAATAACGACAATTTGTGATTTAGACTTATAATGACTTAAAAAAATCATTTAACTTGGTTAAAATATGGGTTATTACACTTAGAGGGGTGAGATATCAGGTGGCCTCCTATAGTTATAATATCTTCTTTAGAACCTAAAATATTTAAACATCTTATATCTAGGCATATCAACATTCTATCTAAAATTTTATGATTATTCTTACATTCCTCCAAAGAGGTTATATATCAACTATATTTTAACTACACACATGATCATAATGTACATTAAATGAAGAACATTAGTTAATTGAGAACATCATTAAATTTTTAAAGTACAAGAGTCTTTATTAGTATTTAATATATTTTTTATATCATCAATCTAAAATAAGAGATCTAGCTAGACATAGAATACATGACAATAAAACTCATTTTTAATGTATTCATAGAAAAACCAGAATAAAAGAGAAATAATGGAAAGTTATCACCATGTAGGATCAAAATATATCTTCTATAATCATTCCTTCACTTACAGAGTTGGTTCAATAAACGCGTGCTAAATTCTCTGATAGATTGTATCATGTAATTACCTAACCTCCATTATATTATACTATAAGATGGTACTAAAGATGCACACTAAAAAGTACTAAGTTTTACACAAGTGACTAAACTAATTCACAAACATAACAAAATAACTAGTTACACAAGTGTCTAGCACTGTGACGCTCGAAAGTCAACTAGCACCTCAACACGGAAATGCTTACTCTATTATGACACTTGATGACGTGGAATAGTTATCAACTGAGCATAAGCATCTTTCCACTTTAGTGATGCGTCTCTTGAAAGTTATAACTGCAACACCACAAAGCTGTGAAAATTAGAGCGTTGCGGTGCTTGAGTTGATGAAACGGCACTTAGGCGTTGAAATGCATGGCATTGCGACATTCATTTTATTAGGAATGTGGCGCTGCCAAGCCAATTTTCCCACGCTTCGGTGCCTCAAACACTGTTGTTGACTATGATGTTGTTGCAATGCTCACAAACAGGGAGAATGGTGTTGTAATGTCCAAAAGTGATGCTTTGGGGGTGTTGAATGCATCACGTTGACGTTGTTTCCTCTAGCGCCGCGGCGCTGCCTATTACTTTGTATTTTTCAACATTTTTTAGTTTTTTGTGTGAAAAAATAATTAAAATAATATGTTTTTATTTAAACTTAAATATATCAAATATTACGTAATTTATATTTTAAAAAAAGTGGCAATATACACGACAATACATGAAGCTACACATGAAAAAAAAAAAAAAAACTTTGTTCACAATATAAAATAATAAGAATAAAAATCAAATGAATCAATCTAAGACTTGTTGAGGTGATGAATGCATTTAAAAATAATAATCATCACCATTGGGCTACTGTCAGCCCCCATATTTGTCCACTGCTACCACATTTGCCCACCATTGCCACTGCAGTCGGCTACTGCCTCCAACTACTTCCAAATCTTGTTGCCAACCTCTATTGGCCACTATGCAACACCAAGACTATTACCATTGTCGCATAAATTAATTTATTTAATTTGGATGAAAAATAAAAATATTATATTATGAAAATATTAAATATATTTTTATTTTATGTAAAAAATAAATAAAATAAAAATAGGAAATAAAAGTGATGCCAAATAACTCTTAAACACCTATGCTTTTAAATAATTTTAGAACTAAATTTGTTGGACTAGGAAAAATTCTTAGCTCATTTATGCATGAAATTTTGTATACAACATTAAACTAAAATAGGAAAGTTACAAAAAAGGGCAAAGAAGGGGCCCTAGATGTGTACATGTGTGCTCATATCCTCCATCGTGATATCTAAAAATTCTCGAGGAATAGTATCCCTATCCACAAAATGTCAAACAAAATTACAATGTAAATCTCATTGGGCATAATAGTGGGTGTCCCCATTGAAAGCCCGAGGGGTATGCTGAAAAATAATATTGTGAAAGAGTTGCAACCAGTTGAGTTCGACTCCAAGTTATGGCTGCAAAGTCCAACACCCGTTGTCCATATATTCCTGCATAAGCTTGATGACATTGATGTTATCCCCCTCTACAATGATGCCCGTTGATACATCCAGTCCTATAGCATCTGGCTAATATGACACCGCCTAGCTATCACATGATCAAGAGTCTCATCCTCATTGTAACCCCACAGGCATTTGTCCTCGTTCTGCAGTCGTCTCTTAAAATGAAAGACTAAAATATTAAAAAGATATATTTTACTATCTTATCTTAACTGATTTTTTTTAATTTTCTTTTAATGTCTCATTACTTTTTTTTTCTTTTGCTATAATAATTACTTAAATCATGGCTCGAACTTGTAGAATAAAGCTCAAGCTTAACATGAAACTCAATTAATTAATTAAGTTTAAGTCAGAGATGACTCAAACTCGACTAGACGTTTACACCCAAAATGAAAATATAAACCAAAATAATAATTAGCTTTATTACATTCAATTCAATAAAAAATTATAGCAATATCTTCATCAAATTTTTTTAAACTATTTCGGTAATTCAGCTTAAACTTGGTTTAACAACAGATTAACAGTAAACCAAACAATAACAAAATTTCTATACCTCAGTGGGTCCCTTTGCCACGTGGAAAGAAATGGTGGCTTACACGTGGGTTTGTTTTGGGAAGATTCTGGTTGACGATGACTGTTGCGTTGAAGACAGAAAGACGAGATCTAATGGGGAATCAGGTGTTCAATCCTAAACACCCAGTGCAAAATTCAAAGCTCATTTGGATGGCCGTAAGAAAATTTTCACATAAATGGCTTATAATTACTTGACAAAAAGGATCGTTTATGCAGTATGCAAAACAGCGGATCGGAATGTCAGAGGAGAATTCAAAGATGACAAATCCTCTTCTTTTCCAATTTAAATATTTTAGTTTAATTATTTAATACTTAATAATTACTATAATGCCACAATGGGCAATAAGTTGACGTCGTCAGCAATAATTTATTCAATATAATTACATTTATGAAATAGTTTAGGCCCCAATGCGAAAATTAAGGGAATATTGAATAATAAAGTTGATTTGTATTTAAAATTAATATATATATATATATTTTAATGATTGAGTATATATTGAGCAAAAAAAAAATCTCATGAATTTAAATATACTTCTTCAAGAAGAGAGCAAAATTAATAATTATTGGTACAATCATATGATAAAATAAAAGCATAAAATTCACATAAAATTTATTTATTTTTAGCTTCAAATGAGTGGATATAACTCTACATTTCTTTAAATATATAAGCATATTAGAAATAAACTTAAGTTATGATTTTATTAGTCTATCATTTAGTTGATCGAGTTTAGGAGAAGTATACATGACATTAAGCGAGAATTATAAAACTCCTATAACATCCTTATCCATTTATTGTGGGTTCAACCAATTAGATATCAAAAGTTGAACTCATCGTGTCCTTAATAAACTCAACCTTTTTTGAGAATCGGGGTTTGGCAGACTCTCCTCAAAAAGTTTGCTATGCATAACCATCTACTATGTCCCGAGTTTTTATTTGGTTCGGTTGACCGGATGCAAGAAGCATCTGGTCGTAGGCAAAAAAAACGCGGTACCGAGGTGTACCGAGTTTTTCAAAAAACTCGGTACACCACGGTACCGAGTTTTTCAAAAAACTCGGTACACCACGGTACCGAGTTTTTTTTTTTTTTTCCTACGCCCGGATACCGAGTTTTTCAAAAAACTCGGTACACCACGGTACCGAGTTTTTCAAAAAACTCGGTACACCACGGTACCGAGTTTTTTTTGCCTACGACCGGATGCTTCTCTGCATCCGGTCGGAGGACGTAATAATTGTTCACTATGTCCCCCTGTTGAATTCAGTCGTGAAAGTACATTAAACACATCCTCCTTCAATGATCACCAAATTGCCCGATTTTGCCCAATGATTAACTATTGCTATTCATTTAAATTGATAATAATAAAGTATATTGAAGGATAATTCTAAAGGAGGATTGGACAACCCTCAAAATTTTAAATATTGATATAACATCTAAAATTTTTCTTGATCAAGCACGAAACTTGAGGCATTTTTGAATTGGAAACTTCTAAAATTAAATCTGAAATCATATGTGCTCTAATTTCAGCAAACTTATAGTCGAACTGAATGTCTTAAAAAGATGAACCCAAAATCGAGGACCCGAAAAGCATTTGGAAGGTTCAATCTAAATATTAAATGCTTATAGTCGAATCGAGTGGCTCAATGATACGAATCCAATAAGCCCAAGATCATCAAATTCTGACATCATTAAGACTCTCAAATACTCAATAAACAGTCCATAATCAAAGGAAATCAATATTGCTCGTCTATTTAGACCACTCCCAACGTGTCATTAATCTTCTCCCAAATTATTGGTTATGTTGTTCAAAAAAAAAATATAAATTAGCACCTCATTCTTCATGAAGGGGAAACCAATCAAGGAAGAGAGGAAATAAAGAGAAATAAGAGTTCTCCTGCCACTAGACTCCTCCTTGACCACCTCCTCGCCACCAACTGATGCCGGACTTCCATAGATGCCAGACTTCCACCCATCCATCAACTCTCATCGGATTTCCTTAATGAAATAATCACGATAATTTGGGCTAATAATTTATCAAAGCATACAAGCCACAAAAATCCAGCTAGCCAACTACACATAAATACTAAATACTACTTACTATTTAATTTAATTAATTTGCTTAAAATTTTATCTCCAGGAATATATTCCATAATACTCACTAATTGATTTGTCATAAAGCTATCGATATTAACAAACAATAATTATATAAACATTTCCCGCAAGGATGTAAGTTCCATCAATCCAATTTGTTAAGCCAGCCAAAAACCATCAAACCTAATCAAACAATTAGTTGGGGATGCAAAGAACTTTTATTTGGTCCGGTGTAAGGATGCAGAGGAACATCCGGTTGTAGGCAAAATCCCGCCTATACCGAGGTGTACCGAGTTTTTTTGAAAAACTCGGTTGCCTACAACCGGATGTTCCTCTGCATCCGGTCGGAGGACGTAATAATTCTTCGGATGCAAAAGGCTAATCAAACAATCAAACCCATCAACCTACTAGAACATGAATATATGAACAATAAAATTGAGGAGGTTGGCATAAAGTCATAAAGTCCACTAAGATAAATTAGATTTTGTTTGATAGAGCTTTCTTACCTTTTTTTAAATAATTTTTTCACATAAATTTTTTTTTTTTTTTATACTAAGGTTTCATTTTAGACGGTTTTTTTACTGTCTTTGAAAGCAACTTTTTAGTACAAAAATTTATTTTTGCACTAAAAAATTGTTTAAAAAGCAATAAGAAAGCCTTTCCAAATGACTCCTAAAACACTACTTTAGAAAGAAGCAAAAAAAACTACCCCATACGAAACCTCCCTAGAAATGCAACCCCTTGAAATGCATCCCTCCAAAAGTTGGGTATTAAATAAACAAAATCCAAATCTATCCGATGAAAGCCCAATTATCATGCCAATCTAGTTAATTGGGCCTTTCTGCGCTGATGAAATCTAAAGCCCAATTAATAGTTTGAGAAAACAGTTCTGAAGAGTTAATTAAAATAAAAAATTAATTTTTTTTTATATTGAAATATATTATATAAAATTTTTTATGAGAATATTTGAGCTATATTTTTTCTCCAGAAATAATATTCCCAGTTAAAGAGGAAAAAATGGGATTTACATGCATATCATTTTGCACCATAAAATTTACATATTTAACATCTAAAATTTTAATATTTAATGCCTATCACATATGATCAAATTTAAGAAAAATGAATGAAATATTAAAAGTTTATCGGATGATATGGCCGGTATGATATGGCCGGTAGAAATGAAATATATGAGTGACATATTTTATATTAAAATTGTTTATAAATATTATGCATCAAAATTTTAAATTTAAAGTGTTATATATGTAAATAATATGATATAAAATAATATTTATATAAATCCAGAAAAAAACATTGAAAGTTTTGTTTACAATAGATTTTTTATTTTTAAAAAATAAATTTTAATACAAAATTTTCTTTTAAAAAAGTCTTTTACTAAAATTTTGCTGGATATATATGCTCACAAAATCGGATAGTCCGGACTCCGGCACTTCATAATTTCTCCAGATTAACAGACATTTCACAAGAGAAGCTCGAACAAATCTGCCATCCGTTGCTAGAGGAACCGCCGCACATCTCAACGATGCAATGCTGTGTTGGCGGTTTTTGCTAGCTTCAAATTTGTTAGATTTTTAGAAACCCCGCTCTCCAATTTACTCTACCCAGAAAACAGAATTCCCGTCTCCCATCAAAAGGCTTGAAGCTTGAACTCTTCTCCTCCGGTCTCGTTGCTCTCCCGGAAACGGTGTAGACGAACCTCTCCTCCACAATGTCTCAGAATAACACGACGGCTACTGCGGCTTCCGGCGCCGGCGCCGGCGAAGGTAATAACGAGGTCGGGAACATAAGCAAAACACGCTGCCGCCTCCAAACCTCTTCCATGTCCGCTTCGTTCTCCGTATTCATCCTCAACATCCTCATGATCCTCATTAGTTGTAAGATCGTTCACTCCTTCCTCCGCCACCTCGGCCAGCACCGCATGATCTCCGATTTCATAGTAATTACTCAAACACATCGATCATAACCCGTCGATCGTTTCTTTGATTTCTCTCCAATCGGAATTCTAATCCCTTTTCCTTCGCAGATCGGCGTTCTAATGGGCAACGTCGAAGCGTTGCGGTTCACCGTCGAGGACCATGTCATCATCGCCATCGTCCGCATGGGTTCAGTCTCCTTCACATTCTACCTCTTCGCCCTCGGCCTCGAGATGGATCCTAGGAACATTATAGATTGGTCCGGCCCGGCAACGAAGCTCGCATACTCTGGCATCATCTCCACCATCGGAGTAACCCTCTTATGCTACACTGTCATAAACTTCAGCGGCCTCGAAGTCGCCAGAATCAATTCGTACCAAATGATCTGCGCTCTCGCAATCGGCCTCGCCGCGACCTCTTCTCCCATCCTCACCCGCCTCATCACCGAGCTCAAGATCGGCAAATCGGAGATCGGCCGCCTCGCCGTCCGCACCGGTCTCGCCAACGACATGATCTGCACATCCATCATGTGCGTCGGTGTTCTCATCTACGGATCCCAGATCCGGATTCTCGACGATTCTCTTTCAACCAAAATCATCAACGCCATTCTCAACATCCTTTTTCTTACCATCGAGGTTTGCTTCATCTTCAAAATCATAAACCCCTTTCTTGGAGTCTTAAACGATCGGAACCCTGAAGGAAAACCCATCCGCGGCATCGACATGCTGATCGTCTCCCTCATATCTGCCGTACTTTGTTTCAGCTCTCTTCTCTATGGCTTCGACCCCAATTTCAACGCCTTTGTCGTTGGTCTCTTCTTTCCTCGCGATGGCCGAATGTCGAATTTCCTCATCAGCCGAATCAATTTCGCCCTCACCACATTCATCCTACCGCTCTACGTCGTCCTCGTCGGCTTTTCCACCGATTACAAAGCATGGGTCACGCAACCGAGCCGCACCGTTTACAGACTCTTGATCCTTGGATCCATTGGGGTGGTCGGAAAGCTGATGGGGACTGTAGTTTGCAGCATCCGTTGCGGCCTTCTATGGCCTGAGGCCATCGCTCTCGGACTTCTCTTAAACGTAAAGGGTTACTTCCACATCTTCTGCGCATACACCACCTCGTCAATGCAGCTGATCGAACCTGACATGATGATGGTGATGCTCCTGGTGACGATCGGGACGATCATTCCGACGCCGTTGGTGGTGGCGTTCATTGTGCGACGAGCGAGGGCGAGGGAACAGGGGGGCAGTCCGATGGGGTTGCAATATTGTAATGTGGGAGGAGAGGCGAGGATTTTGATTGGATTGCATGGGGTTCATGATGTGGGGATGGCGGTGAATGTGATGGAGGCGATGAGGGGGAAAGGGCAGGGGGAGGAGGGGAGATTGATGGCTTACGTGGTGGATATGGTGGAGATGACGGATAAGACGGCGGCGTCGCTGGTGCATGGAGAGGGGTTGGAGGCGGTGACGGTGAGAGATGAGGAGATTGTGGAGATGAGGGAGCAGATTGGGTCGGCATTGGAGGCGTATAAGGAGGATGGTGGGGAAGGGTTGAGGGTGCGGAGGATGCTCGCCGTGTCGTCGTACGACTGTATGCATCAGGACATCTGCGGCATCGCTCAGGTAAAGATAGACGACCTGACACATTATAATAAGAATTTTCCACACAAAAAAAAAAAGACACATTACTAATAACTTTGTTATTTTATTTTATTTAACGGAAAGAACGGAAACAGTATTCGTTTGGTTAATATAAGGCTTGAGTTTGACTCTATCCCCAATGAGCCAAAATTTAACATACTCACGAAGTAGAACGATACATCGAATACAAATAAGAAAATAATAACAATAATATGAAAAAAAAAATGAAATAGAGAGAAAATAACAAAATCACATCACACACAAAAAAAAAAAATTCATTATAAAATTGAGAGGAATTTGTACATATTTCTTTCTCTTTCACTATCGTCTCTCTTGCACATACTAAAACCATCATAGAACAAAACATTTCATGAAGAACAACAAAAGAACTGCCTAGCCCGTCTCGCTAAGATTGAAGCTTCACGATACTCAAATATTTGTCTCTAGTCTGACTAACAACACTGCAACGTTGGGTTTGGAGTGACACGGTGCTCTATGAGAGTGTCGCAACGTCGTGATTTGGAGCACCGCAACACTCTGTTATATGTTTGTTTTCATGCAAACTATATAGTGCCTCAACTCGGATACATAGTGTTGCATCGATGTACTGTTGAACGGAAAAAAGCTTCTTGCACAAAGCACCCAAACTCAAGCAAGGGACCCCCCCCCCCCCCCCCAAATAAGCTCGATCGATAGAATTGAGGTCCAAGGTAGCAGTACAACCCGATTAATCAACATAATTAGATTACAATCAAAACTAACACAAAAATATATTTCAACTTTATTATTAGATGGGCCAACATGAGTAACAATTAATTTATAATATTTTAAATATATGTGATTCAATATATACAATAAATACTATCTTTATATGGAATAACCACCACATTTGTGCCCCTTTTCATGAAGAATGTTTCACATAATATTGAAATATGAAAATTAATTAAAATTTCTTATGTTAGGGCTTTTATTTTGCTCATCGTGAAAGGCACTTCATGCTTAGTTGTCAGTTGGTACTTAGGGACCCTAACTTTAATGTGTGTTTTATCAATAATTTCACTATAATTCTGATCATTTGATAAACTATGTTAAGTAAGATAATTATTAAACTTATATTGGACATTATTGTTGTAAAAAAAAAAAAAAGATATATAATTCAATTATATTTTATAAAAAAATTTGAATCATTGCAGACTTTACACATCATACCTCTCCTATAGCATACAACATTTAAATACTTACTCTTAGTTTATCCTGAATGTTGAAAGTTGAATTGAATTACCATATTACACACTTTATACCTAAGCATATGAAATACCATAGCAACATATTCTTCATTGTGCACATTCATTGAGTTTGCAAATCATCCTCTTGTGCAAAAGAAATGCATGATTTGAAAAAAAGACCACCCTCTCATTATTTTCATCATGTTAGTACGTACAATAAGAATCAGATTCATGATATAGCCTACAAAGATATGTTTCATTTGAATATTCTGATCAAGATTAAATTCTTGTTGTGCTCTTGTTGGTTCATGTAGTAAGATGAACATAGCAATAATTGTGCTAGTGATACTGACTTGAAGGAACAACGCCTGAAATCACACACACAACACATATACATGATTAAACTCAATACCTCTTAATTAGTAGCAAAAACACCCAATCAACTGATCAAGAAGAGCTGCATCAACTGAAACATTTTGATTTCTACTCATCTCCACGTCGTTTCAAAAGTCATTCCAATTGGTGACCACTTAGTAATACCTTCTAATCTCTGAGACTTTGAATTCTACTATGATAGGCACTTAGAGGAGTCCTCATAAAAATATGCAAAGTAGTCTTGAAGATTTTTCCACATCACATAGATTGATAGACTTTATTATCAACTGCAACGAATAACTTAAAATATTAAAAAAAAAAAAATGATCCTTTTCTCATGGCATTCTTAATAAACTCACTGTACAAGATGGCTACAATTTATAAGCAAACAAATTAATGTTATTTTTATTGATTAAAATCAGCTCTTTTTCTCCTGTTATTATTCTCTGCTCATTAATTTTCACCATAACTCAGGATTGCTTGGCGGCACTGGTGGTGCTTCCCTTCCACCGTCGGCAGAGAGTCGACGGCTCAATGGACTCAGGCCACCCAGGCCACAGACTCCTCAACCAAAGGGTACTCCAACAATCCCCTTGCTCAGTCGCAATCCTCGTCAACCGCGGACTCAAACGCTCTGCCTCCCAAATATCTTTCTCATTCGCATCTCAAAACATCTGCGTCGTCTTCATCGGCGGGGCCGACGACCGCGAGGCCCTCGCCTACGCCAGCAGAGTCGCCCAGCACCCCGGCGTCAGACTCACAGTCGTAAGATTCCTCCCCGACGCCGCCGCTAATGGCAGAGTATCAGGACCAGGAAGAAGAATTCTAACCTCAGTGGGAAAGCAAGAGATGGAAATGAAGGCGGACGACGAGCACTTCGCCGGATTCTACGAGAGGTATGTTGCGGGAGGGAACGGGGTCGGGTATATGGAGAAGCATGTGGGGAGTGGGGCGGAGACGGTGGCGACGTTGAGAGCGTTGGAAGGGCAGTACGAGTTGTTTGTGGTGGGGAAAGGAAAGGAGAGGAATTCGGTGCTGACGGCGGGGATGAGTGAGTGGGCGGAGTGCCCGGAGCTTGGGCCGATAGGGGACATACTTGCGGCTCCAGACTTCTCCTTGACGGCATCTGTGCTTGTTATACAGCACTGTAATGTTGCCAGGAGATGCGACGTTATCGACGAGGAGTTTCTTCCAGTTTAGTGGCCATGTAGTTATTTTATCAGTAGGAGAGATTGAATCGTGAAGGGGATGGTGATCTAGCTTCCAAGAAAATGGGGGATCCCTATTAAATATGATTTTCTATAGGCACTCCGCTCGGCTGTAATCATTAATTTTAGATTAGTGTATGTGTTAGTTCGGACACTATTCAAAAAAAAAAAAACTCTCAAATTTTAGATCTCATGTCTATATGAGACTTGTGAGTATTTCATTATTTTGTTAGGAGTTATTTATTTGTTTAGAGTTTAGGATTTTGGGTTTTATGGGTGATCACTCTTCTCTGAGAGATCCAATGATCAAGAGAGATTCAATGATCAAGAGAGATCCACGTCGTGACGGTGAGAGGAGGTCTTGCAAGGCGGCTAAGACTGATGATGTTATGTCCACCGTTACGGACGATTCCCTCATTATTTTTCACTATAATTATTTATTCCCTATGAAATTAGATTTTTTCTTGGCTTTCCTTTGTCTTTCCAGGATTGTTTCCTTGGTTTAATTGTTTATTCATTCATGAACTGATTGTTCTTGTTATTGTCTATCAAACAAGGAGCATGGAATTTTGTTGTATTATTAGTACTGCATAATTTATTTGATGACATTTTGGGATCATTGTTGTTAATTAGCTGGTTTTTTTCTGTAGAAATAATTTCCATTGATTAAGTCAGGTGTTTTAGCTTATTTAATTACCATGCATTCAAAGGGTGGCAATTATTGAATCTTTTTTTTTTTATCTGTTTTCTTGCAGCTATTGCTCATTTGCATTTCTTGTATTCTTGTTTGGACTTTGAATATCAAACAAAAAGTTAAAAAAAAAAACTTTACAATATAATTTTATTTTGTGACATGTCAACCATAAATAATGTAGAAGAAGATAGTAATCATATTTTTTGAATGCATAACTTCAATTGATGTTGTTGCAGTTTTTACATCTAACAAGCGACGAAAATGTATTGTTATCCTTTAGTAATTATGATAGTAGGATTTTTTTTTTGGTTGATTTTGGATGTTCAATATGTTGTTATTAATGTGGTGATTGGGTGGTTAACTATGATTGTAAACAAGTAAATCTTTGGTTATAAATTTTACTATGCAAATGATCTTTTTGTCTGAACTTACTAACAATTTTAATGGTAGACGTAGAGCACAATGTATGTGTGGAACTCTTTGGAACGAAGGTATTGTTTCAATAATATAATAGCAGTTATTGATTTTTTAATAGATGACTGGATGTTCTGCAATGGAATTATGGCATAAATTTTATAGTTATTAAGATAATGAAGTTTTTTGTTATAGTATAATTATTTTAGCTAATTTTGTGTTGTTCTTCTTATAATTGTTTTAAATTTGTTTGGTTATTTGAAGCATATGGAATTTTAATATTTATAATAATTGGTTATTTTTTGAAACTACACTTACCTGACACTGTGATCTACCTTTTATATTATATGAATTTTGTATTATTGTAAAATAGTTTTTGAAATATATAGATGAATGAAATAAAGATGTGATTTATTTCTTCATGGATGTACATTTTGGAATGGAATTTTTTTCATTGGCTGAAGTTTTTTAAAAGTATTAGTTTTCTTGCTATTATGTTTTGAAATTATGTTCATTCCAACTAAATTTTCACTTAATTTTTTTTAAAGTATAGAGGATGAATTTGTTGGATCACTTTCCAAATATTTATGGAATTCCATAAGAAGAACTTGAGCTTCTTCTATATTTGATTTGCTATGGCACAAAAGCATCACTTTATCGGTTTCTATTTACATTGATTACTAATGACATTTATTTTTCTCTGTTATTATTATACTTGTTGTTTGTATTGAAGTTCTTAAATCATTTTAACTAAATTTGTATTGGAGAGATTTTGGATGCAAAAAATTTTATTTTCAGGTGCTTAAAGATATAAGAATTGGATGAAAGTGCTGTTACGTTTAGATGATTTTTTAGTGGTATATCTAAAATTTTGTGTATGATTAAAGTATGAAATTGACCATTAATTATATTGCACTCAAGAATATGTTATTTTTTGCATATAATATAGTATTTATAATATCTTTTGTGTTGTTATATTTTTTTGAATTTTGTGCATTAGGATGTTAATGTTAAAGACAATTAACCATTTGTAACATATTGAATATTAACTAGATAATTAGAAATCAAATGACTATGAGTGATGCTTTTTTTTTAGAATAAATATAAGATAAATTTGATTAAGAGATTAAATTCTTGGCCAAATAAGAGACTTAGTTTTAAAATGAACTCCAAATCAATATCAACAAACATTTTATTATGTCAAATATTAGATTTTTTATCATACATTTTTTTATAAACAGAGTAATTTTAAATGTTTTAGTAAAATTATCATAGAAACAAAGATAATGATAGCATTACTAAGCTTCAATCACACCATCACTCCTTTTTTCATTATCATTTAATTCTCTAGTTGCAATGGAATGAATGATGAATGATAATTCATAAAATTAACTTGAAATTAATAATAGTTATTGTAATATATTTATTAGTTATAGTTTAATTAAAAAATATTATTAGTTATAGTTAAATTAATAATTATAATTGTTGCGTCTTGGAGTATTCATGGTGGTAGGGAAATATAAAGTTTAACGTCTCAGCATTGTACGAAGATCCAATTACGCAATCAGATAAGAGAGAGGGTGCAATATTTATGAGAGATCAAGATTTCTACGTGGAAAACCCCTAAAAAAGAGGGAAAAACCACGGGGCATAGCCCAGTTTGAATGAATTCACTAGTCTTGTAGTTGATTACAAATGAGGCCATTCCTTGGGGGAAGGCCTTAGCTTGATGTACATCTTATAGAGTACATTACATTATGAGAATATAAAGAATCACTGTTGATGTGTTTGTTTGATCTGAAAGACTATAGTCAGTAGGCGACGTGAGTTAGTAGGCGACGTGCATCAGAAGGATCGTAGTCGGCGAGCGACGGAGGTCGGAAGGACTGTAGTCGGTGGGCGACGGAGATCGGAAGGACTATAGTCTATGGGCGACATAAGTCAGAAGGATTGTAGTCGGCATGCGACAGAGGTCGAAGGGATTGTAGTCGGTGGGCAATGTAAGTCAGAAGGACCGTAGTTGGCGGGCGACGGAGGTTGGAAGGACTGCCGTCTAACGGCGGAGGTCAGAAGGACGACGTTAGTTAAAAGTCCATCAATGGATAGAAATTTAACATCGGATAGATGTCCAACAAAACTCCGACAACGGGCAGAAGTCCAGCGTTGAGAAGAAGCTTGGCGACGAGCGAAGGTGTGGCGTCAGGTAGAAGTCTGATGTTAGTTGACGGCTGAGGAGAACTCAAGCGTTGGATGGTATTCGGGCAGAACTTCGGTGTCACTTGGAGGTCAGGCGAAATTCCAGCGTCACATGGGCAGAATTCCAGCATATCGTGGAATTCGGGCAGAATTCTAGCGTCACTTGGGCAGAATTCTGACGGCGGTGGTCGATGAGGAGTTTCTTCCCTCCTATCCTTCTTCTCTTCTCTTCTCCTCCTTTTCTTCTTCTGGCTTAAGGCCCCTCTCAAGAGAAATGAGGGGTCTATTTATAGACTTTCTAAAGTGGCATGACCCATAAATAGATGAGAGATCAGGGGCAAATATGGAGTGGTTCAGATGAACGACCGATATTGAATCATTCGATCGTGGACTGTTTATCAAGTATTTGAAGGTCTTAATGACTTCGAAATTTGGCAATCTTGAGCTCGTTGGATTCATCTCGTTGAGCCGCTCGATTCAACCATAAGCTCATCAAGTTCGGAGACTGTTTAATAACTCAAATTGTTGTACAAACTTTTTAACAGTGCTTCCGGTCTTTGATTTGGACTTATTTGGGCTCGAATTGAGTTGAATTTGGTGTCGTTGGGTTCGTATTTCCGAGACGCTCAGTTTGACTGTAAGTTTACTGAAATCGGGGTTCAAGTGATCCCGGATTTAATTTTTGAAATTACTTGTTTAATTTTGCCTCGAGATTTGTGCTCGATCAATATAATTTATTGATGATACATCAATAATAATTTAAAGTTATTACTTTTTTTTAAAATAATGATAATATAATATAAAAAATTTTAATGTGAAATTTATTTGTATTTAATGCACGGATAATAAAACTAATACATATTAAAGTGTATTAAAGTGATATATTGTTATCAATATACTTATCTATAAAAATTTGTTATATGCATTATATATATATATATATTTTAAGCCACATGCAAATAGAACAAAAATCAAAGTGTCGCACCGCCAAGCTTTCCAATTAGAATCTTCATGCCCCATTAGAATCTCGAATCATCCAACACAACCCCGCCACATAAAACTCTTTCGAACGCAGAAAATTAAATAAAAATCATATTTTTCACGATTCCAAAAACTAGGCATTTCAACCTCAGAAATTTGTTTGGCTGAGATTGAAGGACGTCAACCATGACTTCCATTCCTCCCCCTGCCCGTTTTCCGTGTTTGAATTCGAAACACTTCACAACCCGAAGAAGAAAGCCAAAGCTCAGACCTTTCCCGTTTGTCTACCCACACCTAAAAACCTAGATTTCCATATAAAGCAGTTCTTTTTCCATTTTTCCTTTGTAAAATTTACGATTCTCGCTCCGAGATCCCCGCCGGTCGAAGAAAGATTCGATCTTGGTGAGGATGGCCGGAACTCAGACGATGGTGATCGGGCCTATTCCATCCGGCTTCTGCCCTCGGAGCAGCAGCTGCGATTTAGGGTTATGCAGCGGGCCCACTAGCCGGCGGCCTGCGGCGAGCCCGAGTCGGACGGGGTTGTGCAGTTCCTTTGTCGGAGGCTGGGGCGATCGGAAGCGGCAGGCGGTGAGGTCGAAAAAGAGGAGGGAGAGGAACAGATTTATAGTGGATGAGATTGCGGGACAGTATGAAGAGAGCTTTGAAGATATCCATGGGGTTAGTTGAATATTGCTCTTCTTTTGTGTTAATTTTGTCTATAATCCAATCTTTTATTGGTTAACTCAAGCTAAGATTTATAATCCAAAATTTTTAAATGATTTTGAAGGATTAGGCTAATACTTTAGTGGTAGTTGGTATGCAAAAGATTTAAGTTTAGTTTAATATCTTGGTAAGAGGTGGAAGGAGGTTTATTTGAAGACCTTCTCCACAGAGTTAGTTCTAATCAGGAGGGAAGGTGGATTAGGATTAGAAATTAAGTTTGATTACTTGTACAGATAGCTAATATAATTAACAAGAGAAATATTTACTGTTTGGTAAACGTTAGGATGTTGCAATGTAATCGGTAATTCAAGGTTGCCATCAACTCGAGTAGAAATCACTGTTCTGGTGAATAGTAGAAGAGGAAGAAGAGAGGAAATACATAGTAGAGGACATGGTGAGTATATTTTTCATTACAATTTTTTTTTAAGATAGCTTGATATACCCAACTGAAACCCTTGCTACCTTTTTTTGTATGATAATCCGTGAGCCACGTTGACGTCTTGCTTGCTTTGTTGTTGTGCCTATATGTGGAAGCAAAACCTGAGAAATCCTGATCAATCTTACACTCTTGATTTTTTGCCCTGACTTGAAAATTTCATTGAAATCACATATAATAAGCTAAAAGGCCAACATGCAACTAAATTCTGCAATTGAGCTCAAAACATGGTAAAGAAGTAATATGCATGTCATCAGTCAATTCATAATAGTATCAATCATTATGATCATGAATCTGTGCAATATATAAATAAATTTTGAAACAATAGAATAATTTGGTATGAAAATCAGTAGAGTCGGTATAAGTAAATAAGTAAATTGCTAAGCTAATAAATCAATAACTTAGTACGGAGATTGAATCAAATAAACAATGAGGAAATTGTGTAAATCAATAACCAGACATATCTAAAAAATTGTAAGAATCCATAACTTTGCAGTACAATCAAATTATCATACACATGAAGTCCCACCATTAACTAGTATCTTATATTACAATATCCAATCAATATTTTATATCACAGCACTCAATATCAATTACTCAGTATAGGAATCACATGCTCATTATCAATAGATCAGTAAATAGTGAATCAATAGTATCAACAATGACAATGAATATATAACAATAACAACATCAATATCAGTAAACCGGTGCCAACAACATTAAACAGTATAATAGTAAAATAGTCCTGTGAAGCAATGTGGAAATAGTAAATCAATGCAGTAACTATCAGGTTGAACATGAACAATAAATCATTAATATGCATTTTAGTAATTATATTCAACATTATTCAACAAGGAGTTATGGCCATCACGGTGTTTTTTCAGTATTTAATAATCATAATAATCGGTAGTCGGTAACCGTTGTCTCGGTAGATGGAGTCATCACTCCTTGCCCATCGGCACAGTAATAACTCCTTATAACTCCAATCATTATATCACGTGAATCACTAGAAGATAACACAACTTTGTGTTTAAAGGAATTCCATCGGCCTACTATTATGTACAGGTCTATCAATATTCAACTAATGGCTTAACCAATATTTACTTGTTTCACACACACATTATTATAAAAGTAGTAGGTTGCTATTACTCATTCACATACATATTTTTATTTTCAATGCTTGCATTAACATGTTTTGTTCAAATATTAAAATTCTATTATGAGTAAATCGAATAAAATAGCATAATTTTTATTTTACCCGAAGAAATCTCAAATCAACCAGTTAAATAGTTCAGAATATTTAGTACTATAACATATAAAAATTTGTACGATCAAAGCTCGATAAATTTAGGGGAAATGCAATAAAAATCAATTCAGAAGAAATCAGACGGTCAAAATCAAAATATTTAAAAATAAAGATAGGATAAACATTTCCTTCCTTTTTGTATAAGCGGTGGAGCGGATCGACAACCAAAATTCAAAATTTTTCCTTCCTCTCTCCCCCCTCTCCCATTTCTTCTCACGCAAGTCGATGTTGGTGGGTGAGGCAAGCAGTTGAGTAGAGATAAAATATATATAAAAACAATTTTTAGTGCTTAGCGCTGCAGCCCCTTCATCACCCAGCACCATAGCGCTGCATGCTGAATCCAGAATTACTGTAGAATAGAGGCTCTAATGCCGTGGCGACATTTTCTGACGCTGCTGCACCCTCAACCTAGCGCCGTAACGCTCAAAGGCACATCACCGGTGCGTAGTTCATTTTATCATATGTATAAGTAATAGGAATTCAAGTTTTCATTTTAAAATTATGGGTTGTTACATATATAACCTTTATTCTACGTCAGTTTTTAATGATTTTCTCCCTCTCAAATCAACTTATGCTTTATCTTCTAATATAGATCATTTCCATCGTGTGATTTTTGATATATTGTATATATCATTATCCTAAGTGCTTTGATAAGCTTATATTAAAATTTCACCGATTAATTTTATATATATATCATTTTAATTAAAATAACTAGAGTAATAATAAAAATAAAATGATTATGAGACAACATACTAAATCTTGATATAAAATAATGATACGCATAAAGTTACTATTCATTTGGCTTAACACATTTTTTGGTATAATATATACATACTTATGAGCACATTAGATAGATTTACATGCTATGATAATTACATTTAATGTGTGTATGATGATTTCTATTATAATATACTTGATATGATATATTTATAAAAGCAAGAAAGACTGGCTGAAAATAATTGACTAATTTAAGCTGGCCGCATATATGTTATCCTGTACAGGAGGGTGAGCTAATGAGCTTTCCTTTAAATACAGTTTGTAGTGTGATCCTAAAATACATGAATAAGGGAGACATAAGAAGATTTACTTATACATATGATGCGATGACGGATAGGAAGTGACGACTTCTTACATGAGGACTCTTGACTTTTTATTGAAAATGATATGATTGATTCCTGTTTATATGACTTATATGATTGAGACTGATTCATGTAGGTTGACCTACAAGACTTGATACAAGAAAAATTCCACAATAGCCACATGTCTTGCTTTGCTTAAATTAAGACATGCAAATATGATAGAATTGCATATGTATTGATGAAATAGTGCATGGCATGATAATTGCATAGATGATATGATATTATATGAACAAGGTACAATATATGATTGATGATGCAAACATATGACAAGGCTGGTACAAGAATATATGATATTGATATTATACATGATACATTATATTTATGCATGATATAGAACATGATACATATGTACTGATTCCATACAACATACATAGAATAGATATAGGACATTTATTATGATATGACAAGTATATTGATGTGTATGCCATGACATAAAATAGAATAAAAGTATAAGATGTAAACAATGTGTATATTCAAAATTTCACCTAACGCATTATACTTGATACAGGTACTGAAAAGTCAGAATATACTGATCGTTTTTATGGTCATTGAACACTGATCACTGATTTATTTACTTCTACTATTTATACTTATTGTTACATGCTCATATTGATGCAATGAATGATTACATGCATATTGGTTTCATTACTTTGCATTAATTGCAGTTGTAGGTTCATATAATCTATTGAGCTATTGTCTTATTATATGTGGTTTACAAGTTTTTAAGAAGGGATAGGGACCCAATGAAGTGAGGTTGATCAAGGTCGTTGAGATAAATATTTTATTTTGTTTGTCATTTTTGTGCCGACCCCACGTAGTGGCTTGAGGTTGTTGTTGTTGTTGTTGTCGTCATTTTTGTAGCTGAGAATATATTTGAATAGAATAATATGACCAAATGTACTTCTGGCTAATATATATGAATTTTTGTGAGAGAGGTAGAGATGTATCTCTTGATGTTTATGAAATAAATTGTAATATTATTTTGCACTGCTTTATTTTTATATGATAATTAGTGGCCCAGGGTGATTAATATGAAAAAAAATTGCAATTCTTTCCGCTTAGATCTTAGATAGATCTACTATCCCACATCCAATCCAAATTAGTCCATTAGGAGTACGAGTTAAGTTGGGTTAAGTCGTGATAGATCAAGCCTACATGGCTCACTCACCAATTTGGTGCCAAAGCTTGGATTAGTTCTGTTAGGTGGTGGCTTGGTGACTTCTAAAGATCTACCTAGGACTTTGTTCCAACATCTTCTCGAAGGGTTGGAGGAATTTCTCATCATTGCGGTCCTAGAGCCTAAGCCTTTTTCAGCATTGGTGCTACCACTAACAACCTTGACCTGGTAAATGGCACAGTCGTTGCCACCATCATTTCCACTTTTGATATTGTTGTTTCCCCCGCATCCTCTAATTACCCCCTTAACTTTTGTATAATTGTTGTGAAATCATTGACATACCTTGTCAAAGCCATCTATGAGAAGCTCTCAAAAGATGGAGAGGAAAGTTGATGGAGGTTGACATAAATGTGTTAGCCATCACTCAAAATACTTGGTGGATTTTAGAGAGAAAGGGAAGTGTAATGAGTCGTTCGCATGCCTTATGATCGTTCGGCTCGATCCAATATGTGGTCATCTAGATAAGAGGGAAGTCACCATCTTTTGTAGATCAACTACACTCGGGTAAAGAAGAACGATCTACTCACGATTTTATTTGACCGGATACAACGGGGTCAGGTCATTGAAAATTAGAGTTTTCATCTTACTTAGACTAAAAATATCATCGTTGGCATATCAGTGGTATCAGTTTGGACTCATCAGACATCTGGCCTCCTCATGTACAGCCTAATAACTATGCCCTAAAGATTCTTCGGAACACGGTAACATCTCTCTGACATGGATCATCATTGCCCTCAAGAATATAAATCAAATGACCATAAGATGCTCTCCATGTGGCACCATGCTTCTTTTCAATTTGTTGTGTCCCATTATGATTGTCGTCCCATAGCTGATCTCCTCTCTCTAGTTTTTCTCCATCCATTTGGGGATCACATCCTACCCCTGTATCACCTATAAATACACCCTCTTTTGAGGACTCTGGTTAGAGGGCTCAAGCTCATTTTGATGATATCTTGGGTTGTAAAAAAAAAGAGAGTTTTGTAAATGAGCGACTTGATACTTCCTTATCTTTATAGTGGAAATATCTTTGTACTTCCTCCTATAATAAATATGTCGTGTTCTCTCTATTTTATTCTTTTTCTTATGTTTTGTTCTGCTCATTTTGAACAAATATATGTGTTGTGCTTCTTGGTGATCCAAGAAGCTTTAGCAACTTTTGAGTACGTGTAAAATTTCTAGAGAAATAAGAGAACTAGAGAGAAATAGAGAAAACGAGAAATTATTCATTCCATGAGTATTTGATTACAATAGGAGAGATATTTATACTACTTGTGTAAACCAAGTGTTCAACATAGAAGTATAGAACCGGTCTGCCTAAAATAAACTAAAAAGTAGATTAAAAGAAATAAACTGATGCTTATTACATATGCATAGATCAATTGGGTTAAACTATTTTATTTGTTCAAGATATATTATTATTTTAGTGTCAATCTAGAATGTTTTGGTTCCTTCTTCTTTTATGCTTGTAGGTTGGTTTGTCTTGTTTGTAGCCCATGCTGCACAATTTGATAGGATAATTTTAGGATCCAATATAATATATTGATGTCTAACACTCCCATCGCCATGGAAAGCAACCTTGTCCTCAAGGTTAAGAGAAGGAAAAAACGAAGAGAGGGTTGCAACCATTGCAGCAAAACTTGATACATTTGATAATTTGATTTCCCATTGCAACAAAACTTGACCACAAAGCTATAAAAAAGTATAAGGAGAAAAGACATAAGAAGAAATTCATACTGACCATCATTAATAGTTTTATGAAAATTTTTAAGATTTCTCCTAACTTGCTGAGCAGCAGAACGAAAAGGAAATTTGGAGAAGAAAACTCTATGGAATTTATTTAAAATTTCATGTACTATTGAATATGAGATTTATCTTGAATGGTGAGTATATTAAGAGCTCTAGAATTAATACAAAAATGCCAAGTTCCATCATGTTTTTGATCAAGCACTAATTAGAATAGAAAAATATGTGGGATTATGACAAATAATACTGGAGTGAAGAATTTCAGAAATTAATTGTTCCATAGCATCATTTTGAAAATATGGAGAATGAAAATGACATATGTTAACTGTTTGAGATAAGGATGGAAGATGAATACAATGGTCAATGATACTAGATTGAGGTAAACCTAGTGGTGGCTGAAACAAAGGTTGAGATTGTTTGAGTAAGGTAGAATTGGATTATGGTAGATGATGTGTAAGAAAAAAAACCTGTTGGAGAAGATGACTTTTGTGGATAAGGGATTCAGCCGGTGGAACCAAGAATGCTAGCGGAAGAGGAAGTATCTTGATGAAGTGGAGTAAATGAATGGTCAATACACAAACTATCATGTTTCTTGTCTATGGAATTCATGAAAGAATAGATATGTTGGATGAGCCAATGTAAGCAAATTGAACATCGACTTGATATAAAATTTTTTGGATTTCAAAGAAGTGTAATTCTTGATTAGAGCTTCCACCAAATATGTGTTCTTCATATTGATTCGATATTTGTGGATGATGGAAGTGGTAGAAGCAGTTATTGAAACTTGGTTGCAGGTGTTGAATCCTGTGGATGAATCTTGCGGGTAGGGAGAACTCGGTGAAGTTGTTCTCAGCTGTGGAGGTATTCAGATGGAATCTGGGGTTTTTAACAAGGGCTTCTGCGGCTGAAATCAGCAAAAGAAGGCTACGGTTGTACTGGAAAGGCATCAAGAACAACAGAGAAGGCTGGCCGCAGATGTTGTGAAGCTTCTGGTCTTGAAATTCTTGCGGTTGAAGTATGAAAAAAATCTGATGTAGGCTTTTCTGTAGAGTTCTGTGATGAAAGAGGTTCGTGATGTTGATTTCCAAAGCTGTTCTTGATGCTGGAAACAGTTATTGTTGCTTCTTAAATTTCTGAAGATGCGGGTAGGCAAGTCTATTGAGCCAAAATGAAAAACAGCCATAGGACATGTGCCGGAGGCGGAGAACTGAAATAAAATCAGTCCAAGAAGAGGCTGGGAATGAATGTGAAGGCTGGTGTGCTAAACAACACAACAAGAAGAGGGCAGGAACAGCCTTTGGTGGCAGGATCTTGCAGCTGTCAGCCTGTCTGAACTACAACGGACTACAGGAAATTGGCAAACTGCACAAAATGGAGAGCAGAACAGCAGTAGAACCTGAAGGCTGCGGCGGAGTATTTTCCGGTGGAGAAACAATATCTTGGTGGCTGAAATAGAGGTAGGCGGTGGTGGAGGAGCCTGGCCGGCTGAAGAATGAGATGGAAAGGTGAGTTTAGTGCAACAAGATTATCATTTGTTATGCTTCTTGATCTACATCAAGAAGGGGAATGCATCTTTTGAGTAGGTGTGGATTCCTTAAGAAAAAAGAAGGGAAGAAGAGAGACTACAAAGGTAGAAACCATAAATCTTTCATTCCATAACCTTTTCTTATAATAAGAGATGTATTTATAATACGTGAATAGACCAAGTTTCAACATAGAGTAAAAGAAATAAACTAGTGCTTATTACATATGCATAGACCAATTGGGTTAAACTATTTTATTTGTCCAACATATATTGTTGTTGTAATGTCAATGTGGAATATTTTGGTTCCTTCTTCCTCCTTTATGGTTGTAGATTGGTTTGCCATGTTGGTAGGCCATGCTTAACAATTTGATTGTATAATTGTAGGATTCAATAAAATATATTGATGCCCAAAAATATGTCTCCATCAAGAAAGAAACTAACTCTACAACTCAACCCTATTGCGAAATTTTGAACTAAATCGCTTCCCACTCCTTTTCCTATTTGTGAACCAATTGTATCAATCGACATCCCATTTATTGATCACTCGGGTCTTTATCTAGCCATTACAAATAATAAAACTGAATCATTTTAAAATATTACATATTTTTAAACGCTACTTGACCATGGAAGTATTATATTGTCTTTGATTAAATAGTCCGTTGACCCTTTATGAAAGATCAAAATAGTCTCCAACTATACTAAATAATAAATTTTGTCCCTCAATTTCTTAAAGAGGAATACAAATTCTCATTATGAGACTATTTTGGATTTTTTTCAAAGATCTGAGGGATAAAATTGATCATTTAATATAGTTGGAATCATTTTGTCCTTCATAAAGAGTTAAGAGGTCATTTTGACCTTTTTTTATATATCATAAGTTACTTAATGTTTATTCTTCAAACTAATTTGGTTATTCTGCAAGAAATGAAAGTGTTCTGACATACAACCCCTCCGTGTTCTCTTATTAAGACTTTTTTTTTTTAAATTTTTGCAGCAACTTATTAATTTCTTCACTTATAAAGCTGTAAGGACCGTTCTTCATCAGCTCTATGAAATGAATCCACCGAAGTATATTTGGTTCTACAAGTAAGCCTTTACATGTTACTAATATTCTTTACACATAGAATCATACAATGTTGCTGCTATGCATGAGCTACTAGAGTGCCTCGCTTCTATGTAAATAGTTTGTTTCTTTTGTTAGCTTTGTCTCAAACAATCAAGTAAAAGACGGCGCACGATTCCTCCGCTCCCTCGGAAAGGTAACATTCATTTAGGCTTTGTTAGGGACGACTTTTTAACTGTTTTTTTAAACAACTTTCTAGTTTAAAAATTAAAATTTTTATACCAAAAAGCTTCTTTAAATAGCAGTAAGAAAGAAGCCTTAGTTTCGGAACAACATTTGTAAACAAGCATGATTAGATTCTGTTAACCATATTCTTTTTCATCATTAGGAGCATCAAGAATTAGCAGAAAGAGTGATGGTAACTCGCCTGCACCTCTATGGTAAATGGATTAAGGTATACTTATGAACTAGTTTTCTAACATGGCATTTCAGTACTATCATTTGTCTTTTTCTTCTAATCTACCATAAAAAACTTGATTCTCTTCTGATATTTGAGCAGAAATGTGATCATGCAATGATGTATCAGCGAATTTCTGATGAAAATCTGAAGTTGATGCGTGAGAGGCTAATGGAAACTGTAATATGGCCATCTGAGGACCCAAATGCAGAGAACCTTGACTCATAAATTGCAGAAATGGGTTAGTTTACTTGTATTAAGTTGTCTTGTTGGTGGTGTTGTTTCTATACTTAACGTTAGCTTGATTAACAGTTCATGTGGATATTTTCAGTTCAAAAGAATGAAAAATGCCTTTATTGTATACTACTATATAGTTGAAGAAGTTATTATTACCAAAGGCAATTGCCCAATACAGCATTGTTTATTATTACCTAATTTTGTTCTTGATTGATCCCTTTGTAGCTTGGAAGCTAAGAAGCTTGGTTTTATTTAATTTATCAATTTGTATTGTTGTTGGTGGTTATGGTGGAATTTAGAAACAAGTGTCACTATTAATGATATGATGCTAATTCATCAGAGATTGTTTCAAAATGATTTGGTGTACTTCTTGTAATTAAGATTTTGTTTTTACTTGTTTTTTAAATTTTTAAATAGAATACATTGGTGTACTCCTTGTAATTAGGAAATTCAAAATTAATCAAAAGCAAACCCTTTTATCTATTGGGAATGAGTTCATAATGAATCCAAACTAGTCTAATGGGTGAGAGCGTGGAAAAATTATTCTGTGCAAGCCCGGACGGCGTTCGAAGACCAACTAGAATGTGCCATGTCACTTTTTTGCTTGGTACTGCTCGGTATCGGGTGACGTGGCGCATTTTAGTTGGTCTCCGGACCGTCAGGTGTTCGCACAAAATAATTTCTTGAGAGTGTGGCATGGCCTTGGATATATCATGAGACAGGGCTTTGTTTGGGACGACCTCTTTAAGAAAAATTAAAATTTTGGTACCAAAAAAATTATTTAAAAAGCAATAAGAAAGTTATCCCAAATGAAGCCAAAGAGTATATAGAAGAATATGAGAAGAAATGTACTTTCGAGTAGGTTAGGAGATCAAAAGGAAATACAATATTGCAATATATAGGCCCTGAAATGGACTAATCTATTTTACTTAGAGCATTGGCAGCATTGGCATGGTAAGAATAGCTAAATTGGTCATAGGTCAACCTAAGACTTCAACTATACCTTAAAAAGATCAATCATCCTAAAAATGCTCTATAACAAGCAATGGAGTTTCAATGAAATTTAATATGTTATACAAAAAGATATTTTGTTATATTTGGCTTAAAGTTTTACTCATTTAACTTATTGACATTTCCTCCTCTTTCGTTATGTATTTGGCTCGACCATGCCTCATTTTCTCATCGAAGATTGTCATCTTTGAAGATACATGAGCCACTATTTGTATGGTCCTCAACCCAATGCTTCTTAACCCATTTATAAGATCGCCCTCTTACAAAATTTAGGCTTTGTTTGTGATGATTTTTTTACTGCTATGTAAAGTTATTTTTTAGGACAAAAATATATTAAAAGTATGGAAAAAATAGCTGTTTAAAGCTGTCCCAAATGAAGCCTTAGTGGCAAGTGATTTTCAAAAATATTATCAATTATAGCTTATTAGATAACGTCGTAAGTTGTGGAATGGACGGAGTGGTATATATGATGATAGAATTGTGTTTAGGTGGTAAATATGAAATATTAATGTTTAGGATGTCAAATATGTAAAATAGATGTTATAAAGTGGTACGGATGTAAAAACCCTTTATTTCTATTGACAATATAAAGTTCTGTCACTTGATCATGTGCTTAATTTGGGTTTAATCAAATTTAATTTTCAACAAGGATATAAACGTTAGATTACATTGAGTCAATTAACAAATTGAGCTAAAATTCATCCCATTATATCAATTATTGGAAACCCTAATTGTTTATGGATCCAATGCTAATGAGCATTGGCCTTCACAAATATTAAAAAAAACAACCATCAGCCTTCACAAATAAAATGAGGCAAAATCCTCAAAAGATAATCTTATGCTTCATTCGAGGCAGTTTTCTTTTTTACTTTATGCAACAACTTTTTAGTACAAAATTTTCATAAAAATAATAAAAAAAGTAGTAGTAAAAAATAGTTATGAATGAAGCCTTAATGTTCATATATTTTCAATATGTTTTTGCAAGTGATTTGTTATATATATTAGGGGTGCATTTTGTAAGAGATGTGATCGATTAATATATGCATTTTTTAATATTTCATATTGCAAAGTTGATATTAAAGTATAGTTACTAGATTTAGTGTAAAGTAAACACAAAAAGGGTAAAGCATACTTACTTTGGCGGGCAATGATGGTCGTAGGGATCACAGTCGACGGGCGATAGAGGTTGAAAGGATTGTATTCGACGGACAGCAAAGGTCGGAGTGAACGTAGTTGGCGAGCGACGGAGGTTGGAGGCACCGTAGTCGGCAGGCGACGGTGGTCAGAGGGACCTTAGCCAGCGGGCGATAGTGGAAGTCTGACAGCAATCAGCGGTCGGCCGAAAGTTTGATGATGGTCAAGCGGTGGTCTGATGATGGTCTGGCGAAAGTTCGGTAGTGGTCAACGACCGGGTGAAAATTCTGCTGATGTCGGTTGCCAGAGGTGGTTCTACAATTGTCGAGCAGATATTCGACCACAGTCGATGGCCGGGTGGAAGTCCAACAACAGTCGCTGGTCCGACGATGATCAGGTGGAAGTTCAATGGCAGTTAACAGACAGGTGGAAGTCCAACAGAGGTTGACAGCTAGGTGGTGGTCTGACGATGGTCGGGTGGAAGTCCTACAGTGGTCGGCAGTCGACGACAGAAAGTTGGGCGGTGGTCTGACGATGGTCGGGTGGAAGTCCGACGGTTGGTCGGTGGCTGAATGGAAGTATGAAGGCAGTTGATAATAGGGTGGAAGTCTGGCAGCAGTTAAGCAGTGGTCCGACGATGGTCGAGTGGAAGTCCGGTGACTGTCGGCTACCGGGTCGAAGTCTGAAGGTGATTCGCGGTCTGGTGGTGGTCTGGCGACGATCGACGGAGGTTTGTTAGCGATAGTGATGGAGCTATTGAAGATTCAGAGCTCTCTCCAATCTATAGCCAAATGTTCTTTTCTTGTAAAGAGTGAAGGTCTATTTATAAACTTTTGTAAGTGTCACACCTCGTAAATATAGAGAAGATTTGAGGCAAATTTGGAGTGCTCCATCGAACGACCCATATTGATCCCTCTATCATTGATTATTTTTCGAGTGTTTAGATATCTTAATGTTGTTAGAATTAAGTGATCTTAGACTCCTTGGATTTTTGTTATCAAGCTGCTTGATTTAACTATAAAAATGTCATATTTGAATGTCATTTGTTCATCCAATTTAGGCATTGAACATTCTAAATAAGCTTCAAGTCCCTAATTTGGACCCATTTGGGCTCGGATTGGAACAATTTTGGTGTCATTTGGTTCGTTTCTTTGAGATGTTTAGTTTTACTATAAGTTTATTGAAATTGAAGTTCATATGGTCTTGAATTTAATTTTGAAAGTTTCTAACTTGAATATTCTTCATTATTCGCGTATGATGTTGTGACGTATCAAGTCTAAATTACAAATTGTTTTCTCCAGAACATATATATTATTATGCTCTAGTTATAATATTTTTTTCTCTAATTTTGGGGTATTTTAACTCCTTAAGAAATTGACACATGTTGTTACAAGTGGGGTTTTTTAGACCTTCAAGGTTCTTTTTTGTAAACTAATTTTATCAAAGCTTTTTAAACATATATATATAAGCTATTTTATGGATTTTTTTTTATAATTTTAAAAGCTTTGAATTTAAAGATATAAAAATTTTTATATGAATTTTACACTAAAAATTGAATAATTAAAAAATTTTATATGAATTTTACACTAAAAATTGAATAATTGACATAATTATCAAAATACTCTTTTATTACTTTATTATAAATATATTTCTCTACTTATAAAACTTTGCATGGCCATTTCATTCCCTTCATTTGTTTTAAATTAGAGAGAAAATAAGAGGGAAAAGTGAGGAGAGAGAAAATAAATCTTAAGATTTGAAGGCCGTAAAATAATTTTTGTTAGTTGTCCATATTGGGAAATTTGCTCATCTCATTATAAGGAAACATTGCCCTTTTTTTGATTCAATGGTTTTATACATTTTATATCATGCATTTTAATTTGGTCAAAACTTGTAAAAATTATGATATATTGATGTTTAGTAAACTTTCATAGCATAACTTTTGGTATGTGATGGATATCGATAAGATTAGTATTTTGACTGTAATATTATTAAATTTTACTAGGTAAAATAAAAGTTATTGAATTTTATACGATTTATACGGAATAAATAATTAGGTACTTTTATTTTGTTAATACAAACACTTATAATAAAAAAATATATGTGATTGAGTAATAGATGATCGCAATTACTAAATAATATAATTGATACGTCGTCAAAAAATTATATTGATCGAGCACAAATCTCGATGCAAAATCAAGTTGGAAACTTACAAAATTAAAATTCGGACTATTCGAACTTTGATTTTAGCAAACTTATAGTCAAACTGAATGCCTCGGAAATACGAACCCAATGACACCAAATTCGACTCAATCCGAGCCCAGATGAGTACAAATCAAGGACCCGAAGCACTGTTAGAAGGTTAAAACCACAATTTGGATTACCAAATAGTTTCTAAACATGACATGCTTATAGTCAAATCGAGCGGCTCGATGAGAGGATTCCAACGAGCCCAAGATCTCCAAATTTCGATATCATTAGGACCTTTAAATATCTGATGAATTATCCACGATAAAGGGATTCAATATCGGTCGTCCATCCAAACCATTTCCCATTTTCCTTTGATCTTCCTCCTATTTACATGTCATGCCATCCTAAAAAAACTATTAATAGCCCCTTGTTTCTCTTAAGAGACGACCCAAGCAAAGAGAGAAGGAAAGAAGAAGAAGAGAAGAGGGAAAAAGCCCCTCCTCGACCATCGCTAGAGTTCCGCCTGATTTTCAAGTAACGCTGGAGTTCTGCCCGACTTTGAAGTGACGACGAAATTTTGCCCGACTTTCAAGTGATGCCGGACTTCCTCCCGACTTTCAAGTGATGCCGAAACTCCGCCCGATCTCCAAGTGACGCCGAAACTCTGTCCGATCTCCAAATGATTATGGGATTCAGCTTCAATACACAACATCATCGAATATCAATTAAGTTGTTGTTTGTAACTGAATTTTAATCTGGGTAACTGAATTTTAATCTGGGAGTGGATCATTATAATCTTATCATCCTAAACTTTAATGACGAGTCAGTTTCTTGTACCTCAAGTAAACACTAGTAGAATTCTCTCAATTGGGTGTGATCCCTTGGTTTTTCCCTTTCTAGGGTTTCCACGTAAAATTCTTTGTGTCTTATATCTTTTCTGTTTGTATGCTAGATATCCGTACAACGCTGAGATAAGAAATTCAAAGTCTATCGTCGCATATATTCTAGCCCGCAGCAATAATAAGACTTAATCGATTCCTAATGATCTAACTATAAAGCTATGTATTAATTATTAATCAAGCTTCGTTACGAGCTTTATATTGAGCTTATTATCGATTTTGTTCATAACCTTTAATTGATATTATTCATGAAAATAAATAAATCGAATATAGTTGTTCAAATTTGTCTTTTTAACAGCAAAGTATTTTAAAATATATTCAAATTTATTTGATTATTTAAATAAATTATCATAAACTAGCACTAATCAAGTTGAATTGCGAGTAGCGAAGAAGGAAGCACTGAATTCTGTTGCTTTTGGGATGATTTTGGTTTGCTATCATCGTTGGTATATTCAGATTTGGCTCTTTGATCTATCGTTGTGGATTTTGATGGTGTTATGGACGATTATGTGGAGGCCCCTACTGCCCCTTCGTGGTTTTGCTGACTGGCAACCTAGGTACCTTGGTTGGTTTTTCGATTTCTGCAACGTACCTATGGATAGTCCGTGCTTGGCCACCAGGCTGGTTCTGGGGGCCTCCGTTCCTTAGTCCCCCCACCTCTTTAGTTATTTCTTTTTGCCCTGCTTCATACTTTTTGGCTGCTTGTTTCCCTTGCTGTTGTGTTTTTGACTTTGGATCCCTTCTTGTTATTCAATAAAATTTTTATTAAAAAAAAAAAAAAAAAAACGAGTAGCTTATCAAATGATTGATTCATTTGTACTCATATGCTTAGCGCTCCGAATTTATGGAGTAAAAGCCAATAAAGTTGGCACACGAGTAGGCTTAGATCACTTAATCTTTGTATTTATGTAATTAATGACTGAGACATTATATATTAATGGACACGTGGGAAAAAAAAGCATCATTTAAGGCCATGCTCTACAATCTGAGGAGATCTGAAAATAGTATTTTAAATGAAAATAATAATAATTTTTTATTTCTAAAAAAATTACGTGTGAATAAATTTTCCATAATTATGTATGCTAAAATATGATAATTTCCAGAAATTTAATTATTATCCGATTTGTTGTAAAAGAAAAAAAAATGTTAATTAGTTTTATAAAATAATAATCAAAGTTAAATTACTTTCCTCACTACTCAAGTTTTTAAAAATAATAGGAAATCATTAGTCAAATAAAATTGTAATTGCCAATTAAAGAGCGAAGCAGTGAGATAGCTGTCCCAAACACACGCTTATAGTATAATTTTTTCCTTCTTTGAGAACCCTATTTGTTGCTTACAAATAATTCCTTATTGTTGCGTCCAGGAGTATTCGCGGCGGTAGAGAAATATAAAATTAATGTCTTAGCATTGTACAAAGATTCGGCACGCAATCAAATAAGAGAGAGTGTGTAACATTCACATGAGACACCAAGATTTTTACGTGGAAAACCCCTGAAAAGGGAAAAAACCATGGGGCCTGGCCCAGTTTGAATGAATCCATTAGTATTGTAGTCAATTACAAATGATGCCCTTGCTTTGAGGAAGGCATGAGTTTGATGTACATTATATGAAGTACATTACATGTTGGGAATATAAAGAGTCACTGTTGACGTATACTTTGTTGGAAGGACTGTAGTCGGCGGACGATGTAAGTCAGAAAAACCGTAGTTAGCTAGCGACGGAGGTCTGAAGGACTGTAGTCGGCGGGCGACGTAAGTTAGGAGAACCATAGTCGACTGGCGACGGAGGTTGAAAGGACTGTGTCTGACGAAGAAGGTCAGAAGGACGGCGTCAAGGAGAAGTCTAACAATGGGAAGAAATTCATCTTAGAATAAACGTCCAGCAAAAGTTCGATAACTGGTAGAAGTCTGGTGTAGAGTAGAAACTTGGCGAAGAGTGAAGGTCCGGCGTTGGGTAGGAGTCCGACGTCTGTTGGTGGACGTGGAGAACTCCGACATCACTTGAGCAGAGTTTCGGCGTCAGGAGGGAACTCTGTCGTTAATTGGGAAGAATTTCGATCAGCATCACGTAGAAGTTGGGCAAAATTCCGGCGTTCTCCTGAATATCCCGCAGAATCCCGACGTGTTGGAGCGGTGGGAAGAACTCCGGCGGTGGTCGAGGAGGAGCTGATTCTCCTTCCCCTTCTCTTCTTCATCTTTTCTTCTTCTTCTCTTCTCTTTGCTTGCCCCCTCCCTTGTGAAGAATGAGAGTTATATTTATAGATTTTCTTGAGTGGCATATCTCGTAAATAGGAGTGAGATCAGGGTCAAATAGGGAGTGGTCGAATGGACGGCTGATATTGAATCCCTTGATCATACACCGTTCGTCAGATATTTGAAGGTCTTAATGATGTCAGAATTCAGAGATCTTGGGCTCGTTGGATTCTTCTCGTCGAGCCGCTCGATTCGACTATAAGTTCGTCAAATTCAGAGACCGTTTGGTAACTCAAATTGTGATACAAACTTTCCAACAGCACTTCGGGTGCTCGATTTGGGCTCATTTGGGCTCGGATTGAGTTGAATTTGGTGTCGTTACATTCGCATTTTTGAGATGCTTAGTTTGACTGTAAGTTTGCAGAAATCAGAGTTCAGATGCTCTCGGATTTAATTTTTGAAGTTTCCAACTTGATTTTTGCCTCGAGATTCGTGTCCGATCAAGATAATTTTTGCATGACGTATCACTTATAATTAAATCTATTAAACTGAGATAATTTTAAGAAGCTAATGTGCAATTTTTTTAAAACAAAATCCATAATACTCATAATAGTTTTAAGAAAATTTACTTTCATCATAGTTATTCTACAATATTTTTTTCCAAATAGCTGCAATAATCCAATTAAGGTTTTGTTTGGGACAGTCTTCTTATTATTTTTAAAGCATTTTTCGGTACAAAAATTTATTGTTTAAAAAATTTTTGTACTAAAATATTGTTTTAAAAAATAGTATGACAACTGTCTCAAATAAAGTATTAATTTTTCTAGGAATTTCGACTTCATTTTAGACAACTTTCCTACTGCTTTTTAAAGTGTCAAACGAAGCTTAAAATTTTGTTTGTGACAGCTTTCTTATGATTCGTTTGAGGTAGTTTTTTTATTGATTTCTAAAGCAGCTTTTAAGTACACAAATTTTTAAATCAAAAATATTTTTATTAAAAAGCTGCTTTAGAAATAAAAAAAAAATGTTATCAATCTAAGCCTTCGGAGAGCTATTTTTAAGAAAAGAAAATAAAGATTATTATTTAAAATTAGTTCTTATAAATTCATGACAACAAAAACACAAAAAATATAAAAAATCTTAAACGCAATATGAACTACCAAATCTTCATACTATAAAAATAAAAATCACACACTACAAAATATCTATATTTATGATTGCATTATTGAGCACCCTCTAAAAAAAAATAGTAATAAATTTTCAAGCTTAATTAATTAAAAAAATAAAAGCCAAACCTCCATTCATGCATCTCCTAACTACCTAATATTCATGCCTCTAATTGTGGTTGTCCCTTTCACACTTCATATATATATATATATATATATATATATATATCAGAATATTTTGATATATATTTTTTAATTTATTAAGCAATATTATAGTGATGTTAAATAAATTTAATAATTTTTTTAACAAATCATATCAAAATATTAATTAGTATTCCATAAATCAACTTTAAAATACTTAATGACATTCAATAAGTAGGAGTGTCAAAATGAGTCAGCATATCAGGTTCAAGTACGACTTGAAATTGAAATAACTCAATTATGACTTTTTTTAATACAACAACAACATCAAGCCTTTATGACTTTTTTTAATAAAACAGTCAAAAAGATCAATCCTAACCTGCCATGCTAAGAACTCCAACCTAACTCGATAACCGGTTTTAATTAAAAAAAATATTTTTATTAACTTCTTAATCATAGATTTTAAGTTAATTATTAAGAAATGAGAAGATTATGACAAAAATAATTAATAATAAAAATATTAAACCGATTTGTTTCGAGTCAAAATAGAATTAGTGGGTCAACTCGAACCTATTTTCTTTAATAAACAGACTGAAATGCATAACTTGAACCTGATCTATCTATTAAATGGATCAACCTGAACTGAAAATTTTCATCTGAATCAATTCTTTTATTGACACGCTAACTCTAAGAAATTATTCCTTAACAATAATCGCTCATATAAATAATTCCTAACTGGTCAGCACTCATTGTCTCTACTAACAGCTGTGCTCACATTTATATTAAAAAATGGTATTTCCCATATAAGAAGGAGCCTTTCTCTTTCCTATTATTGTTTATATAAATAATTCCTCGTATGATCATTATCTGAAGGACTGTGTGTCGGAACAAAGACCCTTCACTGCTCTGTAGAATCCAATGTTCGCCAAAAAGTTAACCATGGCTTCCACCAGTGTTGCAATCAGCGAAGAGGACGGTGAGTCAACGGTGGTTGATCGTCTGGCTATCGTTCCAAGCGAGGAGCCACCACCGGCGACGGCGGTGACGACGAGGAGGGGGGAGGTGGAGTCGAAAATAGCGGCGTGGGAGGCGGAGGAGGTGGCCAGAATAACAAGCAGGTTGCAGAGGCAGAAGGCTATTATAGACGGATGGGAGATAGAGCAGGTGGAGAAGGCTAACGCTTGGTTGAAGAAGGTCGAGGTAATTATTCACTGATATTTAAAAAAGAAATACTATTTTATTTTTTAATATATACATAGCAAAATTTTTTTATTTTTTTTATTTTTTATGTTAGATGCACTTTCAAATATATAGTTTTGCATAAAATTTTTGCACAATTTCAAATATAGTTGATGAGTTATGATGAGATATGTAATTTGCAAATTATTTTATTTAATAGGATAACTTTTGAAAGAAATATATATATTTTTTGAGTATTTTCCAAGTTAAAATATCAAAATTTGAAATTATTTAAGCATACCATATCTAATTATTTATTGTCACACAATAGAAATTCATTAAATGAGTCTCACAAACTCTTAAAGCTAAAATCAGGCATTAAATAAAAGTTTCGTTTTGGACGACTTTTTTATTACTTTTTAAAGTAAATTTTTAGTACAAAAATTAAAATTTTGTACTAAAAAGATGATTTAATTAAGAAGCAATAAAAAAATCTCCCAAACGAAGCCTAAAAGAATTGTTGTATTAAAATCTCCGAGCTAATTAGCTTAGGATAAATTTTGAATTTTAATTGACAGAGATGGAATAAAAGAATTATATTATATTAAGATAATTTTTTTTTAAAATTTTTAAAACATTAAAGAAATAATTTAAAATTTTAAAAACAGAAAAAAATAGTGACCAAGCAGAATTGTGATTAAGATTTGAAAATTAAAACAATAAAAAATCTATCCCAAACAACAAATCCTATATAAAATTAAGTTTTTTTTTCCTTCCTTTTTTCTACTAATACATACAATGCCCACATTGCCTATGCTTATATGCTTGAAATTTGCATTAAAATAGCTGAATTTTTTTTCTTGAAAAGCTCAATCGTTTCTCTAAAGACTTCTACAATTTCTTTCATTTTGTTAATTACTATTCATTTCTTTGTTATAAATGTTGTGGATCAGAGAAAGTTGGAAGAGAAGAGAGCAAGGGCAGCTGAGAGAATGCGCAATGAGGTGGCTGTTGCAAAGCAGAAGCATGAAAATAAATGATTTTTTTTCTTGAAAAGCTCAATTGTTTCTCTAAAGACTTCTACAATTTCTTTCATTTTGTTAATTACTATTCATTTCTTTGTTATAAATGTTGTGGATCAGAGAAAGTTGGAAGAGAAGAGAGCAAGGGCAGCTGAGAGAATGCGCAATGAGGTGGCTGTTGCAAAGCAGAAGGCAGAGGAGAGGAGGGCAGAAGCAGAAGGCCGGAGAAAAGAGAAGGGTGGGAAGGTGATGGAGATCGCAAGTATTTTCAAAGTTTTTGGCAGAGTTCCCTCAAAGCGAAGCTTCTTTAAGCCATAAAATTAGATATTCGTTAATTTCTGGCTATTTTTTGCCATTAATGATATGTATGGTTTATTCTGAGTGATCATTAATGTTAATTAGTTTTGTAATGAAGGATTAAGGTTCATTATGAGTGATCATTAATGTTACTATTTTTCAATTGGGTAATTAAGCTCTGATGGCTTTTTTACTTGGGAAAAAATAGTTAATTAGAGTATTTTGATCAAAATTTTAATTAAGAAATGTTTTGTAAAATATCAAAATTAATTTTCTTTTAGGGTAGCTTATGCTTCCACCTCCCTTCGATCGCGAGCAATTAAGGAAGTTGTAAGAAGAGCTCACTTGAGAAGGCTTTTGATCGGGCCAATGACTTGGGAAGGAGAGGTGGAGATCCTAAGATGACCAGATTTAATGTTCCTGTTGTATCTCCTTCCAAGCTTCCACCACCACTTCTCGCTCCACTTATGTTGGGGTGTCAATTCGGGTCAACGGGTTGGGTTCGGGTCCAACCCGAGTTGACACGGGCATAAACTGGTTGACCCGAACTTGACTCAGCCAGTGAAATGGGTCAGGATTTTCAACCAGGACCTGACCCGCGTGGGTTACTGGGTTGGCCTGACCCAACCCGCAAACCCGATTAGGCTCATGCAATGAGGCAGAACGATGACCGGTGAGGCCGACGAGATTGGACCATCGGTGAGGCCGATCATGTTCGAACTGGCAGAGATGTTGTGTTGCGGGAAGCGACGACTCGAGTACTTGACAAGTCTGTTGAGGGCCTGAGGTGAATGTAGATTCTAGACGTGGACCGTCGTTGTGAGTTGAGACCAGCCCCGCGAATGTAGATTCCTGCCGTTGCGACCTGCCCGTAGGCCGTAGCGGCGTAGCCTTCGCGAGCGGAAAGACTGTTGGCATGACGCAGACACTAGAAGCGACAGTCGCGGAGAAGCGACTCGCGGGTTTCCGGGTCAAGCCGAACCCGACCTGTTTCACAAACGTGTTGACCCGAATCCAAATTTTTCAGGATCAGGTCCGAGTCGGATTTCGAATTGTGTCAATTTTTGACACCCCTACACTTATGCATGACTATTGAGAATGTAATCTTTATCTTTTTTTAATTCCCAATCATATTCTTTCTCCGACTCTAAGGTAGCTGTCCAAGGTATATATCTTCACGGTTTTACCTATGGCTTCATAGATTGCAGCTACAGTCATCTAGCGTTTAGGGTTTTTATTCCTCCATTAATATGCTTTTATTTAACTTTCAAATGCTGGTAAACAGAGGCGGATCCAGCATCTTTTTTTAGGGTGGGAAAAAAAAAAATTTAGTAGGGGATGGGCAAAAATGATTAGGATTGATAAAATTAGGGCAAAATTTTTTTTTTGAGAGGGGGCAAAATACCCAAAATACTCAAAATATTCAAAAAAATACCCTCTAAAATTATAAAAAAAAAATTTTGGGTGGGCATTTGCCCCCCCTCACTACCATTGGGATCCGCCCATGCTGGTAAATCAAAATCAAAGCGAATAAAGCGAACTATATTATACTTAAGTTTGGATTATATATACCTATTATTTGGCCTGCTTGATTTTGCCTATAATCTGATTCAGTGTTATTGATTTTATAAATTCATCAGCCACTTCATCTGCAATGATCGAATTCACACCCATATACTTAATGATCAATTCTGCATTAGGATATTCTAATACAAAATCTCATATCATTAGTCATTAGATATAAATAAAACAATATAAATAGCTCGCTCTATTCAATTCAACTTTAATTTGACTTTGAATTGACTCATGAACAAGCTTGTTAACTTCTATTTGAACTCCATAATGATCGAATATCATTGATCATCAACATAAATAAAATTGATTTGATTCCAATATTAGCCAACACGAAAAAAAAAATTGTCAATCTTACCATACAATATGCACCACTAAAACAAATCTAAGATGATTTTGTTGGATTGTTTAGTCAAATATCTTATTGGATGACTAATGAGTTGGATTGATCAATCAAATATTTTATTGAATGATTAATGAGTGATTGAATGTTCAACTTGTGGCGGGCTAGAATATATGCGGCGATAGAGCTAGAATTTTTCGTCTCAATGTTGTACGAATATTCAGCACACAAACAAGGAATTCAGAAATACAAGACTTTTTATATGGAGAACCCTGAAAAAGAAAAAACCGCGGGGTCATGCCCAGTTGAAATGATTTCACTAGTGTTTGCAATAGATTACAAATGGCTGATCCATCCTATTGAGGACGAACAAATTACAACAATCAACTGTCATGTTGAAATCTAGTGATGAGTAGAGATCAGACGGAAATCTGGAGACATTCAGAGATCAGGTGGAAATTCGGTGTTAGTTGGCGGCCGGACAGAAGTCCAACATCAGTCGGTGAATGGGCGAAAGTCCAGTATTAGTCGGTGATGGTGCAAAAGTCCAATGTTAGTTGGTGACCAGGCGAAAGTCCGACATCAGTCGATAACCGAACAATAGTCCAGCGTTAGTCGGTGACCGGACAGAAGTCAAGCGTTAGTCGTTGACCGGACAAAAGTCTGACATCAATTAGTGACCGGGCAGAAGTCTGACATCAATTATAAGTTAGGAATGGTTCGAATGGACGGCCGATGTTGATCTCCTTGATCGTAGACCGTTTACTGGGCATTTGAATGACTTGATGATATTATAATTTGACAATCTTGGGCTCGGTGGACTCGTCTGGTTGAGCCGCTCGATTCGATTATAAGCCTGCCACTTTTGGAAATCGTCTGGTCATTCAATTTATGGTTTGAATGTTTTAAATGTGCTAAGAGTCTTCAATTTGGATTCATTTGAGCTCGGATTGAGCGAATTTGATGTCGTTGGATTCATATTTTTGAGACTTTCAATTTAACTGTAAATTTACTAAAATTGAAGTTAGGATGGTCCAAATTTAATTTCGGAAGTTTCAAACTTGATTTTGCCTTGAGATTCATGCCCAATCTAGATAATTTTTTGACGTTATATCACAACTAATTAATCTATTCATTATCGAGAAAAATTCCAAATAATTTTTTCTAAGCCACGAACATTACGAATAGATATAAAAATAAGATCAATTATTATGTAGGGGTGAAAATGATTCAATCTTGAGTCAATCGGATGCATACGAAAAATAGGGCTAAACTTATATAAGTTGACTCTAAATAGTCTTGTAGTTGAAATTCATTTGATTTTTTTTTGGGAATTCATTTGATTTTGATCCCGCACAAAATGATTTGTTTATATTCATTAAAATTTAAAATATACATATTCTTTATATATTGATTTTATTTTTAGGGCTGCAAGCGAATCAAGCGTTCAATGAGCTACTCGATGCTCTGTTCGATTAAAACTCGTTTGTGATCGTTTAATTAACTAAACAAACAAACATGAACAACATTTTAAATGCTCGATCCTTAAATAAACAAGCTTGAACACTAATGTGTTCGGTTCATTTATGTTCACGAACAACTTCATTTGAAGTTTGTGAACAAGCTTGACATTAAGCTCAATAAAAAGCTCGAATGGAGAGAAATGCAATAGGTAAGCTTCATTTAAGAATATATTCATATAAATTAATCATATTTTCATTTTAAATAGACAGCTGCTTTTATTATAAATTTAATTTTATAAACAAAAGACATTTCACATTTGTCTATGTTTGCTAGGTTGTTTGTTTAAGATGTTCATGAACAAATTTAATGTTTGTTTGTTAAATAAGTTCATGAACATAGCTCATTAAGGCTTGTTTGTTTAAAGCTCGATAAGTATTAAACGAATCGAACATGAACCAAACATGAACACCCTTGAATTAAACGAACCAAACATGAACACAAACAATAAAACTCGAATCAAACGTGAACCGAACTTGAACAAGCTAATGATAAATAAACTCAAACATGAACACTCACATACTCGACTCGATCCGGTTCGTTTGCAGCCCTACTTAGCCCTACTTATTTTGAGTAAGCTATTAATTTCTTCAGAAATATTCCAGCTACTACCTGTCCTATGTGCACGGTATTTAATCAGGCTTCGTAGTTCGTACCAGGCAACGCAGCTGATCTCCATTTCTAAGGTCCACAGCCCACGTGGAGAAACTCCTTCATATAAGCATACACGGGTACCTGCATCACGGCTTCTTGGCTTTCCGTTCATAAAACCAAGCGGCCGGCGAAGAGAGGACGAGAAACTCCGTCAGCTTGATGACGAAATCGGCGACGGAGAAGAAAAGGGTTCGGCGTGCACCGTCGGGCACCAGCAGAGATCTTTCAGATAGCCAGCCGAAGGTTCGTTTTTCCCCGTCGCTTTTCTTTCGTCTTCTTTGGTACTACTTTTGTTCTGACTTTAGGGCATTTTAAGCCTTCAGTTCGCGTATCCATGGTACTATGTATGATGGATTCGTCGGAACTGTGAGGGGTTTGGTTGGATGTAATAAATGACATGGGGATCTCGTTGCAGTGACTGTTCGTTTGTCGTTTTGAGATGGTATTCGTTTGGTTTTTGTTGACTGCATTGGTGATTTATATGGTGCGAATGTAATGGATGTTGTTGTGTGGAATGTTTTGGTTGGGACTAGTAGGATCTGGCGATTGGAGCTTTGCTCAATATACAGACGAAGCAGTAAATTGGTTCCAAGCGGAGCTATGTCCTCATGTTGTAAAGTTGTCCCATCAAGTGGAATGGCAGCTCTGTTTTGAAGTTTATACCTGGTTGGATTTCACTTGGAAATGAAATATTTCGCTCTGTTTTGTGGTAAAAATAGTATTCCTTAAAAAGAGGCTTCGTTCCTAGAAATTACTGTGTCAATTAATTTAATGCTTCTTCAACTTGATCCTGTAATGTGCTACCTCGTGATGCTATTGCCAGCTGCCAAACCATCTGGAGTAATTTTTCTTAGTTTCAAAGTAGTAATTTTATGGCGACAGTTGGAAGAGAGTACCCTTCATGATCTATGACGAATTATTTGATGATCCATGTTGTTTAGTGGTTATCTACCTAATTTTGGAAACAACAAATAGCTTCTCACGCATGACATTTATTGAATTCCTCACGTAAATTTTCCTTAGGACATCTTGAGTGATTTTTTTTTTTGTTATGGTATGTGTGCTAATCTCTCATATGGTATTGTGCTAGCTTCTTCCATGTTAGTTCAACACTTGGGCATGATAGTGCAGTAGAACAACAACACTTACATGCACAACATCACTTTTTAGTGAGATAGGAATTGCTTATATGCTAAAATGATAGCTACACGCTAATCAAATGTCCAAGAATACGAAGATCCTTGTCCTCCTTCATTCATGCATAAAACTCAAAATATATACTGTGATGAACTAATTGTTTTGGTTGGTATTTTGTTGTCTGTTGGATCACGGGTATATGGTTATATTTTCTCATCATGTTGCCTTTAACCCAACAATTTGTGGTTTTCTTTATAAATTCTCTTTCTCTATATGATGTTAATTTTATTTTGCTCTAGCTTGGTTTGCACTATTTAGTCCTGTTTTGTGCTGTACATTCATCATAACTATTTTCTTTATTAATGCATCTCTTATGAAATGTTATATATTCTTAAGTTATTTGAGTCTATTTTGCACTTCTTTATCTTCAAATGGTGTTATTTCTTATTTTCACCGGCTCTCTAATATAATCATTTCTCACCTTATTTTTCACTGTTTTATCACACATCTTTTTTACTTTATGCAGCTACATCATTGTTTCTAGCATTTATATCATTATAGTATAACCAATCTAATTGCATTTTCTTAAAACTTACCTTTTAAGTCTCCATGGTATTCTATTGTCTTAGAATACTTGTTAAGCACTTTTCAATTTTTATCATTTAGTTTGAACTCTGAGTGTATGGCACTTTGTGTGTCTCAATTCATTTGTGTAATAATTAAACTTTTTAAAACCTGTTTGACACTATTTGAATTGCGATGACTAGGTGATGATGGGCCTTGATGATGTTCCCCTTGTTTGGTGTTCTTCTTATTTCATCCTACAAATTGCTTTTTAATGTTTTTTCCTCGGAATTCACCTTTAATGTCAAGGTATGAATTAGGCTTTTAGAGAGAGAATAATAGAAATTGGCCAAAAGAAGAGAATCTCAAGAGATGGATATTCGGTTATGATTTCAAGGCAAGAGATGTCTGAAGAATTGTGCTTTATGCCAGGAGAGAAAACGATACCATTGGGAAGTCTTGGAATTAGTGGAATTTTGTGCGGAGAGTTAGAGAGAAGAATTATTTTTTTGGGTATTATGCTTAATTGGATTTCTTGAATAATAATTACAATAAGAGAGGTTAGAGAGAGAAAGCATGCAGGAGTGAAGAGAGGAGAAAGAGAGAATAGTAAATCTAGGAGGAAAAAGAGGGTTTCTGGCTTCAAATATCATTCATAATAAGATAATTCAATTACAAGCATTGTGATCCCTATTTATAAAATTGAGTTCTATGATAATTCAAACTAAGTTTAAATTTAAATATAGAAAAGTTTTAAAAATTCTATCATCTAATTTAGAAAGAACATTTTCTTAACAGTAAATAAATTAAAAATCATATAAAAATACTAGAACAAACTAGTAAATGCTATAATAATTCAAATTATTTTTGATACATGTGGTGTATGTATCACTTTTACATTAGGCGTGCCTTGCTCTTTTAGCAATTTTGTTCACAAATTCATCCATCAAAGTTGCATACCTTGTAGTATTTTTAGTGGATGTTATAGCTTCTGAAGCTGTTTAATCACCTGGCAGAGTTTTATTTTACTTGATAACAACAACATTTTTTTACCTCATTTCAGAGATTGCTTTTATGCTTGCCTTTTATTAAGCTAAGCATGATCATCTAGATTCACAAGATTGCAAATCTTTTGAAATTCTTATAGTATCTTTTGAAGGACTGTTATATAGGCTTTACTCAGCTCAACTGGCATCAGACTTTGTCCAAAAAGTGTGCAAAGCTAGACCAATTATAACCGAGACATACTATTGATAGCAATGAGATTAACACCTGAAAGTTAGAGCTAAAGAATGCTGTATTAGGCATCTATATGGGTGGAGTTGGAGGTATGCATGCTTGTAGAACAAACTAAAGCATTGCGAGAGAGAAACTTAGAGAGTATCATATTCCAGTGTTCACATGGTGGGAAATTATGTAACTTGAAATATTCTTGCTCAAAAGGAACCTGTTGATTTGTAATGCCATTTCTGTTTATGTTGGAGCACAACTTTTTTATATAACTATGTGCGAAATCCTCACTTTCATTTTTATTTTTTTATTTTTGTTAGTAATTTGTTTATGAAGGTCATTTTTTGAGAATGATGGGCCCAAAGAAGGTTCACTTCAACTGGCCAAGTATTTTATTCATATGTAAAATGCTCTTACACACTTATTTCTTTCCTATACATGATATTTGCAGCAACCTGTCACAAAAAAGGACGTATACCAGGTTTTTGCAGAGAAGGTCAGGGACAACAAGCAACTGAAATCTAAATGGGCAATAATGCAAGAAACAAGGGTAGAATATTTTAGAGGAAAGGACTTTCCAGTTTTCTTGAGAAATCATCTAGAGGTTAAAGAAATATTAGGGCAACAGAAAGATCTAGATGCAGAGGAAATCATCAATACTTTACTCCGAAAGAACCTTATAGTAAGATGTGATCGTGTGGTGAAAACTTTAAGGCCCGGAAAGAAGAAGTTGTCCTCGTGGCCTGTGCATCTGGAAATACATAATGTAAGGCTATTTTGATTTTAATGAGATGCTAATTGGTTGAGCTTATGCTATATTTTCAATTATTTGAAGCGGCATTTCAAATTTTCTATTTTTGTTTTTAATGCACACCAAAATTGGCACGTTCGTTTAGGCTTGTGTCTGAATTATTCTATGAATTCATAATGCGGCTTGAGGTCAATTTTGAAGTTTAACCTCCTGCCTTTGATCAGATTTTGATATTAGCATTACTATTATAGAAAAACAGTCCAGAAGTGCAGGACTTAATTTACTTCCATATTTAGGCACACATTTTTAATGTGCATATTTGTTTTTTAGAATCATTATTTTTCCTTTTACCTTATATATTTTTCATTGTCATTAGACTCCTTCAAATGATTTTTTGGGTATTGGATGTTTATTTTACATCTTCCAATGTTCAGTTTTGAAAAATATTGGATATATTATATCATTTTTAAATGATTTATCTTCTCGAAGGAAACAACGGTTATTCTTTTTCAGAGTGCAAGGCAGTATCTAATGGAGATTTACTTGTTTATATTACTTGGAAGGCTGAGGGAAGAAATAATCTGAGAAACCCTTGGTTTGAGTTACGTGATTTACTAGTTTATAGGCGACATCTTAGATTTGGCTGTAGGAGTTTTTTGTTTCAGCTTGGCAGCAGAAATATTAAACTTTGCAATTTGCAATGTGTTGGCTCTGTTTTTGAGTGTCTGGCTTTATTTAATGCCTCGTGGAAATATGAGGTGTGGTGGACTTTGAATTTTCTGGATTAATGTAATTTTGCAAATGTCATTCACATCTTGCTTCTCAGGATATATCCAAATGCTGGTTCACGGGTTGTGATGAACTAAGGTATATATACTCAGGATGTTTAAATTTTTTGCAAAATTCCAATTGACGCGGCTGATCAAGCCAATAGCTGCCTCTATTTTGGGTAAAGCGAAGGCCATCATGTACTCTGCTAATATGCCATTCATATATCTTCCTTTCCGCTGCGTATAATTGCTTTAACTACTTTGGCGCTATTTGATTGTCCCATACTTCAGTTGGAAACCATTTGTTTCCAAAAAATCAGCAATTGAAATTGGACCCAGGCTTGAGTAATTTATAGTTTCAATTTACAAGTGCAAGTTGGATATGTGATTCATTAGAGCGTGGCACAAGTGCAACTACCTAATTGATGGAAGTCTTCTCCTTTTATTGGTGTGAGGTCTGATTTTTTATATTTTGGTATTTTCATTCCTTATGTTATTTATTCAGCATAAATTTATTTTGATTTGTTTAATGCTTTTAATTGATCTAAAAGTGATGCATTGGAATCTAATTTATGAAAATTAAATTCAATTTGTCCATTGATTTTATATTTCTTCATTTTCTTGTTGACATTTCATTTCGAGTTGGTTTTTATGCTATGTTTACATTTAAAAGAAGTTGAATTAATTGGTGACATGAAAAGAATCCTTTATTTCATTTTGCTTGAAATCATATCACGCAAGATTTTAGTTGCATTGGGAAATTCTAACTTTAAATCACCTGCATCATATCCAATGCTAGTATCACCTTTTCTCCTATTGCAGGAGCAAGTTTTCTCCAAAGAGGATGCTTTTTTTGCCTGGACATTCATAAAAAGAAGGGTTCTATGGCAGACAATTCTTTCATTCCTTTGGCCGCTGGTGGCTCTCGCAATGTGCTTATTCCCTGTGTACCCATACCAAGTCAAGATTGTTGTTCTGTACTCATGTGCTGGAGCTCTGCTTTTTATTGTAGTCCTGCTCTTAAGTAAGTTTTGGAAACCATAACTTCTTGTTTGTTTTTGCATTCTTTTAGAATTTGAAACATAATTATTCTTGTACTTAGAAATTGAAGACAAGTCCTATAATGGAATGATGCATTAAGAAGTAGATAACAAATAATATATATTATTCTTGTATAGCTTACTAATAGTTCGTAGGTGTTGAGCGTTGATCCTTGAATATCCTTCATATTCTCTAGTATTCCTCTTTGCTTCTGTGATGGAAATGGTACTTCATGTTGTCTTTGTAATATGATTTTCTGAACGATGGTGAATGAAAAATCAGCAGGCTTGATTTCCTAATGTGTAATGGAGATCTAAAGTGCTATTTGTGGGAATGCTATCTGTACGAGTGAAAAAAACCAAAAAAGCTGCAATGATAGACAATCAATGAATCAAATATATCTAGTTGTCCTATGGTAAGATCCCTAGTCCCTAGTATATTGGTATAGGATAGATGAAGATATAGCCAGTAGCCGTAATGCTTGTCAATTAGAATGAATATTTGCTACATCAATACCTTTTCAATAGTATTTATAATTCCTAATTAACATATAGGCTCAAGCTTTTTCTAGAAAGATCCTTCTGGAGAATATCATCAACTTGCCTTTTCAATTTAGTACATTCCATGGGATTCATCCTATAGTGTAGTTTTGGCAGTTATTATACAAGGATAAAATTTATAGCATTTAAGATGCCCCACATGGGAGGAGGTTTATTTGGTAGTTTTTTTTGGGAAAGGTAACAAAATTCCTTTAAAAATTAGGGACTTCTAAGCAATGACAGTCTTAAGATGAGAGTAACATCCTTAACATGTAATTTAAGGATGGTTAATAAGTAAAAAATAAAAATTCTTCTTTAAGATATCAAAACCTACAAATTCAGTATGGACAGGAAAAATAAAAGAGATGGTTTGGGTAGACTAAATAGATAATGTGCTTAAAGGATCTTGAGAATGGGATGAAGTAGAGGCGGAAGGGGCCAATCACAATCACTTACAGTCTTGCATGTCTTCTTGCTGAACATATGTTTAACTTCATAATTAGATTTATGTTATGCAGGCTGGGGAGACTTTTCTAATGCAGAATTCGATTTACATTAATGTCATTGTCATTATGTTTCAAAGTATACTTTTTATCACGATCATTGTGTATCATATATATGTTATAAAGTCATGGCTTTCTAAAAAAAATGAGCAATGTCCATGGGCAGAATATCTTACCATATTTTATCTTTATAGCCATCTAATTTTATCAAAACTCAGCATTTGGTAGTCACAAGCAATGATGTGCGAATAACCTAGCCAAGTTTATCTCTTGTTAGCGCAGTGCGCATGACATTCATAGCACTGACCATCAATAGCTAATCTACACCTTTGGTCTTTACAGGTGGCATTTATGTGGAAAATGGTTCTACGCAGCCAATCTTTATATTCATGTTTGGTAACAAACAATCATCTTATGACACTTAAACAAGCATCATCAGCAACAAAGAATTTTTCAGTAGATAATGGTGTGTCATCTATAACCTACTTAAAATCAATTTCAGGGTCATCAATTTCTTCCAAAAATAAAATTTGGGCTTTGCGTTAAATTTGCATTACTTATGAAAATTAAAGCAAATTATGTTCTTGGTGGCATAAGTAAATTAAAGCAAATTATGTTCTTGGTGTCATAAGTAAATTAAAGAAAATTATGTTCTTGGTGTTTTTTGTTGTTGGTGTTAGTAGAAGTCCTGGGGTATGGAGCACTAGAAGATTCAAGGATGTAGCAACATGTCGAGCCTTAGATTTAGAAGTGAAAGAAGGAATGGATGGTCTTTTTTCTTTAGGGTTAGAAAGCCATTTCTTTTGCTTTTTCTATTAGCATAATGAAAACCTTCAAAGGTTTATGATTCTAATAATTCAATTTCATTCATAATTTTAATCCTAAAGCCCGTTAAAAATTTGTTTGTAATTTATCAGTTATTATCAGTTATTATCAGTGCAATTGACCCTAGCATTTAAATCCTTAAATGGGTTTAGGTACTCAATAATTATGCATGTCCAATTAGGTCATTTTGCACAATTTATGCTTTTCTACTTTTGTTTTAGAAGCTTCTAAAAATTACTTTCTGAACCACAATTTCTATTATGCTTTCCCAAAAGTAGGCTTTCTAATGTAACTTCTAAGAAAATTAGGGAAAATATCTCTTTTTTTCGTCCAAACGGACATTATTTCTTTCCGGTTATTTTCCCTAATAAAAAATCAGTAAAAAAGTCCCTCCAAATAAAGATTTTTTTTTTTAATTTCGTGCAAAATTAAATCTTTGATAATCATCCATTTATGCCAAATTAGCAATTGATAATTTGGATCAGCCAGTCTAAAAGTTAGGGCTTCTATTTTATTTACTACATGGGTCATCATAATGTGAGTTTTGGTTCTTTATTAGTGTCTTTTAACAGAAAATTATTTATTCACATGTTTTTTTTTTAATGATTTTCATTTAAGTAGGTGACAATAGTTGGTGTAGCGTAAGTATATTGATGCATTGAATGTCTTAGTTTTCCTAATATATGTTGTAAATGTTCAAATTTATCTTCAATGTCAGTTGCCCTAATTGCTAAGTTTCCAATTGTAGTTTACCGATGTTCTTCAATTTTTTGTAGGCCTTCAAATTGATGTATAGTAGTATAACATTTGGAGACATGACATCAACACAAAAATGCAATGCAAGTGCTTGCGCTTTTCTTTTCTTTTTTCTAAGATTCTTAATGTATTGAGAGGCATGATGTAATGATGAATGCAATCCATATGAAAAGAACTTATATTAATTAACAAATGTCAATGAACGTATAAAAACATGTGTATACTATTGAATCAAATATTAACAAGACAAAATAATTCAAGTTCTTATAATTTTATGCTATAATTCTACAGGTTTACGAGAGTATTTTAAAGTAGAAAACATACTCATTATAATAGGATCTCTCGAAGTGTATGTGAGGTGATAGGTTTCAAGATAGAGAAAAGCCAGGGTTTATGTGGTGTTCGATACTTCGAGGTCATCCAAATTTTCATAGAATTGTTACATAGCATGTATCTCTGTTTAAAATTGCGCAATGAGAGGCGCGCCTTGAGGCGCGCCTTTGCGCAATTCCTCCCAAAAACGCCTCATAGCCTACGCAATTTTGGTCTTGCAAGAGGCGTACGCCTCACAGGGGCTGAGGCGCGCCTCAATAACAACAACAACAACATCATCAAGCCTTTATCCCACTACGTGGGGTCGGCTACATGACCTTTTTCTCCATTGTGTCATTTCAATAGTCAAATTCTCATTTAAATCTAATAAATAAATGTCATTTCTAATATTTTGTAACCAAGTCTTCTTAGGTCTATGTCTATCTTTCTTAACATAGGCCAAATCTAATACATCTACTCTCTTAACAGGGTCATCGCAAGGTCGTCATTTTACTTGACCAAATCATCTAAGGAGACTCTCTTTAATCTTATCTATCATTGGAGCTACTCCAACTTTTTCGCTGCAAAGATAAAATATGACTTGTATAAATTTAAAACTAATCAACTTTGGAAATTATATCATCAATGTTTGCCTTAGTTTATTTAGTCCTTGTTTGCATTGCAAGCTCCTTTGATCTTGTCTTCTGGATTCATTGGATGCCTTGACATGCACCCTTGAAGCCTTAATACAAATATGATGGTGGTGGTTGTGGGAGGATCTTTAAGAAGAGGGTAATATCCTGTGTTCTTGTGGGGGAAAGGGACGGGTGGTTAGGGAAGGCTTAGTTTAGGGTATCTATGGGCTAGTTGATCCCTGCTTTATGATTAAGTAACCCAAGTGACTGGTATAAGGAGGGAGAGGGGAGCATGGGGAGGTCGGTAGAGGGATTAGAATTTCTTTTGATGGAGCACAGAAGAGCGAAGCAACTAGGGTTGTTGTGTTCCGAAGTGAGAAGCAACTAGGGATTAGCTTTTCTTACGAAGTAAATTTATTTTACTTTATTACTAACCTTTGAATCAAACACAATTTACCACCGATATTATTGGTTGAGAAGTGGTTAGTTTTATTTCGTTTTTTCACCCATGAACTGCAAAATTCATAAGCTGCATCTAAGATCTTTTTCTTCATTATGCAGTCAGAGCTGCAATATTTGGGGCATTCTACATCATCCTTGGGAATCGTATATGGTTCTTTCCCAATATCAATGCGGAGGAGACAACCTTCAGTGAGCTTGTCCGTTTTTGGCCCAAGAAAGAAGAGGGTGAACCCATTAAGTGGACATCAAGGCTCTTCTATGCGGTCATCTCTGTGCTGATCATACTTGTTCTTAGGCACCATGCTCCTGATGAAGCTGCCAGAGCTAGGTTAGTCATCAATTTTTTTTTTTAATGTTTCTCTAATGATCAAATATCTCACAAGTTAGAACTTTCTTCCACTATGCTTCGAGGGAAAAAAAGTTAAAAATTGGCTCTGAATATCTAAACCTATTTCTTTATCAGAATGAGTTTGAAAATTCTTGGATTCATTTGAGATGAGTGCAATAGATTTTGATGACTCTCATATCTTACATTCATCTCAAAATAAATCCAATAATTTTGAGGTTCATCTTGATTGAAATTTGTCCGAGCTATTTGTTACAAATCTAATAAATAAAGCTGCAAACAATACAACAATAACAACAACATCAAGCCTTTATCCCACAATGTGGGGTTGGCTACATGAATCATTTTTCTCTATTGTGCATGTTAAGAGTTAAATTCTCATTTAGATCTAATAAAGAAAGGTCATTTCTAATATTTTCTAACCAAGTCTTTTTAGATCTACCTCTAACTTTCTTAACATAGGCCAAATCTAATACATCTACTCTCCTAACTGGATCATCGGAAGGCTGCCGTTTTATGTGACCAAACCATCTAAGGCAACTCTCTCTAATCTTATCTGTCACTGGAGCTACTCCAACATTTTCATGAATATGCTCATTTCGTATCCTCTCTAAGAGTAAATCCACCCATCCACCTGAGTATCCTCATCTCTGCAACACTTAACTTAATATTATGCTTCTCTTTTAATGGCCAACATTCTGCGCCATAAAGCATTGCAGGTCTAACCACCACTACCACAACAACAACAACATCAAGTCTTTGTCCCACTGTGGGGTCGGCTACATGAATCCTTTTTCTTTTTCTCCATTGTGTCCTGCTAAAAATCAAATTCTCGTTTAAATCTAATAAAGCTACAAACAATAGGGAAAATAGAAAGATAGGAAAACTTGACATCTTTGAGCTTGTGTTAAACTCCTAGAAGTAATGGCGAAAGAATAGACAAGTAATTAGAGAATGCTCATAGCTCCAGGCATCAATGAGGGAGAGAGAGAGAGGAGCGCAAGCTCTTTTCTTCATTCATGTTTGCATTTTCTAATTCTTCCTAAGAAGAGTTACCCATAGAATTACACCTATTAACTATCTTATATCTGATATTAACCTAGAAATTACTCATTACATTTATTATCAGGACTCAAATTTTTCTAAAAAAGAAAAAATCCTGATATTAACCTATTGATTGTTTTCTTGTTAATTGTTCAGGTATCAATCAAAAGTTTCAAATATTATTGATGAGATGCTTGAGTGGTCTCCCAAATTAGCACTGTCAGGAATGTTGGAGAAGCAACAGCCTATTGTTAATGCTACAGAGGAGAATCCTCCTGTGAATGAGAGTTGGTCAGGCTCAGCCGATCAGCAGAACACAACTGATGGATTTGAGAACCAAGATGTTGATGATGATGGGAATATCACATAGATTGAATGATTTTTACAAAAAACTAGTGCCTGGATGAATAATATTCACTGGAATGATTTTATAGCTCTTTTTTTGTTAAATTTTAAATTGCATGAGTTCTTTTTTTATTGCTTAGTATGAGAGGTCTGATGGAGAAGTATAGAGAGAATAAAGAGAATCTATATATGATTTTTATTGGTTTCAAGAGAAGTGCTATGAAGAGTTCTAGAAAAAAAAAAAAAGATAATAATATTTATAGTCATTAAGCATATGTATGTAGGAGGTGGTACTTGTGTTAAAATATTAGGAGGTTTGACCAAGTATTTACCTATTTTAGTTGAATTACATCAAGGATCAACCTTAATCTCATATCTTTTTTCTTTAGTCATGGATGTTCTCACTAAACATTTGCAAGGGGTTGTATCTAGTGTATGCTTTTTGTTGATATTTTCTTGTTGATAAGGCAAGAGAGGGAATTGAAGGTAAACTTGAATTATGGAGGTCAATCATGAGCTTAAAGGTTTTTGTTTGAGTAGATATAAAATTGAATATATGAATTGTAACTTTAGTTGTAATAAACCTAATGTGGGATGACAATTTTGGACGATCAAGTCATTAATAAGAGTACATGTTTTAGATATTTTTGGTCTATTGTTTAGAGTGGCACTGAGTTTTTTGTGTGATAGAGAAGTCCCTTCAAATTTTAGGAAAAATTCTATAAGATGATGGTGAGACCTACTATGTTTTATGGTGTAGAATGTTAGCCATTAAAAGAGAAGCATAATATTAAGTTAAGTGTTACAAAGATGAGGATACTCAGGTGGATGAGCGGCTTTACTCTTAAAGAAGATACCATGTGGTCGTGGGTTCGATTCCCACAGACGGCGCCAAACTGTTGCGTCCTGGAGTATTCGCGGCGGTAGAGAAATATAGTTTAATGTCTTAGCATTGTACGAAGATCCAGCACACAATCAGATAATTGATAGGGTGTAGCATTCATAAGAGACACCAGAGTTTTTTACGTGGAAAACCCCTAAAAAGGGGGAAAAACCACGGGGTCTGGCCCAGTTTGAATGAATCCACTAGTATTTGTAGTCGTTACAAATGAGGCTCTTCTTTGGGAGAAGGCCTTGGATTGATGTAGCAAATGTACATCATACAGATTGCATTACATAGTAGGAATTATATATACATGTTTGTCTGGTCGGAAGGACCGTAGTCGGAAGGAGACCGGGGTTAGAAAGACCATTGTCTGTTGATGGAGGTCGGATGGACCGTAGTAGGCGGCGAAGGCCTGAAGGACCGCAGTCGGTAGGAGACTGAGGTCTGAAAGATCGTTGTCTGGTGATGAAGGTCGGATGGATCGTAGTAGGCGGCGAAGGCCTGAAGGACCGTAGTCGGTAGAAGACTGGGGTCTGAAAGATCGTTGTCTGGTGATGGAGGTCGGATGGACCGTAGTAGGCGGTGAAGGCCTGAAGGACCGTAGTCGGTAGAAGACTGGGGTCTGAAAGACCGTTGTCTGGTGATGGAGGTCGGATGAACCGTAGTAGGCGGCGAAGGCCTGAAGGATCGTAGTCGGTAGGAGACTGGGGTCTGAAAGATCGTTGTCTGGTGATGAAGGTCGGATGGATCGTAGTAGGGAGGTACTTTGGTAGAACTCTGGACGTCAGGTAGTGGCCCAGCAGAAGTTCAGGCCTCAGGTGGTGTTCCAACAAAGCAACGGCGTCAGGTAGTAATCTAGCGGAGGAGAGGGCCTTTGGTGAAGGTGAGGGCCTCATGTGAAGGTGAAAGCCTCAGGTGTTGGTGAGGGCCTTTGACGAATGTGAAGGCCTCGTGTGATGGTGAGGGCCTTTGATGAAGACGTCAGGCCTGAAAGTCGGGCCTTGAGCAAAACGTTGGGCATGAATGTCAAGCCTTCAGTAGCACGTCGGGCCTGAACGTTGAGCTTGAATGTCGGGCCTTGATATGGTGGTGCGGCGAAACTCCGACGATTTGAATAGCTCAAGTGGAAGATAAGATTAGTCACCTTAAATAGTTTGGTTGCATGCGACCTTTCGATGACCTAACTAAGTGAGTATATGTATTAAATTTGACTTATTTAAGAAAGGTAGCGGTAGACCTAAAAAGATTTGGTTATAAAATATTAAAAAATTATTTTTTATTAAATTTAAATAAAAATTTAACTTTTAACAATATATGAACAAAAGATTCATATATCATCTGATGTTGTTATATATATATATATATATGATCTCATGATATTCTCCTGCAAAATTTAACATATGACTTTAAAATTCATGAGTCTACAATCTTTAAAAGGTTTTTTTAAGTCTACGCATGCATTTTCATCAGCAAACAAGTTCATAATCTTTTTCTCTATATTGTATGCTAATTTTCATTTGTAAAGTCAAGTTTTTTTTTTCTTTGAACTTTTGAGATAATTAAGATAAATTTTTTCATAAACTCTAAACATATAATTAATCATATGTTGCGCAGGCAACCCTAAGCTCAAAAAACTTTTCAATTAAAAAAATCTGTTTTGCAAATCGACTACAAATCCGTTAAGCAGATTCCGAATGAACTCAAAATTTTAGAGAAAATCACAAATTACAGATATGAAGTAATACAAAGATAGTACAACACTGCTTTCCTGCAAAGAAATGTCCCTTCAACAAATTAAAGAACATTGACCTCTTAAGCAGTGCGAAGTGTTTCCAAACCATCAACGATTACAACTTCAGAGAACTCTCAAAAGGAAAAAAAAATAGCAAGACATGAACTTTAGAGATTAGAGATTCATACTAATGGAAGAGCGCCTGCAGAGATGTAGCCTATGAAAGCCAACCAGAAACAGTTTTCATATCCATCAAAGGCTTAAAAGTTAAAATTTCTGGATCAAAATTAAAATGCAGCAGCTACTCTTCCCTTCACCTGACTGAGAACATGGAAAAAAAGAAAGAAAGAAAGAAAAAGAGGACAGCCAAGAATGAATTGCCTTCAACAAAGTATTCACCAGTGAACTCTAAGCTCTCTCCCTGACAAGCCAGAACTGTGACTCTTCGATTTTAGATAGCCAGAGCCCTCTTCTTGGGCTGGTTCGCCATTAAATCAGCTCTCCTTTGACCCGAGAAATCTCCTTCGTCCATCCTTTCACCTTGCTTTGGATGGAACGGAGATAACTGGAATCCAGAACTGTGTTGATAGCCATCACTGTTGCTGGTGTATTTATGTGGTTTCAGCACACTTTGCAAAGCAGGCCTTGCGCGTGCAGAATCTGGATTAGCTGAGGTATCAGAGAGGAGGGATTCATAACCAAAAGAAACAGAAGCTGAAGCAAGCCCAGTCTCAGGATTACTGTTGGAAGAATCTGCCTCGTTCTTTTTTGTGTTGAGAAAACGGCCACCACAACCCCTCGCTCTCCTCATTGCATGTAGGTGACGAGATTCGTGAAGATATGGCTGCAGAGGATTAACAATGTCCAGTTATAAACGTTAAGCCACAATTCGCTTATGCGTCCTATCAGATTTGAAGCTATCAGCAGAGCAGATAAGTAAATACTTGAATCTAAGACTTCATTTGGCCCAGCTTTCTTGGTGCTTCTTAAATCAGCTTTTTAGTTCAAATTTTTTCATTTTTTAACTAAAAAGCAGCTTTAAGAAGCAATAAAAAAGCCGTCCCAAACAAAGCATAAGACTTCATTTTGAGCGGCAAAACAGCGTTCTATTATAAAGTTTTTTTGTGTGTTACTAAAAAAGTTGTTTTAAGAAGCATTAAGAAAGCTATCCCAAATGAGACCTAAGTTAGAAACTTGAAAAAACAGAAATAAAAGATGTTAAAAAAATAAATTATAGTACAAACATTTAACCAAAGCTAATTTTATGGAACTGTTTGGACACAGGAATAATTAAACCTGTAAATCTAGATTTAGAAAATCGTGAAGGTGACTTCTATCGTGAAATTGTATGGTATGACATCTATTTGATCTAGGTAAAACTTGCTAACTTGTTTAGTTGTTTGTTTTAGGATTTAGGCTTTCAATGCATACTAATTTAATCAGAACGACAGAACAAAAAGAAGATCATAACAGAAGAGCTAAACCACAACAATGGACCAAAAGGTAAAACCACATCGAAGGAGCTAGGGCAGCCAACAAAAGATGAGGCAATGGGGAAGCTGGAGTCTGTCTAGATCCCAGACTTCTGGTGATTTGCAATTTACATTAGTTGAAAACGTCGGGCAAATAAATGATCTGACCACCCTTGTAGTATAATTCTATTATTTCATAATTTATTTTATACTTTTTCATATTATTGATCACTGAACATGCCTATGAGAAGGATTGGGTTCTTTATTGATTTAATTCTCAAATATTAGGTAAGTTTATGTGGTTTGGCATAACTTCATGCAAGATTGGTTGATAGCACGTTTAACATGAGTAGAAGTTTTATGGGCTTATTGTTAAAGGATATGGGCTTTTGGGTGCAGAAATTTTTGAATTTGCATGCCTAGCTACATTTCAGCTACCACTATTTTTGGTTCTATTTACATTATCACTACCAGTCTAAGATTCCCAAAAAAAATACCCTACTGCTACGAGATAACCGTCTGGAACAACTTCGGATTTGGCTAGAGCCTTCGAGTCGTAGATATTCCATAATTTACTTATCTGTCTCCTGGCTTAGATATTTTCACACACGATAACTAAGAATTGAATTTTGCATAACCTGGAATCGAATTAAATTACTTTTATATGCTACCATATCTATTAACCTGAGCTGCGAAATCTATAAAAAGTTCTTTAAGGCATCTAAAGTATCCAGGTTTGATTCAATCCAATTTCATATTCCACTTTTCAATCTTGTGCAAGTTTGTTGGATGTATGATTTCTTCAAATGCAGTCCACATGCAGCTACCTAATTCTATATAAAATCATCTCATTGCACTGCAGTAAGGCTAGGATCTTCGTAATTTCTCCTTTACCTATGTTCTTTCAGATATTTTGTAGTGACCCCCAAAGTTCTTGATTTTGATAAAATTAATAACAATTAAGATTCCATTTGAGGTGTCTAATTTGGATTACTAGTTGATTTTCAAACATTCAAATTTGTCATTAATTTCTTTTGATTAATTCATTTGTATATTCTCATTTTGATGTAGGTTCTTGTATTTTCTAGGTTTTATCTAAAGAAAGCGAGTTTTATCAGTATCAGATGGTCTTTGAACAATATATCCTAATTTCTTTATGTCATTTGCATCCATTGCACCATCCTAGTTGCATTAGGACATCATTCATCACAAGGGGAAGAGTGAAAATCAACTAGTAAATGAGAATTTGACTTTTAATAGGACACATTAGAGAAAAAAAAAAAAACAAGGATTCATGTTACCGAGCCCATGTATGGGATAAAGGCTTGATGATGTTGTTGTAAAAATTGGAGTATTAGAATGACATCATGGGTGTTTTAAAGCAGCTCATTAGAATATCAATTAGTCAACATTTCATTGCATCATCTTCTCTAAAAGTTAACAATCTGAAAGGTACCTTTCTTGACTTTACAGTCTTCTTTTCAAGTTCGGCCTTGGCACGTGACTGCCTTCTCCTCAAAATTCCATGGTACTGCTTTGCATTTACATAAACAGGCTCCTCTGCCATTTCCAAGGGCAAAGGCATTCGAGCATGTGGCATTCCAAGAAATTGAGGATGCACCTGATGGAACACATCTTTAATTATTAGCAATAGAAGAACTGGGCTGGAATATGATTAATCAACTAATATGAGTATTATGTGGTTCAAACAGCTATAATTTTAATTAATAACAAAATTAAAGGAAGGCTGATCGGCAAATACTACTTACCAAAGCTTGAGGCACGTAGGCTGCCATCATACCATGATACGGATCAGAGAATGAATATGCTGCACATGCCTGATAAAGTTTAAGGGAGTTAAGGACATGAAACAGAAAGCACATTCTTCTTACATGAAATATTAAGCAGAAAGTGTCCATTGTTATTGGATCAAAGGAAACTCATATATGCTGGTTACAACTCAATACAAAATTACCTATGAAAAAACAGAATTATCTGAAACATGGAGTTCTAATTATAAAAAATAAAGAGAACAAAGTCCATACAACTGATTGGCCAAGTTCCAATTGAGTGTGTGGCATGATATATTCCGGCATCATTGGAGGCAACAAAGCGGAGATGGGTTGCATTTGCTGTTGTTCCTGGGGGGAATTTCCATCTGACCATAAATGAAGTTCGAGAGTAAGATATATGCACATCATTAACAAATATTTTTGATCAAGCCACAAAAGTTACGTGAGCTTCTATATAGATACTAAAATGAAGCTGTGTCAGAACAAGCACACTTCTGCAGCAAAATAAATCATTCAGCTTACTAAATCACTCAAGTGACAAAAAAAAGGTTTCTTAAGATGGTAGACCAAATATTTCTACTCTAGAGCCGTGCATAGTGGAAACGTCAATATGCATTGCACTTGTCCCTAAGTAAGCCATCACAAGTATATCAATCAGGGCTTTTTTTTTTTAAAGAACCAGATATCTTTTGAACAACTGATGATAGACATTAAGCAGAGTGACTGGGTTGTAATGAAATAAAGCAGACCCAAGATTCTATGATAAAAAAATAAAACAAAAAAAATCATATTCTATGCAATGTGCTCAGAAAACATGCGCCACTCTATATTCCTTTCTTTAGTTGTTATCTTGATCCCAACAGAAGAAAAAAAAAAAGAATAAAAAAATAAGCTTTAAAATGATGATTCTAAGATGAATTTGTTGCTACAAACATACAATCATTAAGTGCAAGTCAAAGCATACCTCAATATTACACTACCAAAATATTGCTTTATTGCAACTGGAGCTTAGGATCAGTCCCAAATGGTTAATAATCTGAACCCCAACATTAACTTATTATTTCAACGTTTCGCCTCTTTTGACCCTTTTGCGACTCTCCCTGTAGTATGACCTTCGACAGTTCTATAAGTACATCTCAACTCCTCTCACAACCTCTCATCCACCTTCTTTCATCCCTGAACTTTGGATTTACCCTCTAGCTCCCCTCCGGTGGTGCCACCGACTGCCACCCTCTCTCTTTGTTGGCTGACCTATTCAAGGTGTGATCCACGTGACCTCTAGCTCAATGCACTACCACTAATGACCCCATTTTCCACAACTTGGTCAAGCAATTCTTAGGAGATGACCATTGGGAGGCATCTCACTCACAAACTCAATGTAGCATGTAAGGATGCCCTAAGAAAGCCAACACAAGATCCATATGAAGAAAGGCACCACATCGACTCTCGTTCTCAAGCCGTTGCCATAAGCTTGGAATTATAAGTTTTAATAAGAACTTCCATGAAGAACAAATAATAATGTCATATATTTGCAAATTTATGTACGAAAAATATGAGACAGCTATGACCTCAAAAGATGGTGTGAAGGGTACTACTCAGCATAAGTTCTATTATTCATGCAGGGATGGAAACTTAAAGAGGGGCTGACCAAGTGCTACATATATAGCTTTGGAGGTTATTAAAAGGACATAAATTGATCCTCATCCATCTAATAGAGATCAAAGGCATTCAGTATTAAGGGAAACTGATTACGTTAAAGGAGGTTAAGGAGATTGTGCAATCCATGCTGAAAGAGCTACATTAATAAGGTGCTCTAGGCAGTGCTCAAGACTATGCTTATGATGATGATGATGATGATGGTGGTGACTTAAAGTTTTATTTACTTCTTTTGAAGATTTTTTTTTTTTGTTGATGAGAAAATTGTTATAACTATTACATAGGAACTCTTGCACTTAACTATATTTACCTTTGTACAAAGATTAAGTTAATTGAAACTTTGATTGCATGTATAGTTGAGTGTCGAATTACTCTTAAATTGTGTGCATTTATATTTAATTTGAGTAATAGTTATATGTTAGTTACATGATGATGTCATTGCTACATATTGTACAAATTCAAAATACAACCAAATAATGGCTGATCTGCATAATGATGCCATAGCTTCGGGGCCTATCACAAAGAATATGATATGCTTAAGCATTGTGACAAGCCAAGCAAGATGGCCACGAAAAAGAAGTTGTTTCATTCTCAAGGAGATCATTGTGATCATATGTTTGCAACCTCCATAAGGTCGTAATATATATCTGCTACCACTTTTAATGGTCACAATTTAGTAGCGGTGATCTTTTCACAACCATTTTTATGACAGGTAGAACAATCACAAAAAAGTAGTTCCAACCAGAAATGTAAAGGCAAAGGCTACTCAAAATGGCGAAGGTATAGGATGTCTCAAAATGGCAGCATTATGATAGTGTTAATGAACAAAACTCAGCAGAGCTATAAGAAGTTTGGATATATGGACAAACATGACACAAAAAAGGTTGAGTGCACTCTACCCGGCCCATGACCAACACAACATCCACCTTCTATCAATAAATAACACATACTTGAGCATTTTGCATAGGTAACTATTCAAATGGAGCTATTCCAAGGATTAACATGAAAAACATCATTAAACTCCTGCCAGCCATTTTTAATCTAATTTATTCTCCTATCTTTTTGTCAACGAACCATGCTATACAAAACTAAACAGTTGAAATAATTCAGAAAATAGTATCTCAACTCAATCAAGTTTCCAGAAACATGCTTCATGCATATCCATACTTGGTATGTCTTTGGTAGCATCACTCTTTCCACTTGAACTGTCCTTCTGTTTCAATTGGCCAATATTAGAATCACCTCCTGCAAGAGGATGCACTACATGAGACTTTGATATTCACTCTGGTATAAGAACTGGAGAAACAACACCAAATCCATGACCTTGCCACCATAGTTGAGAGGTAAAAACCGGTGACAGGTTTCCGTGGGAATTGTATTCTCCAGAATTTCCACCATTGGGTCTAATCTCCATGCTTTTTAACTCCAAATGTAAATCTTCAGGTAAACTACAAGAAGATGTTTATTAAGGTTTGCAAAATATATGATAGTGAGTATGGTAGAAGTAAGCAAACAGCATGAGGTATATGATTCCCTCCTATTTAACTTACTGGAAAAGGAAAATAATGAAAGCGTCAATAACACTAGTTCTAGTTCCATGTTTTATTAAAAAGACACTTTGACCTGTACTCCAAATTTTTTTTTCTTGATTACAATAACGAAATACCGCAAAGCTAATGCTTGTTGGTATATAATTAATATAGCATGTAAGTGCATTAGAAAAACAAAATTAAATATATAAAATAATTAAGATACAGAAAAGGAGACATATTTGCTTTGATCAAATTAGGAGCATGAACTAAGTTGACAAACAATTTTAATGATGACAACATCAAGGATTAAAGAAAGATGGGAATAACATTTTAACGAATTACTACAGGAGTTTTACCAAGGATAGCTCTATAAAATAGTAAATCGAGGAAATTCTGAGATATAAAATAGAATTATTAAATGAGGCCAGCTGAGTATTTCGCTTTAAGGAAAATTCATAATATTAAAACTTAAAAAACAAATAAGGAACATATGGAAATTTATTTTCTTTTTCAATAGGGCCAAGCAAGCCAATCCTTTATAATCCCACAAATTTTGTTGGCCATATGTCTAGATAGCCATAGAAACGCCTACAGGCAAAGACTAAACGTCTACGTTTTTGATACACACTGAATTTTGAATAATTATAGCAAATAATTGGAGTTTTATTGTTATAGATAAAAAGATGCACCAGTAAGGAGGGAAATAAAAGTAGTAGAAAAAGCAGGCTAAGCAAAGCATATATGTCTAGCTACTATAAACGAGTTATGAAAATTAGAATTAACAACCCAAATAACAATACTCAGTAGCACTGAATAACCAAACAAGATTCGTAAAGATATCTCAAATAGTCAAGAAAGCATAACTATGAAGATGGTGATGATAATCAATGTCAATTCTCACCAACATAGGAGAGAAAGGAAGCACGAAAAGATCCAAAACGATTCGTTACATACAACAAAAACGACACCCTGATCTGAAAAGACTTGATAACTTAAAACATAATCGAATCAGCTCAGTTAAACAGAAGGAGAAAGATAAATGTTATCAAGATTGAGTTTCTTTACAGCTACGCAAATAAACACAAAATTTTCTTTTGCTACGCTCAAACATCTTCTAGTAAACAGTCTAGACCGCAGTCATATATATTCATCATCAACCAAGAGACCCTGAAACGGCAAAACGAAGAAACAGAACAAAGTCCGACGCAACATCATTACCTCTTTTCGGTAAGATCAGAACACTAACCCTTGCCGCAAGTAGACAAACTTACAACCGAACTCGAAATCAAAGACCTAAATTAGATAAGAATTAATTCTTCTTCAAAGAATCTCCAATGAAGAACTCTCTGCACCTCCACTACCAGAATTCCCCAAACCCTAGACTAACAAAGCCCCCCTTTAATTCACCAAAACGAAAACAGTAAAGTGAAAATGAAACAGAACAGTGAAAGGGATGGGCGAAAGCGACTGCAAACTCACTCTTACAAGGAGAACCCGCGAGATAACCTATAATTGTTCCTTTCCATCCTTTCTCCGCCATCAATTTCTCATAAATCCGTTCGCCTTCTTTATAAAATAATAGAAAATCTGCATAGCAGAGTAAAAATTTCTCTCCATCTCTCTCTCCCCCACCCGACCGAATCGATCTCTTTCTTTTCCGCTGCTTTTCAATCTCTTCAAATGCACATCTATTTCATTTAAAAAGACAGCTTATAGCACTGAATTGTTGATATAAAATATACTTAAATTAACTAGTATATCTAAATTGTAAGAAAATTGTTTTGGGAGGGTAAAATTGTAAAAAAGGCATAGAAGTCCGGCTAGCCGTTGACCCCACCCTGAAAGGCAACAGGATAATCCCCAAGCATTCTGGGGGGTATTCTCGTCATTTCGCTCGCAAACCTTTTCTCTGTTTTTGGTTGCTCAATGCTCGCAAACCTGTAAGCGCACGATGGTTCCAGGACGAGCCACGCGTCGAGATATCCACGTCAACGGGGGGCCATCTAACACGTGTCATGATGTAATGGATAACAGCGTGGTGACGGCGTCATTCCTTCCAACCCGGGTCCGTGACGGATCGCCTTCAACCTCCACGTGTCGTTGAAGCCTTACACGTGGCGGTAACAAGTCTGCTGGCACTGGTGCGACAGCTTAGGGCCGATGACGCTGGCCTATACTTTATTTTGTCGTTTAGTGCGGCATATGAGGTTATTTCTTTTATCATAGCAGGGTACTTTGGGAAATTCAGAGTGTGAGTGGATAACGAGTGTTCGGCTACGTGTAAGAAAGTATTGGGCAGAAAAGATTCCAAATTACTCGCTAATCAAATATTAATATTTTAGGGATGTCATGTTACTGACAGCTGTGGGTTAAAGATTATATATTAATTTAATTAAGTATAATTATAGAGGAGAGGTAGTATTAGATCATTGATGAGGTATTAGATTCCAAATTTGATTGTGGTTTGTTAATTATGATATATGCAATCTAGGATGAATCAAAATACTAATATTAATGATATAAATTAATTGAGTTTGGCATAGCTTATAGTCACTTCAACTCAATTGATGTATTTTTGAAGAGATTAGAATAATAATTGAATAAATTTCTATAAAATTAAGTATTCTTTTGGGACAACCTTCTTACTGTTTTATGAAGCAAATTTTTAATACAATTTTTTTAATTCAAAATTTTTGTGCTGAAAATCTGCTTCATAAAGCAGTAAGAAAGCTATCTGAAATGAAGCATAAGCTAGCTTTACGGATCATTCAAAATTTTGTAATTTAGATATGAGTTAGTTTTTATGAATTTGTTTATGATGTTGTTCATTGATGGCATATTAACGTATAACAGAATGATGGATGATTATTCAATTTATTTAAGATTAGTATTAGAGATAGTAATACAAAATAAGTTGAATGCTAGGTTCTCAAAATGTGAGTTATGTATGCTTTAAGTGGGTATTTAATATGAGCCTAATAAGACTAATCTGATTGTATATGTTTTAAGTGGGAATATTTTAATGCAATATTGGTATAAAATAAGGTGTAATATGTACACTAATAATCATAATTTAAAGTATATATTACTTTGAAGATGTTGATTTTAAGATAAAAAAAAAACATGGATGTCAATGATTAGGGATTAAGATTGTTACGATCTAATCATATATACATGCAAGAATACTCAATCACACAAGCAATAAAATGATGAAGAGTATCATCCCATATAGACTGTAAAAACCAATGACTTGATCTTGACATTATCTAAACAATCGAAACAAGATGACAATTTGTGTTAAATAGAAAAATGCTAACAATGAATCAAAATGGGAATCTCTTTAAGTTAAAAGTTAGACAAATAAGCCTAGGGATTAGATTTTATCGGGACTTATTCTATTAGTTTAGTTCCAACACAATTAAAAAATATAAACAAGATAGTTTTTATTAGATCTTACCGCGTATCCTACCATTCTCTCGAAAACCTAGAATCCATAATCTCTTCAAAACCCTAATAATTTCTCAATGATAGATTCAATGCATATAGATTTTGTTAACTCAACACAAGAGATCTAATTGATAACATGAGTTTAAAATAAATATCTCTATCATTTGATCTATCATGATTTTTCACAAATGATGAGTCTATCATCCACCTCTTTATTTTGAATAAACCTCTTAAAATTTTAATTAGTACAATAAAAAAAGAATAGAATGAAATATATATAATAATAATTAGATATAGAAAACTCAGTTGATTATATTAATAATAAACCAATATGATTACATCTAATCCCCATAAGATAGATTCAACTCATGTTAACTTGAAAGAAAGAAGAATTAGCATATGATTTCAAATAAAGACATAAAAAAAGAGAGGAAGAACTACAAAATTCTACAGGTTCTTGTTCTGTGTCTATAATCTGATTTTTGAAAATAAATTAAAAATGTGAATATGAATTTCTATTTGAACTGCTGCACAGCAACACTATTCCTTTAAGCGTTGTGACGCTTGGTCTTGAGTGCAGCGGCGCCATAAATCATCGCCGAGGCACTGAAGTCTCTATTATTAAGTAATTCTGAATTCAACATGTAGCGCTGCGGTGATGATATATATATATAACTCCATTTTCTCTCCACTCACTCGCCACTCATGCCAGCAGCATCGGCTTGCCGGAGAAGGCAATGGGTTTTGTGGTCGAACCGTTTCATCATTTTGATAATAATTGTTCAGATTGATGTAAGTGATTTTTAACTTTTTTTTTTATTTTCAAAATTTTGATTTCAACCATCCAAGTTCTTTTAAATTGATTTTATTACATTTTCTCTAGATTTAGTGAACTTCTTCTACATAACTTTTTATATGTTACAATATTGATTATTCTAGACAGTTTGATTGATTGATTATGTGATTTCACTGGGTAAAATGAAATATATTGTGTTTAGGATGATTTGCACGGAATAAAAGTTTTGATATTTTAATATAGACATACCATTAATACAAATATTGTGAATAAATATGATCATGTGATTGGATAATAGCTGGTTACTATTACTATTATAACACTGTAAGACAAGTAAAAGCTGATTTTACTGACGTAGCTGAAGACTGATAGATCTGTATAGGATAGTGGGTCGACAGACTTTCATTTAAATACTATGATTTGATGTTATCCTCGATTGAGTCACCCAATCAAAAAACTCTGTGGAGCGAATCCAAGCTACTGCATGAAGGCCTGGAGATTCTCAATTCTCATGGTAGCAATATTAAAACAATTTGTCATATTATCAATCAAGTGCTGATATGATTCTAATTAAAATACAATTTTACAAGAAGAACATAGCATTTCAAAATAAAATAAGATTAGCTGTTTGGAATCAGTTGGATTTACTCAGCAATGACTTTTATCTGCTTCTTAGTAGGCAATCTGTTTCACCTAAGCAGCACTGGCACATGGAAGTTTCATGGCGTTTTTAATTGTTTTTTTCTTATAAGGCCATAAAAAGTCTTAAAATTTGATGATCAGTCAAAAGTAATGAGCTAAATGGAACAATAATTCACTGGGTTTACCTTTCTTTATTCTCAAGTCGGTGATAATGTTTGAAATTTATTCTTAATTAAACATCATTAGCACTAAGGGAAAAAGTAGCCAGTAAGTAGTTAAGAGAGTACTCTTAGATGTATACAGCATTTTTTTTAGGTGTGTGTACGTGCATGCATTTGTATATAATCGGATATGTCCACAAAGATTCATTTGATCAATATCAATCGGATTATACTATTGCCTCGAACCTCAAGTCAAATTATCATGCTCGTGAGGGGTCTTCCCCATGATTGGGTTCGGGTGCATTGAAACCAATTTTTATTTTCCGTACAAAGCCCTGGCGTTGTGTGCTCAAGCGCCCTGGCAACGCAAAAGTTTATTGGAAGAAATGATAGAGAGCGGATCTAAATTAGTAAATTCAATCTCACAGTGCTGTCAGGTGGACTTGTGACAGAGTGTTGAGCGCCACAGCGCTTAAGGCGGACTGAACAATTTTTTTTCTCATTTTTTTCAAGGGTGGCGTCCCTTAATGGTATGTAGAGGCTTTTCTCTTTTGCTTAGAATGTGAGAATGGTGTAAGAGAGAATAGAAACAAGAAGAGAGAGAGAGAGATAATTAGCGAGATCTATACTTCTTTCTCCTAATTTGCATAGTGAATTTCTTGGTGCGGTGTGGCTCCCTGATTATTTCCCGATTTCAAATTTTTTCTTGTTAAATCTCTATGCTGTTTGTTGTTTGGTTTACCTTCACATCCCCAACAAATCTCAATGTAATGTTGCAATTTTTATCTAAATACATATTGATCTTTGAACAAAATTAAGATATTAAATACTAACTATGTCTTATCATAAATTTTTTCAGCACCAAACATTGGGCATGTCTCTTGCAACTTCAATCTACGCATCTGTTGAATCTTTGTATAAAATCAAGTCAATAAATACTCACTCTTTACTATCGAAAATTTTCTAGCATGTAACTATTTAAGTACTATGAATAATGTGAAGACATTTTCAGAATTTTTCTTAGCAACTTATGCTTCGTTTGGGACGGCTTTCTTCCTGCTTCTTAAAGCCACATTTTAGTTAATTTTTTTTCATTTTTGTACTAAAATGCCGCTTTAAGAAGCAGTAAGAAAGTCGTTCCGAACGAAACCTTAATCTCCAACATTTTTTAATTTGATGGAACAATATAATCTAAGTAATCAACTATTTTCTCCCTATCCTGAGTTCATGCTCATATGTTTCACCAGTCGTCAACATTTATAACCAACAGGCTCAGGATAAAAGAGTTAATGGTCTATCGAAAAATTAAAATGCCAAACTGTAGATTCCGATCCAGTGAAATATACGGGCCTGAACTCAGTATTTGACATCCAAACAATGCACGCCAGAGTCACAGCAATGTGAAAAATGTGTTTTAAAACAAATTACTCTCATATTTTGCAAGTATGACTCCGTTTGGAATAACTTTCTTACTGCTTTCTAAAATAACTTTTTAATACAAAAAATTTTTAAACTAAAAGATTTTGTACTAAAAGTTGTTTTAGAAAGCAATAAGTAAGATGTCCCAAACTAAGGTTGGGTACGTGGCTGTCTATTTTTGTATTAAGAAGTTGTTTTAAGAAGCAGTAAAAAAATCGTCTCAAACGAAGCCTAAGCTTATATCTATATATAAATTTCATTAAAATGTATACAGCAAATGTGAACTTACTGAATAATTTATATTGCATTACTCTTTAAATAAATACAATAATTTTTAAGTTCATTCTAATATAACTTATATCATTATTATACTTCAGTTTGTTATATATATTTTTTAATTTTTCAGGATTTTCTATGATGATGAGTTTTTCATAATCAGATCAATTAGAATATAATAATTTAAAAATATATATATTTTTAATATTGTAACAATAATAAAAAACTTAATTTCTTATAATAATTCTAAGACTAATTTTACATTAATTGTAGCCATCATGACATGAAAGTATTAAACACTCACCAACATTTATAACTGAACCATTAATTGACCAACTCATGACTCATCTGATAGCTCATCCACCAATACCTTCCAACCACTACAACTGCTATGGAATCATAATGAAATGGTATCACCCTTAACAAAAACTATATTTGCCTCTTCAATATTGTCATGGATTTATTTAAAGATAACTTCATTGAAGTGATTAAGCATGGATAGATTCAAATGCCATTAATTAGCTATTGATGAAATCAAATATGTTGTAGTATAAGGCTTCATTTGTGACGGCTTTCTTACTGCTTCTTAAAGCAATATTTTAGCTCGCAAATTTTTTGTGCTAGAAAGCCGCTTTTAGAAAGCAATAAGAAAGATATTTCAAATGAAGCCTAAGTAACATCATATGCTCATTTTCATAACGTGATGATGTGTATATGAGAATGAGAGAATGTTTATCAATCACATGTCAATTTGTCATGATGTTCATCTAAACTCTTAGCAATTAAAAATGAAATTTACATTCTAATTGGGTGTTGTAATTTGAATGAAGAAAATTTTATTTTAATTTTAATTCTAAGGCTTCGTTTGGGACAGTTTTTGACGGCTGTTATTGTGTTGCTTTTAAAAAAAATTGTACTAAAAAATTGCTATAAACACAATAAGAAAATTGACATAAACAAAACTTAAATGAGAAAAAAATGAGGATTGACATGTCATCAAAATATTATCTTGATCGGACACGAATCTCGAGGCAAAAATCAAGTTGGAAACTTCAAAAATTAAACATGGGATCATTTGAACTCTGAATTCAACAAATTTACAGTCAAACTGAGTTTCTCAGAAATACAAACCCAACGACACCAAATTTGACTCAATCTGAGCCTAAATGAGTCCAAATCAAGGACCTAAAGCACTGTTGGAAAGTTCGAACCACAATTTATGTTACCAAACGGTTTCCAAATATAACATGCTTTTAGTCGAATCGAGCGAATCGACGAGGCAAATCCAACGAGCCCAAGATCGCCGAATTCCGACATCATTAAGACTTTCAAATGTTTGACGAATGGTACATGATCAAGGGATTCAATATTGGTCGTCCATCCAACCACTCCCCATTTACCACTGATTTCTCACCTATTTACGGGTCATGCAATTCCAGAAATCTATAAATAGACCCCTCATTTCTCTTGAGAGGGGGTCTAAGAAAGAAGTTAGAAGAGGATAAGAGAAGAATAGGAGGGAAGAAAATCCTCCTCGACCACCGCCGGAGTTCCGCCCGAACTCCAAGTGACGTCGGAATTCCGCCCGACCTCCAAGTGACGTCAGGATTCTGCCCGACCTCCAAGTGACACCAGAATTTCGCCTGACCTCAAAGTGACGCCGGAGTTTCACCCGAACTCCAAGTAATGCCGGAGTTCTCTTCGGCCGCCAACTGACGTCGGACTTCTAGTCGACGCCGGACTTCCACTCGTCACCAAGTTTCTTCCCTATGCCGGACTTTTGCCTGTTGTCGGGCTTTCGCCGGACATCTATACTGTAAAACCCTTAAAAAGCTGATTTTTTTTAGTGCAGTTCGTCTGTACGAACTGGATTTAGTACTGGACGAACTGAAGAAATATGTCATTTTCGTCTGTACGAACCTGGATCGTCGGGACGATCCGTCTGTACGAAATCTGTCCAGAGAGCAAGTCGCCCGGGACGAATTTTAATTTTGTCTGTACGAAATTTGTCCAGAGAGCACATCGTACCGGGACGAATTTTGGATCGTCCGGGACGATCAGTGTTAATAAATATCGGATTCGAGATATTTTGAATCATTTGAAGTGAGAGAAAGAGAAGGCAGGAGAGAGAAAGAGGAGGAAGAGAAGAGGAAAGCCGGATTTCGGAGGCCGCGGAGCGCTTTTCGTCCGACGACGTAGTTGGAAGATTTGTTTATCTCGCAGTAAGGAATCCGAATCCTATTTCTGTTTTCGAAGATTTCGAGTTTTGATATTTCTGTGCTCAGATTTGTGTTTTCGTTACCGATAAACGCGCCGCATTTTGTATTGAAGAAACTTTCACCGCATAACTTTTGGTATGTTGTAGATGTGATTATTCTGCACGTTTTAAGTATTTTCTGAAAGATTTCGTCCGGTCCGTTTTGATTCTGCGGAGTTTTATTTTGACTGCAAATTATTATGATGTCTGAATTGGTTTGTGCAGTAGAAGATTAGTTTTACAATGTTGCTGTGCACGTTCTGTATTAATTTGGTGATCTGAAATTTTTGGAGATTTTTGTGTAAATTCCGTAGACTGCCGTTGCTCTGCCCGATTTTCGTATAATTTCTGATTTGTTCGAGATTGATAGATTGAGTTGATATGCATTTGAATGTTGATGTGATTGCTTTATATTGTCCTTGAATTGACTATTGTATTGATTATTGCATTGACTATTGAATTGACTATTGAATACAGAAAGACAAGTTAAGCTTGGTTGAACATTGGTAGAAGATAGAATTGACCTGTACAGGATGGTGGGCCGACGGACTTTCCTTTAAATTCTCCCGGTGCTGATGTCTATTGATGCTCGACAATCATCTCATGATTATTGGTGCTCACCTATGAGACTGGCGTCAACCAACCGATGACCTTCTCCTGATCTGCACCATCACCCTCACTACTCCTGAAGTAATTTTGACAACATTCACAATAAGATTGAGCTAACAATCCATACTTTGTAATCATGCCTTCTTCAATTTGGGAGAAGATTATACTTCTATAATTTTATTTAGATAGTAGATTATTTTAACTGTATTACAAAGTAGTAAAATACTTATTCCACTAAGGGAAAAAATTTCCAGGACGAGTAATTGCTCATCCTGAGCTCTCTCTAGGCCTACCCCCATTAACAATCTTAAATTTAAGAAGACAAAAAATATATATAATATATTAAGAACTTCATACAACCTGCTATGATTCCACTTTTTTTAAATAAAAAGCTTCTTTAAGTAATCAATTTTCCTCCTCATAAACAAATCTATCCAGCATTCAATAGGCATTGCAGCTAATTCATTCTTTATCAGGGAACTAAAGCTTCTGCTTTGCTAAATAAGCACAGCAAGCAATAAATAACAACACATAGAAGGGAAGAACAGGAAATAAAGTTTCAATTCCATTCCTTATCTCACATGAATTAATTTTCAATAAAGCTTTGTTTTTCTTTTTGCTGGAAGACCTCTAAATAGTGTACATACAAATTTACATAAAGCACACAGAAGTATATATGACCACTAGAGGCTGGAAGGCTCTGATAATTGATCCACTTCCCAGCTTGTTCTTGGTGCCACTATTTCATGAAGAGGCTTATATTCCTGCAAATTAAAATGAAATACAAATAATTTCATTTTTCTCTGCAATATTCCATTAATAATTCAAGAAAAAAAAGTACTGAAGAGGAAACACAACTGTTCAAATGTTTAATTTAGAGAAAATGATCAAATTGATCTCCTAACTTCTTCTGAATGACTAAAATAGCTCTAACTATATAAGAGTATCCATTTTGTCTTTTGATTCTTTAAATAAGGACAAAGGCTTCATTTGGGACGGCTTTCTTACTGTAAATGTTTGTACTAGAAAGTTGTTTTAAGAAGCAGTAAACAAGCCATCCCAAACGAAGCCAAAGTTTGTTCTTTTGTGGGATCATTTAGGCCCTTATTTAAGAAAATCAAGAGACAAAATATGAACTTCTAAATAGTTGGGGATTATTTTGATCTATCGTGACCATTTGGATCTTTATCTTATTTAGTTTAAAAGTAATAATAATAAAATAACCTTACTATACATTAAAGTTTCTTTCCTTCAGAAATTAATTGCAAGATGAATGAGGACAAATTGATCATATTTATTTTGTGTGCATTCAAAAAGGAACCAATCTATAAGTAACACAACATTATAACAAAATCTCCTAATTTATTTATTTTTCCTGTTTTTTCCTTTAACATTAATTAATTATACCTCCATTTTTCTCATGAGCTCCTCAGCATTCTCAGCTGAAACTACAATGTGCTTTGCTGAGTTTTCTATGAAGCCTTCTTCCACTCCTTTGTCAAATAATGCAAGAAGTCTATTGTAGTAGCCATCAACATTCAATAATCCCACCTACCTCCCCCCAAAAAATAAAAATTAATTGTTATTATGCAATAAATTCATCTAATCTCATATAAAGTCCTAAATTTGCTGAGGAAAAAAAAAAACTCACTGGCTTCTCATGTATTCCTAGCTGTGACCATGCTATTATCTCCAACAGCTCCTCCATTGTCCCATATCCACCTTTGTATTTGGAATCAAATTCTGATTAATCAGACAATAATAAGAATAAAAGAGACCTGTAGAAAAAAAATATTTGTATTTTTGCTTACCAGGAAGAGCTATGAATGCATCAGCATGTTTAGCCATTTCTGACTTCCTTTCATGCATGTCTAAAACTGTCTTTACTTCTCCAATGGTTTCTCCTGAAATCTGCAAAAGAATCATTTTGCTTGGTTTTCTAAAGAAAAAAACTGAAGCGTCAAGGCATGATAAGAAGGCTTCCTTACCTCATTTTGTAGTAGAGCTCTTGGAATAATACTTTTCTCCAAAAAAAAAACTAAGTTGAAGTGAGATTCATAAAGACGAATAAATTAATGCTGAAACAGAAATTAAATGAACTGAAAATTTGTTACCCAAGGACATTACATCCGCCATTAAAAACTGTGTGAGAGATAAGACCCATCAGACCCACACTTCCACCACCATAAATCAAGTCTATTTTTCTGTCAATCTGAAAGCAGAATTTCAAGGATGATTGGATTAGAAAGTAAGAAAAATCAAAGCTTTATAAAATGTTATCATGATAAGAAATCTGTATTTTCTTTTTTCTACTGTAAAGTTAAAATTTTGAATTGATTGCTTACCAGCTGCTTCCCAAGTTCAAGAGTTGCAGCACTGAATGAAGGCCTGTTCCCTGAACTACTTCCACAGAAGACACAGATCCTCCTGAAATTTCTCTTCTTGAGCCCACTTTCTTCATTCTTTTGTTCACTGGAATTATCATCTTGGTTTTGTGGTTTTTCCATGAAATATGGAAGCAGGAAAGCTAAGCAGATATGTGTAATTGGAAACCAAGAGCGGAGGAGAAAAAGCAATGAGAGCTAAGAAAGAATACTGAGCTCCTCTTATAGAAGATAGATGCAGATTGCAAACACCTTCATTATTGAATCAAAAACCTCCCCCTTCTATCCCCCTACACACCCTTTGGTCTGCTTAAACAATAAGTACATGGCGATGGTGATTAGTCCAACAAGAATCCAATTTCATTACTTCCACTGTACCTCTCTCTCTCTCTCTCTCTCTCTCTCTCTCTCTCTCTCTCTCTCTCTCTCTCTCTCTCTCTTTTTCTGTGTTTGCTTCTCTCACTTGGATTCTTTTTACTGAATCTAACAGAATGAACCATGTCAATTTCTCCTTTTACGCCTATCAAATCACTGCTTTTGTGATGGTATTTCCCTTATTATAATAGGCTTTGGTAACTTTCCAGCCTCAGCAAATTATCACTACCTGACCAATATGTGACACAATCAAATCTTTTTAACTTTAGTACCATTCATGGGAGAGTGTTGAAGGTTTTAACTTCTTATTAACGCTAAGATACCTTAAGAAGTAGTCAAAAATCTGTGAATGGATGAATCAATCATTCTTCCACTTTGAAGGCATTTTGTTTATGTTATGAATTGGCAAGAAAGTATTTTCCCTTGCCTTGTTTTTTTCTCTTTAATGTGTCAAACGTTGGAGAAATTATTCTGTGTAGACACTGGACACAACTTTACGTTCGGATGCCGTGTATCGATCGGTACCGAGTGTCGGTACCGATATTGTGTTCCGAGCAGTACCGAGCCGCAGTACAGTAAAAGAGTGACGTGGTGCATTTTTATTAGTCTCCGGACGTCACACGGTCTCCGCACATAATAATTCTTCCAAATCAAATATTGAAGGTATATAGAGTTTAAAAACTTAATGCATAGTCAACATTATCCACACATAATGTTAGGAAGAATGAATAACATGGCAATCAACATCCCATTTTCATCAACCAAATAGATTCATTGCATTTCTCTCAAACAACTTTTGGTTATTTTTTTAATAGCTAGGATTCTTTCATGGCTATGATAATACAATTGATGTCGTCAACTATCAATATAATATCTGTGGTTGAAGATTTGCTAACATGAGTAGTAGTTGCTTGAGACAGCTCTAAATAAAAAATTGTTGGTTAGTTAATAAGAAGCTTCTTGGATTGGACAGTCAAAGGTTCACATAACATGGTTCTTTTAAACTATACTAATTGCATTAATATTTCAAATGGATTAGGCGAGGAAGGGAATCAAAGCTAAAGCCTATGGTTCTTAGCTTGGTATTTGAAGTTGATTCTTATCCTAGAGGAACTAGGGTGAAGCTTCTTCATGACTTATTAGTATTGGATTGTAATTAATATTTGACCCGCTATAGTAAATTGACCCGCTTGTCTTGATAATGAAGAAGTCTGAAAAATAACAAGTTGTAGAGTGAACTTAGGCTTCATTTGGGATGGCTTTCTTATTGTTTTTTAAAGAAGCTTTTTAAAAAAGCTGCTATAAGAAGCAGTAAGAAATCCTTTCCAAATGAAGCCTTAAAATCTAAAATCCATCAAATAAGACATTCTTCTACCTTAATTTCATGACTATTCAAGTATAATATATATATTTGCTTGCTTGTACAAACAGAGACATTATATTCCTTTTATATTGGGTTGACAATAAACTAGTAGTGATGCTATTTTACTTGTTAGATAGGGACAACTTCAATTATTGTGAAGTTTATATATATATATATATATATAAAGTTATTTTGTGTGTATTGTAATTAATTGAAGTTGTTGGCTATTGTCTATCTAGATAGTTTTTATCTTCAAATTTAGATTATATCACATAAGCTTCTCCTTGATTATATGACTAATGAGCTATAGTAGAGCTTGTCGGTAGTCATTCGTTCTAACATCTGACATACAAATGTGTTTTAATTTATGCCTTCTAATCTTAAATTTATTTCAGTTTATTGAATTCTTAGATCTCAATCACTATGATTATATTTCTAAGGTGCAATAGATAAGCCATACATCTCTACAAAAGTTCTTCACCTTGAATTAGATGTTTTTTCATCATATATCGGTGTAAATTTCACTTTAACCCTTTTTTGCTCTAAAAAAACTGTCTAGCTAAGGCTTCGTTTGTGACAGTTTTTTTATTGCTTATTAAAATAACTTTTTAGTTTAAAAATTAAAATTTTTATACTAAAAATCTGCTTTAAGAAAGCAGTAAAAAAGCTGTTTTAAACAAAAACTAAGACTTCGTTTGGGATGGCTTTTTTATTACTTTCTAAAACGGAGTTTTAGTACAATTTTTTTATTTTTGTATTAAAACTCCGTTTTAGAAAACAGTAAAAAAGTCGTCCCAAACAAAACTTAAATCAATGGAGACAAACTTAAACGTTAGACTATTATATTAGCAACCATTGTAATGGAGTTGCTTTCATGCACTACTTCTTCCACTCTAGGAGATATATATCCATACGTTTTCATATCTTGTATTGTTACTCCCCACTATGCATGAAAAGCTAGAAGATCTCATGACATGTAGTACAAGAATTTTAATTCTAACATGTGAATGAACGATGATTGAATCATATTCAAGCATAAATTGAACACTTATTTAGATGTTGTTCTACTCGTGTTGGTCAATCAAGGTTCATAGATGATTTGAGCTTATGTTATATTCAAATATATATAGTTGAATATAAACATATGTTCAAATATATTTGAACAATGTTCGAAAATATTTGAATAATGTTCAAATATATTTGAATAATGGTCAAGTATGGAGCAAACAAGGTTCAAATATGAATCAAACATATTAGGCCGTGTTTGATTATTATATGAACAAAGCCCAAACATGATTAAAACAAGTTTGAAAAATATTAGATTATGGTTTGAAAATGATTTGCAGGTAAATCAAATTCATGTTCTAACAAAATTCTAAATAAAATCTTTGATATTGCATCAAGATTTGCAATAGACCTCCATCAAAATGGCCAAAATTTAGAAACACTATGAAACATTTAAAAAATATATTTCTACTGTATGAAGTAGTTAATAAATGAAGAACTGTCTAAGTATGAAAAGGATGGTATGTCATTCTACTTATAATGAGGATATGAGATTCAATGTTATTTTTGTCTAAAACAAACTTTCGGACATAGTTCTAAAAAACAAACAAGCAATGACATATTTCTCCAATTTCACCTATTATAGGGCATATAGAGTCAACTTTTCCTATTACTAAGACACATGTCAAAACAATATCAAGAAATGAATTGAACATCAAATAAAATAATTACTTTGCAATATGACTAATGAACTATTTTTATCACATTATAAAATAGTTTACAAGCCAAAATAGTATGGGATTTTTTTTACTTATTTGTGCCTTGTCAAGGAAAAATATATATTCATCATCTTGAGTCACTCACCTAGAAATTTTGGTTCAAGTTAGGGCTAACTAAAGTCAAAATGAGTGGAACAAGTATTTATGTACGTTCATTAACTATAACTCTCCTATCATTAGAAGAAAAAAAAAAGATACTAATGGTAGCTAACATCATAGGCTATGTAATTAAGACTTCTTTTGGGGAAACTTTTATACTATTTTTTAAAACGGCTTTCTAATATAAAAATTTCAAATTCAAGAAATATTTGTACAAAAAAGCTGTTTTAGAAAGCAAGAAGAAAACCGTCCTTCGTTTGGGACAACTTTCTTATTATTTTCTAAAGCAGTTTTTCAATATAAAAATTTACTTAACTATGAATTATTTACTTAAAAATTGTTTTAAAAAAACATTAAAAAAGTTGTTCCACAAATCTTTGTACTGAAAAACTGCTTTAAAAAATAGTAAAAAAGTTGTTCCAAATGAAACATAAGTCCTATATATCTTTTTTATTAGAAGAAGATCTTATTCACCATTTTGTTTAGAGTTTTCTAAACTGAATTAAGGAACGATGAATTACTTTTAGGTTACTAATTTTAATTCATTTTTTTTTAATATTAAAAAAAAAAAGCTCTTCTCCACCCCCTTTATGTCTGGCTTGGCATCTCAATTGTGACAATTGAGAACTTTGTCCATGGTGTACGTTTTGATTGCTTTTCTGATCAGAGAGAAAAGGATCATTTATTGATTCTCAATTGAGGTCTCTATAAGAGGATTAATGTTTTTTTTTTCAAGGTTAATTTTTAACAAGAAAGTTGTTAAAATAAAAATTATAATATTTTTAATGTTTTTTGGTTAAACGACCGAAGTTCTGCAGGCGCACCTAAGCGGACTAGGGGTTGCTTTCCTCCCATTCGTGCATTCCCACAGGCGAGACGCCGAGACTCCCATAGGCGGACGCTCAGCCACTCATCATCGAAGTCAGAATAGCTCTCTCATTGCGAAGGTAACCATTTTCTCTCGCAGGCGGATTCTCTCGTAGGTGGACGCTCAACTTGCTCGTTGTGAAACACAGAAGCTAGGGTTTTGTGTATGGTCGGGTCAACCTAGAAATCTGATGGGTCAGATCCGAGTTGAAATTTTTGATCCATCTGCAAAAACGGGTTGAGTTCAGGCCATGTCAAATAATTGTAGGTCATTGTTGTGTTCGACCCGAACCTGACTCGTAATCCGATTTTGACACCCCTAGGTCATAGTGTACATGAATATAAATTATTGATGGAATTGATTAGGAATAAGTAAAATTAAGAGAAAGTTTATTATTTAACAATATTTTAACAAATCTTACTTAAATTTTTTGAATATTGGTTTTTTTTTTATAGAACTAAAATATAGATGCTATTCAATAACTTCTCTTAGGTTTTCAAAATAATTTGATATTATCCAATGACAACTCAAAATATGATAAGAAATATTAATATTGTGAATTTGTAGCTCATTTTCAACAATCTAACTAAATTTGATTTTCAACCATTCTTAAATCTTCGAGCAAAATCAATAACCTTATTTACACTTACAGAATCCTAAAAATTTACATAAGTGTATAAATTAAGGGTCTATTTGGAACAACTTTCTTGCTGCTTTGCTTCTTAGATGCCAATTATAATTTTATTTAGCTACTGCTTTCTAAGTACATTTTCACTATTTTTAAAAATTTCTATGATGAACGGTTGCTTTTACAGCCAGAACAGTTAAGTTATTTTTCCCATAATTATAATCGTACCAAACATATCATAAAAGAAACTAACAAACTAAAAATAAAATACATGTAAAATTTAAGTCCAAGTTATTTA